CCCCAGCAGCCTTTCAAAGGAGCATGGAAGGAATGCTCGACACTCTGAGAGATGAGTGCTGTATCCCTTACCTCGACGACGTGTTGTGCTTCTCCAGGTCCTTCGATGAGCATGTGCAGGTGCTACGCAAAGTCCTCCAAGCCTTGCAACACCACGGGGTAAAGCTGAAGCCGGAGAAATGCGAGCTCTTCCGCAAAGAGGTCCGATATGTCGGCCGGTTGGTGTCAGCTGAAGGAGTAAAAATGGACCCCAAAGACCTTGAAGCAGTGCGAGCACTGAAAAACAAGACACCGCAGACAGTTGGGGACGTCAGGCAGTTGTTGGGGTTCCTGAGCTATTATCGAACATATGTGCAGGACTTCTCACGTGTAGCCAAGCCCCTGTACGACCTGCTCCAGTCAAAGCCCAACACCTCTCAGCCCAAGCCGCCACGAGGAAAAACGAAAGGCCACCAGCATTCCTCCCGAACCCCGGTAGAATGGACTATACAACACCAACAGATCCTTGAACAGCTTGTGGACCGGCTGACCAAACCCCCAGTGCTGGCCTATCCTGATTTCAACCGCCCCTTCACACTCCACACAGATGCCTCCCAAAAGGTCTCGGTGCAGTTCTTTATCAGAACCATGATGGGAAGATGAGGGTGATTGGATACGGGTCACGCACACTAACATCGGCGGAGCGAAATTATCACCTACACAGCGGAAAGCTTGAATTTCTCGCGTTGAAGTGGGCGGTATGTGAAAAGTTCCGGGATTACCTGTTCTACTCCCCACACTTCACAGTCTTCACAGACAACAATCCCCTCACCTATATTCTGAGTACTGCCAAGCTCAACGCAGTGGGTCACCGGTGGGTGGGGCAGCTGGCCGATTTCCACTTTGACATCAAATACCGGCCAGGCAAAACCAACATCGATGCCGACACCTTATCACGCTGTCCCCTGGACATTGACACGTTCATGGCTGAGTGTTCGGAAGAGTTATCGGAGGAGGCAGTGTGTGCTGTATGGGAAGGAAGCCGGAGAGCACAACAAGGAGATGTGGCTTGGGTGGCAGCTCTCAACGTAACATCCAATAGCCAACCTCACATTGAGCCTCTGCAGGAAATTAATCATGATGAGCTGGTGAGGGAACAAAGAAAAGACCCCGCTATTGGGAAAGTGATGGAGTTGAAGGAAAACGACACACCACTAACAGAGGATGACAAACAGAGGATGGACACACACGCAAGGAGGCTGTTAAGAGAGTGGAGCAGATTACACATAGAGAATGACCTTCTCTACAGGAAGACTGCAGGTCGACAACAACTGGTCCTGCCCACCACCTACAAACGAACAGTGCTCACCCAGCTGCATAACAACATGTGTCATGTGGGTGTTGAGAAAGTTCTGAGCCTAGCGAGGGAGCGATTCTACTGGCCTTTCATGAAAAGAGAGATAGAGGAGCATGTGACCAGGAAGTGTTCTTGCATCAAACAGAAGAAGCCAGCCACACATGAAAGAGCACCAATGGGAAGTATTACGTCAAAGTCACCCCTCGAGCTGGTGTGCATCGATTTCCTTCACCTGGAAACCTGCAGGGGTGGATATCAGTATATCCTGGTAGTGGTTGATCACTTCACCAGATTCGCACAAGCCTACCCTACCAGGAACAAGGCTGGTAAGACGGCTGCTGACAGGCTCTTCAATGATTACATCCCCAGATTTGGATATCCGGCAAAACTCCACCATGACCAGGGTCGAGAGTTTGAGAATGAGCTCTTCAAAACTCTCAGGCAGTTGGCTGGTGTCGCCCACTCGAGAACCTCTCCGTACCACCCCCAGGGCAATCCGGCGGAAAGACTCAACCGCACACTACTGCAGATGCTCCGCACCCTAGGAGAGAAAGAGAAGGAGAATTGGAAGGACCACCTGCCCCATGTACTCCATGCATATAACTGTACGAAGCATGAGGCAACAGGTTTCTCCCCGCACTATTTGTTGTATGGCCGACATCCTCGCCTCCCTGTTGACATCCTTTTCGGCCTCATAACAGATGAGGGAACTGACACTAATGGACCAAGAGGATATGCTGAGAAATGGGCAGGAAAAATGGTTGAGGCATACCGAATAGCAGACGCAAACAGCCGACAGTCCAGCTCCAAAGGAAAGGCATACTACGATAAAAGGAGCAGAGGTGTGGTTCTTCAGGCTGGGGACAGGGTCCTTGTACGCAATCTCAGTGAACGAGGGGGCCCTGGAAAGCTTAGACCGTACTGGGAGCAGCTGATCTACATCGTGAGAGAACAGGTTGGAGATAACCCTGTCTACAAAGTAAGCCCTGAGTCGGGAGGCCGACCAGTTCGCACCCTACACAGGAACCTCCTGTTACAAGTCAACGACCTACCTGTAGAGTCCCTTCAGAACCGGACCACCAACACAGCTGAGTCACGAAAGAGAAAGAAGAGAGCTTCAGACACCCCAAAACCCGCACGAGAGACACAGAGCCCAGATATAAGTGACTCTGAGGAAGAGGAAGGCGTGCCTCGTTACTGGCTGCGAATACCGACGGAGAGACCAAGAGCTGAAAGTCACTTACCTGAGCCACATGTTACTCCTGACTCCCAAAACAGATCTGAACAGAATGAGACCTACCTGGGAGAAACAAGCCACGCAGAACCCGAACAGGACAGAGAGAGTGTTAGAGGGGAAGAACAGGGGACATCCAGTGAGGATGAACAGGACATAGAGCAGCTTCGACCTGCAACCGTTCAAGAGGAACTGCATGCTGTCCATCAAGAGAACAATGCCCCCACACCACAACCTGAACATCAGATCCCGCTGAGACAGTCCACCAGAGAAAGACGGCCAGGTTATGTGTTTACTTATCCATCCCTGGGTCGACCAGCTTATCACCCGCGGCCAACTGTGAGTGCAGTTGGAATCCAACCAGTACAGTGTACTCACCAGTGTCTCTGTACACCATACTTTCACCACTTCCAACCCCCATCCATCGCCCCATACCCTTACTTACCTGTCGTGTACCCAGCTCACTGTGGATGAGACGCCACGAGAGACAATTACATACATTTCATACTCACCTGAAGAGACCTGAAACACCATACATACACTATACATTTCATACTTACCTGTTGAACCACTCATACATCATACCTTTAATACCTACCTGAATCACAAATACTCTATACATTTTATACCTACCTGTTGAAACATATACACCATACATTGCATACCCACCAGATGAGATCTGACACACGCACTTTAAAGGACTTAAAGGATACACTCATTGAGAGTTGGAATGTGTTTTGAAAAAAAAAATGTTCAGAGTGAAATTATTGAGGGTATCTCGTGTCAGGAGCCACTTTTATTTGTTGGGGAGTGTGTGATACACCCTTTATAGGATAATACAATAACCAGTGCAGTGTTAAATAGAACACCAATTTTATTGTGAAAGATTAATAGAAAAATTTAAAAAAAAAAAAGAATTAATCTAGGGGGAAAAAAAGAAAGCGGAACCAAAGTGTGGGGATCGTTGCACCACGGTACCCAGGTGAGAGGCACCTCCCTCTTCTCTCAGACAGAGATTTGGAGACGAAGAAGGCGGTTTGCTCTTTCACTCATTCACGCTGTGATTCTGTTTTCCAGGTTGGTATTTAATAAAAATAATTACAAACTGTTCTCTCCTGAAATTTACGGTGGTGTATTGAAGCTGTGAGGAGTCTGTTGTGGAATTTTTGAGGTGTAAAGAGTCGCGTTTATAACCGCGGGAAACGGGCATTGTAAACAATGGAGCTAGCGAGCTAACAATTAGCAGGTGTATACTGTGACTGTATGTGTGATTCTGGGTGTTGGTGTCCTCACTCCCTGGTAATGTTTTATTCAGTTTCTTTGAGATATCCTGACATGTTATGAATGATTGTTAATGTTAAGAGAAGAGAGGTATGTTGTTTAAAACTTAAAGGGAGTTCTCCCCAAAGTTATACAGAAGCAGTTAGGTGTCTAGTCTGTGTTTAAAGATGTATAATAAGTTAAACCGCTATCCCTATGTGTATGATGTTTTCATGTTTTGACTCTAAAGTCATTTAAATATTAATCTACAGCCAAAGAGGGTTTATATTTCATATTATTAAATCAATAGGATGGTGGAATTCTGAAGTTAAAAGAAATAACTATATAAATATAGATTAAAACATGATTTATCCTTTTGATACTAATGCACTTTAAAGAAAGCAATATTTATTTTTGTATAGAGATGATGATTTCTGTGAATGTGTGTGTGAGAGATGTTGCCCACTGATGTGTGGAGAGTAGAGAAAACTGTATTAATGTGTTTAAATTTAAATTAACAAATGAACACTGAAACTGAAACATGTTTATACTAGGGGTATGGTTATTGTTTGATACCATAATTTGTTGAAAATTTGTAATAAAGAGACAGAGATTTGGAGACGAAGAAGGCGGTTTGCTCTTTCACTCATTCACGCTGTGATTCTGTTTTCCAGGGTTGCATCTAGGAGAGTTGAGAGCAGTGAACCCCAGTCAAAATCATTTGTTACTCCAGTTACACTATTTGAAACTCGTAACATATATATATATATATATACATATACATATATATATATATATACATATATACATATATATATATATATATACATACATATACATACATACATATATATATACATACATATACATATATATATACATACATATATATATATATATATATATACATACATATATATATATATATATATATACATACATATATATATATATATATATATACATACATATATATATATATATATATATACATACATATATATATATATATATATATACACACATATACATATATATATATATATACATATATATATATATATATATATATATATATATATATATATATATATATATATATATATATATATATATATATATATATATATATATATACACACACACACATATATATATATATATGTATTGGTTACTTGGAATTCTTTTTTAATGATTGATTGATCATGAACATTTTCAGTCACTTTTATGTTGATTGACTAATGAATTTCAGCACAAAATATTCACATTAATATCAAACTTTAAAACTTTAGTATGCCTATTAAAACACTACACATAAGAATCATCATAGGCAAACATAAGACCAAGAACAGGGAAATGTATCATGAGTTCAGCGGTTTTAATTACTTTCTCATCCGCTCCAGCCACTGTTCTTTGCTGACAGTCTCAGTGTTTGGGCAATATATTTTGCCCTTGTATTGGCTATGGCCAGTCTCTTGTGTGCGAAACTGTCTGCAATTCCTGCAAGTATTAGATGTGACCGTCCGATTGTATTTGCGTTTTACTTGCGCAGATTTGTCACTGGAAGGGCTGTCAGAGGTAGTGCTGGTGGTTGCAAGTCCAAGGATAGGACTGGGCGGCGTCAACAACTGCGGCATGACACCAGTTACAACAAACAGCTGTGGCTGTGCTGCTGTTGACTTGGGATGAATAAGCCTTGATTTTGCGCCTGACAGAGCTGAGGTACCTGGAAGCTGCACTGAAGGAGTTGATGGAGGGATCTGGGTGGAATGAGACTGAAGGCGGGGGAGTGATGGCTCTGTGGAGGTAACTGAAGGCTTGATCCGCCGAAACCTGGTTTTTGCCTGACCAGCTGTGTTGGGTGGCATGTGGTATGTGTGCAGCTGATGTTGATATTGTGGAGGAAACTCAGGCTGTGTCTTCGCAGGTTGCAGTGGTATACATGCCACCGGCCGTGCCTCAGGCAGTTGCACCCCTTGCAGAAGCACAGAGACCTCCTGACCCTTCAGCCGTTGGTTATGCCACTGGGTGAGCGTGGTCTGGTTTACCTCAACCAGTTGAATGGGGGTTTGCTGCATTATTATGCCATTGTACAAAATCAGCTGCCTAATTTTTTTGTAGTCCTGCAGAATAAGAGACCATCTTGACATGCTGTGCTGTCCCATTTTTTGGGGGCTTGTGTGAATGTTGCACAGCCTCACAAATACAGTCTCAACAAGACGGCAGCAGTTAGGCCACTGAACAGGCGAGCTGTTTGAACCCAGAACACACCTCTTTGTGCTCTCAACACCAGGAGTGAAAACTGCCTTCTTTTTGGGGGACCTAAAGCGGCCAGTCAACAACCTGTCCTGATGCCGAGCAGCATACACAACCCTGTCCTTGTCAAATTGATCCAGGTTCTGCCACAGACCCACAATGGTGCTGGCCTGCTGGTTGGTCAGTGTTAGGCCCGTCTGTGTACGCAGCTCTACCAGGTACTCTGCCAATTCGTCCACACGGTCCATTCCTGGTATGTTATGCTGATCCACAGCCTGGAAAAATAAAACTGATGTTTAAGACTGGCTCTGCAGCATCACAATCTCCTCCTGTCTACTTAAGCTTTAGTTATGACAAAACATAAACTGACTTGCAAGGAATTTGATTTGTGTCTGTGTTGCTCATGGATAGATCTACTGGTCTAAAAAGAGAAATTAATGAATTATCACTTACAACTTGCTGCAAAGAGCCCACTGGTGTAGGCTGGAGAGTCACTGCAGATAGAGACTGGAGTGGAGGCACAGCAGATAGAGACTGGAGTGGAGGCACAGCAGATAGAGACTGGAGTGGAGGCACCGCTGATGTAGACTGGAGTGGAGGCACAGCAGATGGAGACTGGAGTGCAGGCCCTGGGGTAATAAATAATAATATGTCTAATGGCAATATGCAAATGACAGAAGCTGCAATGTTTTTGATGAAGTTCAAATTTAATGCGAAATTAAAACTTGTGACAAACAGCTTTATAATGAAGTACTTTAGTGTCTTCCCAACATCAAGACCAACTGAAGTTTCAGTTAGTTTTGCACAGAAACAGCCAACAGGGGGCTCTGACCTCTGCGGGCTGACTTAATAAAACATTTGTTTTATTAAGTCAGTTTTAGCCCCATCAGCTTCCACAAAGTGGAACTAACCTCCTCATTAAGCTGGTCGTGCTGGATAGGCTATGGTTGTGCGTCTGTTGTCACCACTAGTGTTTAATGTCTTACCTGCTCCCTTACTGACAAACATGTCAGTTTTTTTTAAAGCACTTCGCTGATCTGTGGCCAGTGATTTTAGCTTTTTAAGCCTCTCCCTCTCTGCTCCACCTTTCCTCTTGGGCTGTCGATCTCGCTCCATTTTTCAAGCATGTAGAACTACAGGTGAGGGAGGAGGGAGAGAGGAGGGGGTCGGAGGCGCGACCTGGTGTTTGTATGTGTGTGTACCTGCAGTGCTGTGACAGAGAGCCTCAGAAAAAGAGAGGAGGGGGTGTGTTTGTGCCCAACGTTGCTGCTCAGTCTGTGTGAGCTTCAGTGAGGCAGATACCCTAGTGAGCCGCACGTCAGATTGTTTATTTAAAAATCAAGCGCGACCTGAACCGAGCCTTTGGTCCCGACCATCGGCAGTCGCTGAGCGGGCCAGTTCAGCGGACTGGCCACTGGGAAATGTCCCAGTGCTCCCGATGGCCAGTCCGCCACTGCTGTGATATGATTATCGCGTATTCAAATGTTTGATTAAGTTGCTGGTGTTGAAATTTGCAACACTCGTGCCACCCCTCGAAACTGCTTCTTTGCATATGTTGCATGTGGCCGTCTTATGGCTGGAACATCCACTGTAAACTACTGCCAAACCGCCGACATGATGCGCTAACGGTAGCTCCTTTTAACAGGTGTCAGGTGATCAGTTCTTCTTCGCCCCTCTAAAACAGCAGCTGCCGATGGCAGCACAGCGCAACTGTTTTAAGAGCGGCGAAGAAGAACTGTGTCAGAGCAAACGGAGCTAACCAGTAAATAGATTCCTATTTCTAATAAATTAAGTGGCATCGGATCGGTGCCTGGACTCCAGTACTCGCCGATACCGATGCCAGCATTTTCGACAGTATCGGAGGCATTCCCGATACTGGTATCGGAATCGGAACAACTCTAAACCTAACATAAACCATAACAAAATCACAATAAAACCAGATCAATACATTACATTTACAAAAGTTAAGCAGTCCCGTGCTTAGTCATGAACACAGTTAAACTGTGCGCAGCTATTTATGCCCACTATGTTCAGTGGTGTAGTGGTTCCTGGAGAAATGGGTAAACTCTTGCTGAGTTGTTAGCCAGCGATCCCGTAAGCCAGGCAGGGGAAAGTTGTTTTCCATTGTTAACTTGTTATCACTCACTCTGATTCAGAATAACTACAGACCTAGGATTCTTAATTTCCTGCTGCTCTCTTGTGTGAGTTCTCATGTGTCTCTGCATAGTACTTTTAATACAGAAGCTTTAACTGCAGACTGAGCTGAATGTGTGAGTTGTCATGTGGTCCTCTAGACTCACTCTGTTTTCTAACAGAAATCAAATGAACTTTGATGAGCTGTGCTGTTGTAGAGATTCACTCTCCTGCTCCTGTTCAGGGTTATATAACAATAATAATAATAATAATAATAATAATAATAATAATAATAATAATATAGTATATAATAGTTCACAGCAGCTTTTCTAACAGAAATATTTATTCATGTTGCAGCGTTTTTAGGGCTGCACAATTGATGGAAATATGTCTAATTGCAATATGCAAATGACAGAAACTGCAATGTTTTTGATGAAGTTAAAATTAAATGTGAAATTAAAATTTGTGACAAACAGCTTTATAATGACGTACTGAAGTGTCTTCCCAACATCAAGACCAACGCATATGAGGCATTATGGGCATAACACGATTAAACAGACAAGCAAGGGAGACTCGAACCTTTCTGAAGTTTCAGTTAGTTTTGCACAGAAACAGCCAACAGGGGGCTCTGACCTCTGCGGAGGGGGGTCTCAGCTTTTTTTAACCAGTTTCTCCTTATAATGACAAACAGAATCTTAACTGGGGGGTCATTTATCATCAGTCCCATGAGGCTGGTCTTTGGTCACTGAGCTCTTTGCAGGGTTAGAGGTGTATTAAATGTGTAACACTGACAGCCAGTGTTTAAAAAGAGAACTGCAATCTAAATTCAGAATATTGCAGCGTGATGTCTCCCCACGTCCTCCTCCTCTGCGGAGAAGCTCACAGTACCCAGGTTGAGGACACTGAACCTACAGCCTTAACATCTGTTATACAGAAGATCATTCCAGTTCAACTTTAACCTGATTTATGTTATTCATTCACAATAAAACTATATTTTTTAACTAATAACTGTTTGGAGTAGAAGAAACATTTTTGTACAGTGGGTTCTTTCGATGATGCCAATTTTACCAATATGGGCCACACCCATTCATGCCCTAAAAACATTACACCAGTTTGGATATTTCATCTAATCTTCACCAAAATCCATACATAAAATATTTAGATTAAAGAGAACAAGACTTGTAGGTCAATTATTGCTTGTCTGTAATTGGCTATCTTCCTTTTGAAGGTGTGTCATGATGCACTTAACATATCATAACAATCATATTTGAATACTGAATTGAACTGCAACCAAATTTGAGAATGTTGTCCATAAACCCAAACTGAACTTCATACAATTCCACTAACAATAGTTCCACAATAATTCTGAGTTTCAGCGGACAGGACAAATAAAGCACAGACGCAAGTGCTGCATACTATTTATTTGATTAATATAAAATACAGTTATTGGTTGCCTGTAATTGTTACTTTAGAAGGTGTAGCCAGTTGTACTTCACAGGCAAACAAATTTGGGATTTTTGTACATTTGTGTGTGGTTGTGTTAAAGGCCGAGGTGATCTTATATGAACAGTGGCAAGTTAAAAAGAGTAAGTCGTACAAAGACTTTTAACTAAGATCACCATAGCAGTGTAGAACATGAGTAACACAGTAACCTAACATAAACCATAACAAAATCACAACAATAAAACCAGATCAATACATTACAGTTACAAAAGTTAAGCAGTCCCGTGCTTAGTCATGAACACAGTTAAACTGTGCGCAACTATTTATGCCCACTATGTTCAGTGGTGTAGTGGTTCCTGGAGAAAAAAACTCTTGCTGAGTTGTTAGCCAGTGATCCCGCGAGCGAGGCAGGGGAAAGTTGTTTTCCATTGTCACATTGTTATCACTCACTCTGATTCAGAATAGTTACAGACCTAGCCACCAGACACCGTTGTTCTGATGTCATGGTGCATCTCTGATGTTTAGTTTCTAGTCTCTAGTCTGTGACAGCTGAACAGGATTATTAAAGGGGAACTTGGCAACTGTAGCCATTTCTTCGCTGGTTTTCACTTTTTTTGTCGCATCTTTTCTCAACGAGCTCCCCCTACAGCTCTGGGACGTATATTCACAACACGTCGTAAAAAAACTCACTTGCGGCACCCTCCTCCCCCTTTCTACTGCTGCTGATGTGCATTTGTTGCCGGGCAACTTTTTCGTGTGGAGCAATGTCTACAGAGGTGGGTAACATATTCATCGTCGCTTGTTCTTATAGCCGGCATGGCTAACCGGTATTGAGGGAGGCGTGTGCGTTTATGTGGAATTGCCGTAAGCAGTTTGTGTTTCTTGCTCGTTCTCGCTTCTCACGAAACTTACTATTTCCAACTTAACGGGACGGTAGTCCCAAAGTTGCAAGGTTGGTTTTCTGCCTGGGGACGCTAGGGGGAGCGGGAAAGTCACCATTTTCACCAGAACAGGCCATTTAACCATCCAAATGACTTCTAAACGGGTTTATAAAGTTGAAATAATTGCCAAGTTCCCCTTTAATGTCCTGCTGCTCTCTTGTGTGAGTTCTCATGTGTCTCTGCATATTTAATAAAGAAGCTTTAAGTGCAGACTGAGCTGGATGTGTGAGTTCTCATGTGATCCTGTAGATGATTCTCTTGAATGAAACTTTTATCACACACTGAGCAGATGAATGGTTTCACACCTGTATGAGTTCTCATGTGTATCTACAGATTACTATTTTGTCCAAAGCTTTTATCGCACACTGAGCAGCTAAACGGTTTCTCACCAGTATGAATTCTCATATGTGTCTTCAAATGACTCTTATGACTAAAGCTTTTCTGACACACTGAGCAGCTGAATGGTTTATCGCCTGTGTGAGTTCTCATGTGCAACTGCAGATTACCATTTCTTCCAAAGCTTTTATGGCACACTGAGCAGCTAAACGGTTTCTCACCTGTGTGAGTTCTCATGTGCAACTGCAGTTTACCGTTTTGACCAAAGTCTTTATCACACACTGAGCAGCTAAACGGTTTCTCAGCTGTGTGAGTTGTCATGTGATCCTTCAGAGTACCCTTACGACTGAAGCTATTATCGCACACTGAGCAGCTAAACGGTTTCTCACCTGTGTGAGTTCTCATGTGATGCTTAAGATTACCCTTTAGATTAAAGCTTTTATCACACACTGAGCAGCTGAATGGTTTCTCACCTGTGTGAATTATCATGTGTCTACGTAAACCTCGTCTCCATGAAAAACATTTCTTACAAACTGAACAGCTGAAAGGCTTTATATTGGTAACATCACTTGACTGAGGTTCCCTGGTGTCTTTAAAATCATTGTCACTATCATCAGTCTCAGATTCAGAAGAGTCTTCGGTCTTACCATCCGTATCAGGTTGTGAATGTTCATCTGAGTTTCTGGCCGGTTCTGGTCCTCCACAGTCCTCTCCATCATCTGTTTCCATCTGTTCAGTTTGTCTTTGAGGAAGCTGTGAGGACTGAGGTTTCTCTTCATCATCATCATCTTCACTCTTCACAGGGACAGGAGTGAATGTAAACCCTTGAAGCTGCTCTCCCTCCTGACTGGTCCTGACTTCCTCCTGTTCCTCTTTAAAGTGTGGGGGCTCTGGGTCCTCCTGGTCCAGACTGGGTCTCCACTCCTGCTGCTGCTCAGGGGGAACCTCTTCTTTAATCACCGACAGCTGCTGGACGTCTGCAGACACAGTAAACACAAAGATAGACATTATGGAAAACCACCACTTTCTGTTAAATACAGACTGGATAACTGTGGGATCATCATCAGGCTGAAGATGTCACTCAGTGGAAACACATTGGAACCAAGTTGAAATCTGTTGACAAGGTCTCACGAGGATTATCAACAGAAGACTTCCTGGAAAGTAAGCAATGATTAAAAGGATCAGAGTTTCTTCTGAACAAGGCAGAAGATTCTCCAACTTTTAACGGTGCAGTCTGCCACAGCAAGGGAAAGTTGGAGAACAGTAAAGAGTCAACATGCATGTCGAAAGGATTCTGCCAGATTTGTTCCCGTTTACTGATGTAGGAGTGGACTACTTCGGACAAATAAACATCACCCAAAGATTCTTCATTGGTTCACTACTAAATCTAAAGTACTATTTTCAGTCCAACATATTTAATTATCTCTGGTCGAACAGTATACGATATGATCTGCAGGGAATTGGAGCAGTGAATGTGGTACAGGGTATTTTCAGGGTATTTTTAATGACATTGAAAAAAGAATATTCCAAAGGTGTTGTTTGTTTGTTATTTGTAAGTCCAACATATTTAAATATCTGCGGTCTATAATGTCGGGTAAACAGAGATGTCAGTGCTACATCCGCAGTTATGGAGAAGTGAATTTTTCAACAAACTGATCAAAATGCTTTATAGCACTAAGTCAGACACTATGTCACTGATACAGGTGAAACTGGATAGATTTTATTTTTATTTTACAGATGCCACAATACAATACGAGTGCAGCCGTTGTCTGTTTTACAGAGTTGTTCATGAGAGTATCTAGGAAAATACAACTAGCAGACCAGGACTTGGTATCGACATATTTCATATTGAATGATTCAGATAATGGGCAAAAAGTTTTGACTTGGACGCCGCTAATTCCTGAAGAGTATTGAGGCAACTAAGGGGCTCAACTTGGGAAAGACCGCTTAGCTATAGAGAGGTTTTGGTCTACTATGGTTTGTAGAATCTGATGCATATCCCGAGCCGTGGAACAATCACAGAAACGCACTTCAGACAAAATACAGAAATTACAAAATCAAGATGTGGTTCTTCCCAGATATAGGTGGACATCCTTATCAATAAAGACACACTACAGAGAACGTAGACTGTAGAATGCATTCAAGACATCTTGGACATCTACAGCATAAAAAAGGAACAGACAATGCTGCCAATTACGTCAATGCAGTGGAGAGACATCTTGAAACAGTGAACATACCATTTGTGGCACACAACATCAACTTGACTGTGCCTTAAGGGCTCAGGATCAGAGACATTGAAACCTCTGTGAGCAGACTGAACGTGGCAGCATCCCATTTCAATAAATCAACCAAAACCAGCGACAACTACCTCCTTCAGGGGAAATAAGTTTTGAAATTTAACAAGGAGAAGGTGGTTAACGACTGCCTGACACGATGGAACAGTAAATATGATATGATCTGCAGGGAATCGGAGCAGCGAATGTGGTACAGGCAGTGAGACAGAGGCTGCCGGTGCCGAACAACCCTGTGATCAGCAACCCCTCGGGAAAAACACTCGGTTTTGGGGAATCTCTTCAGAGACACATACTGCACAGACAGGCTAGACCAGAACGACACTCTGGTGGTTCAAAAAGAGCTGTCCATGTATGAACAAGAGTCTCTGATGCTCAACAGAATCCTCTCCACCTTCGGCTCTGGGAGATACCATTACCTCGCCATGATGTGATAAACCTTAACGTTACCTACGTTGCGTTAGTCCGAGGAACATTGTTGTTATTAATTATGACTAACATTAAGCAGTGGTGGAAAGTAACTAAGTACACTTACTCAAGTACTGAAATGCAAATTTTTACTTCACTTGAGTATTTCCAATTTTTTATACTTTTACTTCTACTCCACTACATCTCAGAGGCCAATATTGTACTTTTACTCCACTACAATTAATTAACAACTTACCAGTTACTTTGTAGATTTATTATTATTGCAAAACATACAGTGACGACTTCAGGACTATATAAACTTCAGCTATTTGAAAATAGTCGATCTACAAGCTCATAATGTGCAATATGACACGTTGTGAGCGTGTAGATCTGCTACTAACAGTTTAACCATACCACATGTCTATTAATTTTAGTTTGCAGTATATTGTGTCAGTAAGGCTTATTGTATGATTAAGACATTAGCCTTTAAAATATCTATTAAGTAATTATTATTTTCACCTCTTTTTCAGTTAACCATCACAGCCTCTTATCGACAAGTTTCTGCAAAAAGCACCAGCCTGCATCACTGCACAAGCAGCTGTACTGAAAGACTGTAAAGGGGGTGTAAGACTCTTGTTCCAAGTCCCGGTCCACAGTGTGTAATAGGGCTGAGCGATTTTATCGATCCTGCGATATATATCGATATTTTGTTTACCCAGAAAGTATCGATTTTTCAGCCGAGAGTATTGATACATTAAGTCCCATTCAAATCCCCCGTGTTCTGCCTGGCACTTTGCTCGCTGCCCATTTCCCCCCTATTCGCTCGATTAGGTCAGCTAGTGTTGCTGTAGAGCATTTCTAGCAAGTTACCCATCTAGATACTCCCTTTACACAGACGCCGAAGTGTTCCTCTTCCTATTTAAGCAGTCAGCGCGAGGAGATTGAAGAAAATGGCAAAATATGAACCCAACACCCTTATAAATGGTAAATGGACCTGTACTTGCATAGCGCCTTTCTATTCTTCCGACCACTCAAAGCGCTTTTACACTACGTGCAACATTCCCCCTTGGATAAAAGTCTGGCGGTTTGCAAGCCGTGTCACACAAATGTGAAATACTGTGGAAATACCACCAACCTACGAGCCCACCTAAAACGGCACCACCCGGACAAGGTAATGCTAACTGAGGAATCCAAGAAGCTGTGACGTGACCCAAAACAAACCATGCTGGATAGCAATGGCAGTTGTTCCCACTAGTTCTCATCTTCTTCACCAAGGTCGCAGAATCCATTGACTATTTTATTTGTCAGGATTTGAGACCTTATTCTGTGGTGGAAAACGCAGGCTTTAGGCGCATGGTGAACGCGATGGAGCCCCGCTATCCTATTCCCACCCGCGAGCACCTCACCAAGGTTTGCGTTTCCAGGCTGTACGCTCAGACAAAGGCACACGTCAAAGCAACCCTGGCCAGCGCGGAGAGAGTTGCCCTGACGTGCGACGGATGGACCTCGCGAACAACTGAAGTATGTCACCATCACGGCCCACTTTATCAACAAGGAATGGGAGCTTGTAACGTATGTCTTACAAACCAGGGATATGCCCGAGAGCCACACCGGACACAACTAGGGCTGGGCGATATATCGATATAAAAAATATATCGATATATTTTTAATGTGATATGGAATTAGACCATATCGCATATATTGATATAGTTCAAATTTGCGCTGTGATCCTTGCTCCAAGCGAGCTGCTGACCCGGAGCTCTCTGCACTGCCCCTGCGCCCCCGCCACCGCCCCTCCTCTTTCAATAACCTAATGTAATGTTTGTGTTCATATCCATAATTTAGACTGTAACGTTGTCAGACTGTTAGGTAAGCTAACTGTGAGTAATTAACTGATGTTACAGGTAACTTAACGTGCTAACGCTAACATTTGCTAACGTTAGCTTGTTAAGCTCGGCATGATTCATGTCAGCAAAACACAACGTTAATATTAAGTTGTTCTGTTCACAGGCAGCAAATCTTTATACCATTAACGTTATGTTTCTAACGTTACAGACACTTGTTGCTGAGTCAACCTAATGTAAAGCTCAGTAACAGCATTAACTTACGTTACGTTGTTTTAACGTAATTGTACTTGCTTGTGTAATAACAGTAGCAGTTTTGGTGAGTGGTAATAGCCTTACTGCCTTCTGAAAATATTAATTTAAAAGTTATAATGCAGCCTAACTTCTGGTCACAACGTGTGTGTGTGTAGGTGTGTCTTTGTAAGAGAGAGAGAGAGAGAGAGAGAGAGAGAGAGAGAGAGAGAGAGAGAGAGAGAGAGAGAGAGAGAGAGAGAGAGAGACTGAACATTTGCTCTCACTTTGCGGAAAACATATCAGGATATATATCATATATCGATATTCAGCCTAAATATATTGGGATATGACTTTTGGTCCATATCACCCAGCCCTAGACACAACCTGGCAGAACATCTGAGAAGGGCCCTCGCTGAGTGGGGAATCACAGAAAAGGATCCAGTAATTGTCACTGAATTTGCGTCAAATATGACAATCGCAGCTGAGGAGGCAGCGTTCACACTTCATATCAAATGCAACGCTCACACCCTTAATCTGGCTGCACAACGTGCCCTTAAAATCACAGCAGTCGCATGCCTGTTGGGAAGACGCATTGTGAATTTCTTCAGACGAAGCACCACAGCCAACCACGTGCTGAAAGAGAAACAGAGGCTTCTACGACTACCACAGCACAAGCTGATGACGGACGTGGTTACCAGGTTCATGTGTGGTTACTTTTCAATACTTTATTTTGTTACTAATTTATTTTGACATTAATGTAAAGCAGCAATCTGTGCATCCATGCTGTGACGGGCGCTATAGGTCTATAAATAAAGTTTCTTACTTTTATTTAACTACAGGTGGAACAGTACGCACGAAATGTTGGAAAGAGTCCTCAAGCAACAACCAGCCATATGCGCAGCCCTGCTCTCGAGTGAGGTCAGGAAGACTGAGAAGGATCACTGCACACTGACCGAGTCAGACATGACAACAGCTGAAGAAGCAGTCATCGCGCTGAAGCCCATGAAGGAGGCTACACAGTACACGTCCAAGGAAAAGACCACCACACTGTAAGTGGTCGCACCCCTCCAGGACACACTGATCAATGGCCTGAAAGTGATCAGAGGCTGCCATGGCTGGGGATCGTCAGAAGAGCTACATCGACCTCAAGGCAACTCTCCATGCATGTTCAGCGATGGATCCAAGATTCAAAAGTCTTCCCTTCCTGACTGAGAACGTAAGACAGGAAGTTTATGATGGACTGATTGCAGAGGCTGCAAGAATGAGCATGCAGCCATCAGAGGTAAGGCAATGATGGTTCTGCTAGGTTTAACCCTTGGCCTTGTATCCTATCCACCATCTCCTGGCGAGAATAAGCATAGGCTTAAATAATACATTGTTCAAAGTTTAAAAGGCAAATCCTACAACGTGTACAGTTTAAAATGGATAAATATTAAATAGTTTAAAAAGCATAAATACTATAATGTTAACAGGTTTAAAGGCATAGATATTAAATACAGTAATTAAAAGATTTATTACAGTAAAAAAAGAGGGGACAGCAAATGCTAGCGCTGATGATGAGGGGATGGCATCCGAAGAAGAGGCTGTGGAGAGTGATTCAAGGAAGGAGCGAGCAGTCAACGTCAGTATCACCCATTGTTATCCAGTGAAGCGCACTGTGTTGTCTGAAGCTCTGCGTAGGAATTATGGAATGTGCTTACCTATAAATAATGTGTTTTTGTTTTTAATGTTTATTTATTTGAAGGTCAGCATCCTCCACCCAGGAATCCAAGGCCGTCTTGTCCACTGGCTGCCCTTCTTGGTGAACGATACGGGGGTTCAGCACGACCCAAGACCCAAGAGGATGAGGTCAAGGAGCAGATGACCCGCTATAAGGAGGCAGATCTCCTGGAAGTGAAAGAAGATCCACTGGTCTGGTGGAAAGAACACCAGTATGAGTATCCACTCTTGTCACACCTTGCTAAAAGGTACCTCTGCATCCCTGGCACTAGTGTCTCCTCGGAGAGGGTCTTCTCCACCGTCGGAGATATCATCACTGCTCAGAGAAGTGCACTTCTCCCAGAGCACGTCGATCAGATTCTATTCCTGAACAAGAAACCCAAGAGAATGTAGATCACTTGGTCTGCAGTTATGTGGAGAGGAGACTGTCTGTTTAGTGTTCACTTGTAGGTCAGGGCCTACAGGCCTTAAGCTACTCTGTTAAGACGGGTACAGTTTTAAGTTGGCTTAAATGTTGCTCATATGGACTTGAATTATTGGCTGCCATGGTTTATTTTTACTTACCTGGTGGCTAGATTGGCTACCTTATATGTTCAGAACAGGCCACTTTCTGCACTTTTTATTTATTTATTTTTTTTACACTATTCTATTATTGGGTAATATTACATTACGGAGCGTAAGTGAACGCACCACTGCAGATGTCACTCACTAACGTTAGTTGCGGTTTGGACCCACATGCGGCGCACTTGAAAACTGAATCACGGGTGAATTTATTAAACATGGACTTTATGAAAGAAATGGAGAAAGTCAGCAGAGACACACACCGGGAGAGAGAGAGACAGAAAGAGGCGGAGCGAACGGGCGTGTTTGCCGTGAGTGACCAGAGGTCCAGGCTAGGTGTGTGTGCTGTGTGTGAGTGTGGGGAGAAGAGAAAGTGAGCAGATTAAAGTAGTAAATAAACACAAAAATAAGGTGGAAAATGACCTAGAATAACCAACTGTCAATACAAATACGATATAGGCCTACACTGCTACCACCCCACGGGCCGCCACCACCGCTGCAGTTACACTGTTTTAACGCGAGCTCAACAGTCCAGGGAGCGAGTGTGTCGCGGTTCTGTCTCTCGGATCCGCGACACGAGGCCGTGGACTTGTGTGTCGCAATTTTAGTCTCGGTTTCAGAACCGTTACAGCCCTATTTAATCCTACACTTTATTTACTTTTAAACGGCTTGTAAGCTACAGTTTGCACATCAATAAATGGAACCAATTTTCTCAACACATCTTTGATTTATTTTGTCCAGCATTTGCAAGCTGTAGACTCTGTCCAGTCAGAGCCATATATTGTGTAATTAATGCTTTCAGTTTTCATTAATTCAATCCAAGTCAATGGAACAGTCACAAGATGTCACCAAAATCACCCTGTCCCTTTAAAATCTTTCAGAAAATGATGTAAGTGTATTGAATCGTATCGGGAGCTGAATATCGTTTATCGTATCGGGAGATTAGTGTATCGCTACAGCCCTAGTGTGTAAGATTCTTGTTTCAAGTCCCGGTCCACAGCCAAGCATTTCTGTTGAAACGTACTGGTTCTGATTCTGAATGTGAAGTTGCACAATTTAAAGGCAGTGTTTAAGATTCTGTATTTTTTATTTTATTTTTGATACTTAGAAAAAATAAGTGGGAAACCATTTTATTTATTTTCATTTAATTGTATGTCACAGGAAATGTTAAGTTTGATGTAATTTTATTTTTATATATATATATATATATATATATATATATATATATATATATATATATATAATAAATGTAAATTTTCTTAAAAAGGAAACAAATTGGTTGTTGTTATTAAGTGATCTGTCTTGTTTTCTATAATTGGGCTTTAATTAAGCAAAAGTATGTTTTATCCGATTATTCGATGAATCAATGGAATATTCGATAAAATACTCGATTACCAAAATATTCGATGCAGCCCTATTGGAAAGCATAATCAATCACTTTTGTCCAACTCTGACAGCCGTACTGCCTCCACACTCACACAGTGACGCACAGCATCAGGAGCAGTTCACACTTCATCTATGTGAAGAATGATAATATGAAATTTGATTGTAGCTTACAGTCAAATGCTCAGTTTGATGATGAAATGTATTTGTTGTTTATTTCTGACTTTTAGAGCTCGGTGGTTCTCACAGGACAAACATATGATGATCTTATAGAATCTGACACGTTGCTGTAGATTAAATAAAGTAGTTCAACATCTACATCCACATGAATGCAGCAGTAATATTGATCCATCAGATATAATAGTCCAACCTGTTCCTGCACTATCACTACTTTTCCTTTGAGTCCATTGTGCTGATCATCCTGTTACTGCAGTAAAGGCTGTGAATACTACTTCCAGCTCAGAGTGTGAACAGTGAGAGAAGAAGCAGTACAGTGAACCAACCTGCTCTGTGTAACCGAAGTTGAGGGTTGAAAACAGCGTCCAGTAGTTTCCGTTGTCGCTCGTTCTCCTCTTTTGAACGACAAAGTTCCTCCTCGTACTCTGCTATCGTTCTTTCAAACAGCCCAAATATCTCTTCAGCAGCCGCAGTTAGTCGCTGCTTCACCAACGCTCTCAGCATTTGGACTTTACACATTTTCACACAATCAGCTTTGTAGGCTACCGGGAGATGAGTCAGCGGTAAAACATTCCGAAAAACGGTGAACCGGAGGCAGCAGACTCTTTGAAATGAAGTTAAAACACCTCGGAGACTTTAATTATTTATAACGTCGTTTGCCAGCCGCCATTAAACACCACGAAGAAGAAGCACCGGAAATGATTGTCCGGGTTCAGAGTGGAACAAGATGGCGTCCAGTAACAACGTGTCCCTTTGTCGTGCTGAGAAAGTGTGTGTGACATCCACAGTAACGAGCCAACAAAGTACACCGGTCTTTGAAGCCAATTTTACATAGTGGAAACAGTGTTTTTGACGGAGTTTGTGTGATTGTGTGAAAATGTGTAAAGTCCAAATGCTGAGAGCGTTGGTGAAGCAGCGACTAACTGCGGCTGCTGAAGAGATATTTGGGCTGTTTGAAAGAACGATAGCAGAGTACGAGGAGGAACTTTGTCGTTCAAAAGAGGAGAACGAGCGACAACGGAAACTACTGGACGCTGTTTTCAACCCTCAACTTCGGTTACACAGAGCAGGTTGGTTCACTGTACTGCTTCTTCTCTCACTGTTCACACTCTGAGCTGGAAGTAGTATTCACAGCCTTTACTGCAGTAACAGGATGATCAGCACAATGGACTCAAAGGAAAAGTAGTGATAGTGCAGGAACAGGTTGGACTATTATATCTGATGGATCAATATTACTGCTGCATTCATGTGGATGTAGATGTTGAACTACTTTATTTAATCTACAGCAACGTGTCAGATTCTATAAGATCATCATATGTTTGTCCTGTGAGAACCACCGAGCTCTAAAAGTCAGAAATAAACAACAAATACATTTCATCATCAAACTGAGCATTTGACTGTAAGCTACAATCAAATTTCATATTATCATTCTTCACATAGATGAAGTGTGAACTGCTCCTGATGCTGTGCGTCACTGTGTGAGTGTGGAGGCAGTACGGCTGTCAGAGTTGGACAAAAGTGATTGATTATGCTTTCCAATAAACCCACATATAATTGATCTATTCGACTATCTATTGCACATATGGACGTTATATAATAATGTGCATTATGTCCAGATAAGACAAGTCAATACGAGAGATGTCATTTCTTATAGGTATGATTATTTAAACTTTAACATATAATTATATATATAAATATCTCTTGGAGGCAGAGAGTCGTCACTGTGGTGGTGGCGGAGGGATTCACAGAGATGTGGAGTTGTGAAGTGGCCCCGGCTCCTGCTGAGCTGGGGGGGGGACTGGTGAGGGGTCTCAGGACTGCTCCTTTTGTCTGTCGAAGCGACAGTAGAACTCATTCAGCTCGTTTGCTAGGCGCAACTCATTAATGGGGGGGGGTTATGTTTGTAGTTGGTTATCTGTCTGAGCCTCTTCCAGACAGAACCAGAGTCGTTGGCTGAGAACTGATGGTGAAGTTTCACAGATCAGCTTGAGTTGTTCCCCTGATATTCATGAGCTCTTCTCTAGTGAAAGAGCTCCGGGTATCACAGCTGAAAAACTGAGTTAACAAACAAAACAAGAAAAAACAAAGCGCACCAACAAACAGAGGCGACCGCATGTGGCGCCACCTTAGATGACTCATCTTAGATATATTCATAACCTGAAACAATGATGCACATTCACAATCCGAGCTGTGTGCTGTGATTGATAATAGTTATTATTAATAATAACTATGTCGTGGAAATTCTTCCCAAACGTGAGAGGTGCTAAGTCTCTGAAGAACTTTCAAGCCGGTGTGATAATCAAGTCACTTTAATTCATGCTGCATGGAGAGAAGGTCACGTCGTGGATGTTCTCTCCCGACTTCCAAAATGCTCTCCCTTATATACATTCCAGTACATCTCATTACATCACAAACAATATAACCCCCTGTGTCTTGCAAATGTTACTCCTGTAACTCCAGGTCTCTCTCATCAAATGGTCCTTCCATCTGTGCCTTCCCCCTGGCTCTTCCTATCATAAAACCTTAACCCTTTGACCAGGGGCACATCTATTTTATTACCCCCAAATCCTGTTTCTCTCCCACAACTATTTTATCTTTTGATTCACTTGAAACTAAATAATAATCCATGGAACCTGCATGCACAAAGCTTCAGTCTCTAGCCTATTTAACTGTTCAATATTTATTCAGTCAGTACAGTCCAGTACAGTAGCTTACACCTTTGGAATATTATGTTTAAATGTCACTAAAAATACCATGAGTGGAGGTTAAAGTAGTAATACCACATACCACATTCACTGCTCCAATTCCCTGCAGATCATATCGTATGTACTGTTCGACTGCAGATATTAAAATATGTTGGACTAAAAATAGTACTTTAGATTTAGCACCAATGAAGAATCTTTGGGTGATGTTCCCATATATTAGTCCGGAGCTGTCCACTCCTACATTGGTAAACAGGAACAAATCTGGCAGACTCCTTTCGACAAGCATGTTGACCCTTTACTGTTCTCCAACTTTCCCTTGCTGTGGCAGCAGACCGCACCGTTAAAGGTTAAAGAATCTTTTGCCTTGTTCAGAAGAAACACTGATCTTTTTAATCATTGCTTACTTCCCATGAAGTCTTCTGCTTATAATCCTCATGAGACCTTGTCAACAGATTTCAACTTGGTTCCAATGTGTTTCCACTGAGTGACATCTTCAGCCTGATGATGATCCCACAGTTATCCAGTCTGGATTTAACAGAAAGTGGTGGTTTTCCATAATGTCTATCTTTGTGTTTACTGTGTCCTGCAGACGTCCAGCAGCTGTCAGTGATTAAAGAAGAGGTTCCCCCTGAGCAGCAGCAGGAATGGAGACCCAGTCTGGACCAGGAGGACCCAGAGCCCCCACACATTAAAGAGGAACAGGAGGAAGTCAGGACCAGTCAGGAGGAAGTCAGGACCAGTCGGAAGGAAGTCAGGACCAGTCAGGAGGAAGTCAGGACCAGTCAGGAGGGAGAGCAACTTCAAGAGTTTACATTCACTTCTGTCCCTGTGAAGAGTGAAGATGATGATGATGAAGAGAAACCTCAGTCCTCACAGCTTCCTCAAAGACTAACTGAACAGATGGAAACAGATGATGGAGAGGACTGTGGAGGACCGGAACCAGCCAGAAACTCAGATCCAGATGAACATTCACAACCTGATACGGATGGTAAGACTAAAGACTCTTTTGAATCTGAGACTGATGATAGTGACAATGATTTTAAAGACACCAGGGAACCTCAGTCAGGTGATGTTACCAATGTAAAGCCTTTGAGCTGTTCAGTTTGTAAGAAATGTTTTTTCATGGAGACAAAGTTTACGTAGACACATGAAAATTCACACAGGTGAGAAACTGTTTAGCTGCTCCGGTATGTAGTAAAAGCTTCAGTCCAAAGAGTCATCTGCAGAGACATATGAGAAGTCATACTGGTGAGAAACCATTCAGCTTCTCAGTGTGTCATAAAAGCTGTCAAATCAATTCTGTTTGAGTTTCATTCCATTACAGATTAACACTGCGTGGAATTCTTAAAAGTTAACACTGGAGGGTACGATAACTCTGATAAGTGTTGATATTACACATTACTGGGTTGATAATTTACTCTCTTGCAATGAAAAACAAGCTCATATAGAGTAAAATTCTAACGCTGTATAGTGTGAATGAAATTTGACACCATTTCTGAAAGGAAATCTTAGCAGTGTTCATTTTACACCTAATTTACTCTTTTTTTAGTTTCAACCTACACGCAAATGCACCATTAAGTGAGTAAAAATTTAAGTTTAATCAAACTAATGCATTTAAGAACTTTATTAGCAGCTCTCAACTGTGTCAAAATATCACCTCATCAAAACATCTCATGTAGAATACAAACCTACATTCAAAACACTGACCTTAAGCCCGCATAAAATGACAATATGGAACAACATACAAAGAGGAAAGTGTTGTTCTATACTTCTATTCTTCTACTGCTCAAATGAACATCAGTGTCAACCTCCTGGTCAATATACTCGGTGTGTTTGGTGTTTAAATGTTTCCTAAAACCAGAAAACGTACCAAACACACATCCACATCCAGTCTGGGCACATTTAAGCCTGAGATTTTTTCCAGGTAAGTCACCTAATCGTAAATGGCTAACAAGCGTATTTGAACTAGTTAACTGAGCCTGACAAACAAAACACTGCATGACAGAGGAGAAACTTCAAGCACTAATAAAGCAACCTTGCCCTAACTTCAGAGACACGAGGACTTTCCTTGACCTTGCCAACATCAATGTTGTGCACTGTGGTTTGGATGAACGTGTACATGTTGTGAAGCATGCTGTTGTAAGATTTGCCAAATACAAAATGAGCCTTAAACAGTTCATCAAAGGCACCAAGAGAAGAGGTTGACCTGCAAGGTATGGCATTCTTGAACTGGTGGATTACATTCTTCTTAACTCCAACAGCCGGGAGATAGAGTTGAGCTCTGGAGGTGATGGCATCGAGATGCTCTTGAATGTTTGTTCCAGTCTGCCAAGACAAACACATGAAGATATGATTACAATTGGACAGTTGTAAAACATAAAACCAAAAACCGAAAAACGACATAATAACACTTTAAGTTAGACATATTGACAACCAACTAGTTGCTTATTAGAATACATGTTAGCAGCATATTGACTGTCAGTACTTGTTATAAAGCACTTTATTAATGCCTTATTGTGCATGACCGTATTCTACAACTATTAGGCAATTATATAAGATTTGTCCCTCAATAACCTCCAAAAATACAAACCTTCTTGAAGACCACAAGATGCTTCTCTGCTTGGGATGCCGAAACCTTTCCTGGTCTCTTCCAATCTTGAGCAGAGGGTGGAATCAGGTAGCACCAATAAAACAGACGAAAGGTCACTGTCCCAACCTGTAACAACAATCTTGTGTTCAATCTCAACACACTTCAGTTATGCGGGCTGTCAAGAAAATTCAGTGGCTCTGCAATGGCAACAGCATTTAAACAATCAGCTTACCAAAGTCAACATCAACTTCAGTTGGACAATTTAAATTATCTGACAGGCAAGTTAACGGGTGATAGTTAATGGAGTATTACTACAACGCCTGTATACCATCTTATAAAAACTATTGAACTGTCATAATATTTTCAAAATAATGATAATTACCAAGCCTTTGATGTCTTTAAAACGTGGAAAGTCTGACGGTATGTTGCTCGACTGCTGGGGGTCAAGGACCATGTTGCAGCGATACACAAACGTCAGTTTCAGTCTTTTCTTGACCGTGTCTGAATGTTTCGGACACTCGTCTGACAGTTGGTCCTCCAGACATGTCTTCACCAGATGATTCTTTGGCTGATTCTACATAAAATGGTAAATTACAGTATTAGAAATACTGATATCAAAAACAGTTTTAGAAACTTGGCCAACTTTTAAAGAGGTACTCTACCCAAAAGTATAAACTTAATTACTGACTGTACTGTGATGAAACACATCAGTGCTGCTGTTAATATTGACATTTTCTTCACAATTTATGATTATTACTATTATTTTGTGCGTTAAAATTGGCTGTAGTTAGACTTCAAGAAAAAATATTGTATAATTTTTCTGAGAAACATTATGTGCAACAAATGCAATAACTGATCTTGCGACTGTTTTGTTCCATACATTTATCCAGTATTACCTCTAAACGACGATTGCTTGTCTTTAGCGGTGCCTCTCTGAATACTTTCAATCCTACAGGCCAAGTACCCAGTTCCACTCTCACTATCATAGTAGTGCTGCTTGGATTTTTTGGGGATTTCTTTCACTTGTCTGGGTGGGGATGTACTGCAAGGAGAAAGGAGTTTGCAGTTATATTCACTGGATTTAATTTCAATTTCAAATTCATCTCTAAGCTAGATTCAGAACACAAGCACTGTTAACAAATTACCCATTATTTTCTGTCATGTCAGCTGCCAGTATGTTCACCATTTTTCGTCTGGTTTCATCCATCAAGGATTTGGTTGGGTTGTATTAATTTATTACACGTTCCCCACCAGGTTTGTTGGTAAGAACGGATTCCATCAACTTGAAACACAATACAATTAATGGATTTTAATATCTTTGATGTGCACTTAATTATGATAAAATAAAACATTTTCAGGGGCTAAAAGAAACAAAACTTAACAAACTTAGACATAATCATGAGATCAACAATGTCTTCAAACAACGTAAATGTTATAAGAACTTATTTATAAGAACTTACTTGCTTAGCTTCTGCATCCAACCTCTGGCGTTTTCTGGAGGGAAATCAGAAATGATGTCTGTGTCGTTAGAGTCCAAGGAATTGAAGGATGATGGTTAGGATTGCTCAGGAGAGGCTACCGTGGAGACAGATTCTAATCATGAATTGAGAAATCGAAATAAGAACACATTATATAGAGTTTGCTGATAACCCTAACCTGTCACTTATAATTAACATCATAACATAATAGAAATTTAACAGAAACAATCCTGAGCTATATTGGATGGTTAACACCCCCGTTGAGGGATCTGTTACTACATCCTCAAAAACATCTTCATCCAACTCAGTCACTGAACTGTCGACAACTTTCAATCTTCTGTTACAGCTGGGACACCAGTCTTTGCAAATGCTAAGAAACAGGCACAAAAGCTTGTGTAAACAGGAACATAATTGCTTATCTAATGATAACATTTCACTACTCACTTAATATTCACTGAATCTGGATTAGGGTTGCAAAATCCGGGAATTTCAAATTTGGAAACTTTCCATGGGAATTAATGGGAATAAACTGGATATTTTTAATATTGCTTGTTATAATACTGTTAGTCTATAACAGGGAACTTACATGTAGTTGAAAAGAAACATCTTGCAGGATAATCTTGCTTAAAACAACCTGATTTAATGCAACTTGAATGTCCTCCCTATATTTGTCAATGACATGCACACACGCAGTAATCAGCATAGGCTACTACATACGTTTTTTTCTTTTTTCAGGGGGGTTAATACATAACCCATTGTTATTAACCTATTTGGGTTAATTGTATTTTACACATATAACCATAACCATAGCCATAGTAAATCAAAGGCAGCATGCTAGCTACCATCATATGTTAAGCTAAAGGTCAATGGTTTGGGTTACTACTTATGGTGCTATCCATTTGTCTCATAAATCCCCCGCCCAAATTGCTCTGACGAGAACCTGACGTAATTGCCTGGATTGTACCACTTTTAGCGTTACATTTGTCTTTGGGCATTACGAGTCGGAAAGAACATGGACGCCACCAGAATGTTTCCAAAATTCCCCAGTTTATCTTTCCATGGAAAGTTTCTGGAAATTTACGGGAAAATGTCCACCTCTTTGCAACCCTAATCTGGATTACCTTTTACAGTAGGGCTCAAACAAACACTTAATGTGAATTTAAAATGTTTATGTTTTTGTACCAACTATACTTTAAGCAATGCATCCAAAGTTATGGATGTGGTTAGAAAGGGGAACACAAAACACATAGACAATTGTAAGATATTGATCAATTCCAAAATCCAAGAACCTAAAATTTTCTATGATTTTATAATAATATTCTAGTATTTTAAACAACTACATTCGGTTACTATTAGCACTTAAAGCTTCTTGTGCAAATCTTAATTCCACAATGTCAATTTCTTACCTGCAATAAAAAAATTCTTTCAGATTTGGCTCTGTTATTCTAACAAATTTTTGGCCAACACCAAGTTTTGCTTTAAGCAGCATGCTCCCTGCAGAGAGTATCAGCACAGTTAAGGTTAAAGTTCATGTGCTCATTATTACAATAAACAAAAACTATATGCCCTTTATTCCCTCAAATTTGAGAATATACATAACATACATAGGAATATCATTTCAACTGAACAGCCCAGAAGCAAGGCCACCTTTTATGAGGTGAATCCCGTTCACTTTGAGTATAGTAAAAAGTAATGTTTCAAGCCACCAAGCTGCTGAAAAATAATCAGCTACTTTGCAGAAGTAACCAGTAAGATTTAATTTAACTTAATCATATAATTTTCCTGAAGGTGCCAAACCGTCATAGGGATTTACTTTATATTACTGTAGTAACGTTACTTAATTCTACCATTACAACACAAAGACAACACTGCCAACCCCCCAAAAGCCACCAGGTGCGGACGCGCCGCATTATGTCTGCTATTCAATGTTTCAATACCCACCAGCAGCCGTGGTTCGGGAAATGTCACAGAAGCGAGCCTCCAGTGTTCTATATCTGACCGACACTTCGAGCAGCCCACGTCAATTTACACAGAGAACCTCCAGCGGGTGGAAGCCAGACACAACCGGTAGTAAAAACAGAAAAAAGTGAAACGAATTAATTACATATATTTTCACCAACACTGTACGGTATCTTACTCCAGCTGTTGTTGTACTAACTCTGAAAGAGTCAATGTACTTTGGCACTGCATATTTAAAACTGTGGAATTTACTGTGTACATGAACTGTGAACTGCTCCTGATGCTGTGCATCACTTTGCGAGTGTGGAGGCAGTACGGCTGTCAGAATTGGACAAAAATTACTGTTGATTATGCTTTCCAATTAACCCACATATAATTGATCTATTCGACTATCTATTGCACATATGGACGTTATATAATAATGTGCATTATGTCCTGATAGGGAAAGTCAATACGAGAGACGTAATGTCTTAAAGGTATTATTATTTTAACTTATATCTTGAAGGCAGAGAGTCATCACTGTGGTGGAGGAGGAGGGATTCACAGAGATGTGGAGTTGTGAAGTGGCCCTGGCTCCTGCTGAGCTGGGGGGGAACTGGTGAGGGGGTGCAGGTGAGGGGTGTCAGGACTGCTCCTTTTGTCTGTCAAAACGACAGTAAGACTCATTCAGCTCGTTTGCTAGACGCAATTCATTGGTGGGGGAGGGGTTAGGTTAGGGTTGTAGTTGGTTATCTCTCTGAGCCCCTTACAGACAGAACCAGAGTTGTTGGCTGAGAACTGACATGGAAGTTTCTCAGAGTACTGTCGTTTAGCTTCTCTCACCGCCTTGCTTAACTTGTACTTTGCCTCCATAAACCTGTCCCTGTCCCCACTCCTGAATGCTTGCTCCTTCTGTAACTGTCTTTGGCTGTGAACCTGGGTTTGTCATTGTTATAACTCACTGTGGTGCGAGATGGTACACAGCAGTCCTCACAGAAGCTGACGTATGACGTCACAGCCTCTGGTCCAGACTGTTGGTAGCAGTCCTGAACACATCCCAGTCAGTAGAGCCCAAACATGCCTGAAGACCCTCTGCAGCTTCACTGGTCCACTATTGTGATGTCCTCACAACAGGTTTACAGAGCTTTAATTTCTGCCTGTATGAAGGAATCAGGTGGACCATGACTGTTCAGAGAGGCCAAGTGCGGGGGACGACGTGATAAGCTCCGCTGACTGTAGTGTAACAGTGATCCAGTGTGTTCTTCTCTCTGGTCAGGCATTTAATAAACTGTCTGTATTTGGGGAGTTCGTGGCTGAGGTTTCCTTTGTTAAAGTCACCAAGGACAATAACTAAAGAGTTCGGGTTAGTCCGCTCCACACTCAGTATGTGGTTGGCGAGCGTGCGCTGTGCCTCCTGCAAGGTGGCCTGCGGTGGAATGTAAACACTTACCAGAATGTATGAAACAAATTGACAGGGGGAGTGAAAAGGTTTACAGTTTATGAGGAAATATTCCAGATTAGAAGAGTAGTGCTGTTGGCTCACTGTCACATCATTGTACCAGCTACTGTTGGTGCACGAACAGATTCCTTCACCCTTTGTTTTACTGGAGAGTTCTGTATCACGATCTGCTCTGAAGAGTTGGAAGCCTGCCAGCTGCAGTGCAGTCCGGTATCGATCCACAGAGTCCGGTATCGATCCACAGAGTCCGGTATCGATCCACAGAGTCCGGTATCGATCCACAGAGTCCGGTATCGATCCACACAGCCACGTCTCCATGAAGCATGAAAGAGAGGATGAAGAAAAGTCTCTGTTTTTCCCCAGAAGTAACTGAAGTTGGTCCATTTTATTACACATTGAACGCATGTTGGAAAGGAATATCCCTGGTAACGGTGTGTGATGTCCGTGCTGGCAGAGGCGCCCAAGCGCACCGGCACGTTTTCTTCTCCTCCTGCGTTTCACTGGTCGGTGCACCTTTGACCACGATGTCCAATATTTCAGCTGAAGAAAGAAGAAAACTGGTCAGACAGATCAGCTTGAGTTGTTCCACTGATATTCATGAGCTCGTCTCTAGTGAAAGAGCTCCAGGTATCACAACCAAAAAACTGAGTTAACAAAGAAAACAAACAAGAGACAAACAAAGCGCACCAACAAACCGAAGTGACTGTACGTGGTGCCATCTTAGATGACTCATCTTGAATATCTTCATAACAAGAAACGATAAAGCACATTCACGATCCGAGCTGTGTGCTGTGATTGATAATGGGTTATTATTAATAATAACTATTTTATCTTTTGATTCACTTGAAACGAAATAATAATCTGTGGAACCTGCATGCACGAAGCTTCAGTCTCTAGCCTATCTAATTGTTCAATATTTATTCAGTCAGTACAGTCCAGTACAGTAGCCTACACCTTTGGAATATTGTTGTTTCAATGTCACTAAAAATAAAAATACCCTCAGGGAAAGTTAAAGCAGTAATAGAAATGAAAACATACTGTACCACATTCACTGCTCCAATTCCCTGCAGATAATATCGTATGTACTGTTCGAACGGAGATATTTAAATATGTTGGACTAAAAATAGTACTTTAGATATAATTTATGATCTTGGCTTTAAAGTAAATTAATAACTCTTTAATTGCATTGACTGTATCTACTAACTAGTGTTATTGTGACTACCCATTCAATTCAAATGTTTCAACAATAATAAAAAAAGAAAAATATTTTTCTTCATGCGTAGTGAACCAATGAAGAATATTTGGGTGATGTTCCCATTTATTTGTCCGGAGTAGTCCACTCCTACATCGATAAACGGGAACAAATCTGGCAGAATCCTTTCGACCGGCATGTTGACCCTTTACTTGACCAACTTTCCCTTGCTGTGGCATCAGACCGCACCGTTAAAGGTTAAAGAATCTTCTGCCTTGCTCATAAGAAATTCTGATCCTTTTAATCGTTGCTTACTTTCCAGGAAAGTCTGCTGATAATCCTTGTGAGACCTTTTCAACAGATTTCAACTTGGTTCCAATGTGTTTCCACTGAGTGACATCTTCAGCCTGATGATGATCCCACAGTTATCCAGTCTGGATTTTAACAGAAAATGGTGGTTTTCCATAATGTCTGTTTACTGTGTCCTGCAGACGTCCAGCAGCTATCGGTGTGTAAAGAAGAGGGTCCCCCTGAGCAGCAGCAGGAGTGGAGACCCAGTCTGGACCAGGAGGACCCAGAGCCCCCACACATTAAAGAGGAACAGGAGGAAGTCGGGACCAGTCGGAAGGAAGTCAGGACCGGTCGGAAGGAAGTCAGGACCAGTCGGAAGGAAGTCAGCACCAGTCAGGAGGGAGAGCAACTTCAAGAGTTTACATTCACTTATGTCCCTGTGAAGAGTGAAGATGATGATGATGAAGAGAAACCTCAGTCCTCACAGCTTACTCAAAGGCTAACTGAACAGATGGAAACAGATGATGGAGAGGACTGTGGAGGACCAGAACCAGCCAGAAACTCAGATCCAGATGAACATTCACAACCTGATACGGATGGTAAGACTGAAGAGTCTTCTGAATCTGAGACTGATCATCGCAACAATGATTTTAAAGACACCAGGGAACCTCAGTCAGGTGATGTTACCAATATAAAGCCTTTCAGCTGTTCAGTTTGTAAGAAATGTTTTTCATGGAGCAGATATTTACGTATACACATGAAAATTCACACAGGTGAGAAACCGTTTAGCTGCTTAGTGTGTCATAAACGCTATGGACGAAAGAGTAGTCTGCAGTTGCACATGAGAACTCACACAGGAGTTAAACCATTCAGCTGCTCGGTGTGTGATAAAAGCTTCAGTCAAAAGTGTCATCTGCAGGGTCACATGAGTACTCATACAGGTATGAAACCTTTCAGCTGCTCAGTGTGTGATAAAAGCTTTGGATATAAGCATTGTCTGCAGGATCACATGAAAACTCACACAGGTGAGAAACCATTCAGCTGCACAGTGTGTGCTAAAAGCTTTGGACATAAGTCTAATCTGCAGTTGCACATGAGAACTCACACAGGTGAGAAACCGTTCAGCTGCTCAGTGTGTGATAAAAGCTTCAGTCTAAAGAGTCATCTGCAGGGTCACATGAAGACTCATACAGGTGAGAAACCGTTCAGCTGCTCAGTGTGTGATAAAAGCTTCAGTCGAAAGAGTCGTCTGCAGGGTCACATGAAGACTCATACAGGTGAGAAACCGTTCAGCTGCTCAGTGTGTGATAAAAGCTTCAGTCTAAAGAGTCATGTGCAGGGTCACATGAAGACTCATACAGGTGAGAAACCATTCAGCTGCTCATTGTGTGATAAAAGCTTTGGATATAAGCATGCTCTGCAGTTACACATGAGAACTCACACGGGTGAGAAACCATTCAGCTGCTCAGTGTGTGATAAAAGGTTCATTCAAAAGGGTCCGCTGCATATACATATGAAAAGTCATACTGGTGAGAAACCATTCAGCTGCTCACTGTGCGATAAAAGCTTTGGATATAAGCATAGTCTGCAGTTACACATGATAACTCACACAGGTGATAAACCATTCAGCTGCTCAGTGTGTGATAAAAGCTTTGGATATAAGAGTAATCTGCATTTGCACATGAGAAGTCATACAGATAAGAAACCTTTCAGCTGCTCAGTATGCCAACAAAACTTCATTAAAAAGAGTACTCTAGCGGACCACATGACAACTCACACATCCAGCTCAGTCTGCAGTTAAAGCTTCTGAATTAAAAGTACTATGCAGAGACACATGAGAACTGACTGAGATGATGAGAGCTGTGGCTCAAACAGAGCGGGTAGTCCCCAAATCGGAAGGTTGTCGGTTCGATCCCCGGCTGCTCCTGCCATGTGTCAAATATCCTTGAGCAAGATACTGAACCCCAAATTGCTCCTGATGCACAGCATCTCTGTGTAAATGTGTTTGAATGAGTTACTTTCTGTTTGATAGACTTTGCCATCACGGTGCATGTAGTGTAAAGGCGCTTTGAGTGGTCGGAAGACTAGAAAGGCGCTATACAAGTATCGGTCCATTTCCCATTTGCAAAGGGAACAGGCCCGCTAGATAACAGACCTGTGATACAGATAACTCTGTTGGGGGGGGGGGTCCCGGAATGCGGCCAGGGTGTGTCATAAAGGCAATAAACGGCCAAACAACAGCCTTTCATTGGTCAAGATCCCTCTGAAACCAGACTTGTCATCACAGCTATTTAAGCCAGAGAGATGATCTCTCTCTCTCTCTCTCTCCCTCTCTCTTCGCCTTTTTTCCTCATCTACCTTCGCTCCTGCTCACACACCGACCCTGGGTGATAAATTTTGACCTTGGTGCGGCCTGATGCACGACGACGCATGACAAAAAATTATAGCACGGCACAAAAGCCTGTTTTTCCTGCGATACCTGCACCAGTGGACATCGCACTGCAGAGACAGTTTTGGACTTCAGAACCACAATTCTGATCAGCATGGCTCACAGGACTGTCAACTGCAACTCTTTTTCATCTCCATTGGACTGTTGGTAACGTACTTGGCATAGACACATAACTTAACAGAGTTCATGGCTAAACAAGGACTGTTTAATCATTGTTAATGTTGCTGATGTGTTTAATTCAGGTTACTGTGGTATTGTGATGTTGATTTGATTAACTGAGGTCACTGTAGTAACCGTAGTCTTTGAGACAGTGCTAAGGTGATGTTAGTTTAATGCTTCACACAGATATCGTCTTTGCATACACTAACTAGATTTTTACGGCACCATTAATCTAAAAATCACCCACACACATATTCGGTCTAAGTACATACATGTAGAGAGGGATTCAAAACCTCCCACTTCTTCATTCTCTGTGTCTCTCACCAGCACGTGTTTCACACCCTGAAACATCTGGTCAGAGGACATTTCATGACCCCCTGCACACGCACACACACACACTCACTCACTCACTCACTCACTCACTCACTCTCTCTCTCTCTTCTTTTCCCCTTTAAGTTAGATTGTATATTGTGTATTTTTCCTCAGTTGGTTTTATTATATCTGGTTAATAAATGTTTGTGTTTACATATGCTGGCCTATTTAATTTCATACGAGTGATACCAACCTCTTCTATGTAGTACTCCAAAGCTCCCACTCTAGCTATTATTAATGATTTTGGTTGCAATTATTAATTTAATTATTAATCTGATTTCTGAATTAATAGTTTAGAGTCATTTTTATGAAACTGATCAATCGATTATTGGTTATGATTCCCTTATTTAAGGGTGGTGCCCCGAGGAACATTAATATTAAAGTCATTTTCTATTATCTTTTGATAATTATAATTTTTGATAACCATTAATTGATTAAACCAATACAGTTAGACCACTCTAACACCCTACGTCGTAGAGCCCGACAACAATGTGACAATGGAAAACAACTTTCCCCTGCCTGGCTTACGGGATCACTGGCCAACAACTCAGCAAGAGTTTACCCATTTCTCCAGGAACCACTACACCACTGAACATAGTGGGCATACATAGCTGTGCACAGTTTAACTGTGTTCATTAAGTACTGGACTGCTTAACTTTTGTAAATGTAATGTATTGATCTAGTTTTATTGTTGTGATTTTGTTCTGGTTTATGTTAGGTTACTGTGTTACTCATGTTCTACACTGCTATGGTGATCTTAGTTAAATCTTGTGTTCCACACAGAAACAGTCTTTGTATAACTAACTCTTTTTAACTTGCCACTGTTCATATAAGATCACCGCGGCCTTTAACACAACCACACACAGCAGAGAGAACCTTTAAAACTGCTTTTTTAAAGAAGGGTTTGTGATTCATCTGACGTCTGAAAATACACCCAAAGTCTGTGGTTATTGAATACTGTGTGCAATCTGTTGGGGTTTTATTGATGACCCCACGGTGGAGATATTGTAGGTAGAATTTTATGAAATGTTACACATACTTGCGATGTGGTTGTATGTACAGAATTCCCAAATTTGTTTGCCTGTCAAGTACAACTGGCTACACCTTCTAAAGTAACAATTACAGGCAACCAATAACTGTATTTTATATTAATCAAATAAATAGTATGCAGCACTTGCATCTGTGCTTTATTTGTCCTGTCCCCTGAAACTCAGAATTATTGTGGAACTATTGTTAGTGGAATTGTATGAAGTTCAGTTTGGGTTTATGGACAACATTCTCAAATTTGGTTGCAGTTCAATTCAGCATTAAAATATGATTGTTATATGTTAAGTGCATCATGACACACCTTCAAAAGGAAGATAGCCAATTACAGACAAGCAATAAGTGACCTACAAGTCTTGTTCTCCTTAATCTAAATATTTTATGTATGAATTTTGGTTAAGATTAGATAAAATATCCAAACTGGTGTAATGTTTTTAGGGCATGAATGGGTGTGGCCCATATTGGTAAAATTGGCATCATCGAAAGAACCCACTGTACAAAAATGTTTCTTCTACTCCAAACAGTTATTAGATAAAAAATATAGTTTTATTGTGAAAGAATAACATAAATCAGGTTAAAGTCGAACTGGAATGATCTTCTGTATAACAGATGTTAAGGCTGTAGGTTCAGTGTCCTCAACCTGGGTACTGTGAGCTTCTCCGCAGAGGAGGAGGACGTGGGGAGACATCACGCTGCAATATTCTGAATTTAGATTGCAGTTCTCTTTTTAAACACTAGCTGTCAGTGTTACACATTTAATACACCTCTAACCCTGCAAAGAGCTCAGTGACCAAAGACCAGCCTCATGGGACTGATGATAAATGACCCCCCAGTTAAGATTCTGTTTGTCATTATAAGGAGAAACTGGTTAAAAAAAGCCGAGACCCCCCTCCGCAGAGGTCAGAGCCCCCTGTTGGCTGTTTCTGTGCAAAACTAACTGAAACTTCAGAAAGGTTCAAGTCTCCCTTGCTTGTCTGTTTAATCGTGTTATGCCCATAATGCCTCATATGCGTTGGTCTTGATGTTGGGAAGACACTTCAGTACCTCATTATAAAGCTGTTTGTCACAAATTTTAATTTCACATTTAATTTTAACTTCATCAAAAACATTGCAGCTTCTGTCATTTGCAAATTGCAATTAGACATATTTCCATCAATTGTGCAGCCCTAAAAACGCTGCAACATGAATCAATATTTGTTAGAAAAGCTGCTGTGAACTATTATATACTATTTTATTATTATATAACCCTGAACATGAGCAGTAGAGTTAATCTCTACAACAGCACAGCTCATCAAACCTTCATTTCATCAAAGGTAATCGGAAAACGATGCTCCCTGCTCGCTCGGTGTAGTGTGTGATGGGCTCTCTCCACCTCTATCGCACTGGAGAGTCCTAGGATCTCCGATAGCCTTTTCTCCATAAAGTCCACAGCGAAAGCCCCCTGGACTCCATGTGGGAATCCCACAATTCTGAAGTTTTTACGGCGCTGTCTGTTCTCATAATCTTCTAGTTTGTCTGTCAGCTCCATCACTTCATTTAGATGTTTCTTTTCCAGCTCTGCGAGCCCTTGGCGTAGGTCCACAGCGGCGGACTTGTAGTCGGTGCACTCTGCCTCCAGTGCGATGATTTTCGTGTTGGTCTAGTGTATGGCCTCATATATTTTCCAGTGCAGCATCAACTTGGTGTAATATAAATTGGTCCATTTTATTGCACAGTGAACACATGTTGGAAAGGAATACCCCAGTTAATGGTGTGCGATGTCCGTGCTGGCGGAGACGAACAAGCGCACCGGCACGTTTTCCTCTCCTCCTGCATTTCATTGCACGAGCGCACCTTTGACCACGATGTCCAATATTTCAACTGAAGAAAGATGAAAACTGGGAAACAGATCAGCCTGAGTTGTTCCCCTGATATTCATGAGCTCTTCTATAGTGAAAGAGCTCCGGGTATCACAGCCGAAAAACTGAGTTAACTAACAAAACAAGCAATAACAAAGCACACCAAAAAACCGAGGCGACCATACATGGCGCCATCTTAGATGACTCATCTTGGATATCTTCATAACATGAAACGATAAAGCACATTCACGATCCGAGCTGTGTGCTGTGATTGATAATAGTTATTATTAATAATAACTATGTCGTGGAAATTCTTCCCAAACGTGAGAGGTGCTAAGTCTCTGAAGAACTTTCAAGCGGTGTGATAATCAAGTCACTTTAATTCATGCTGCATGGAGAGAAGGTCACGTCGTGGATGTTCTCTCCCGACTTCCAAAATGCTCTCCCTTATATACATTCCAGTACATCTCATTACATCACAAACAATAAAACCCCCTGTGTCTTGCAAATGTTACTCCTGTAACTCCAGGTCTCTCTCACCAAATGGTCCTTCCATCTGTGCCTTCCCCCTGGCTCTTCCTATCATAAAACTCAACCCTTTGACCAGGGGCACATCTATTTTATTACCCCCAAATCCTGTTTCTCTCCCACAACTATTTTATCTTTTGATTCACTTGAAACTAAATAATAATCCATGGAATCTGCGGGCACAAAGCTTCAGTCTCTAGCCTATTTAACTGTTCAATATTTATTCAGTCAGTACAGTCCAGTACAGTAGCTTACACCTTTGGAATATTATGTTTAAATGTCACTAAAAATACCATGAGGGGAGGTTAAAGTAGTAATACCACATACCACATTCACTGCTCCAATTCCCTGCAGATCATATCGTATGTACTGTTCGACTGCAGATATTAAAATATGTTGGACTAAAAATAGTACTTTAGATTTAGCACCAATGAAGAATCTTTGGGTGATGTTCCCATATATTAGTCCGGAGTTGTCCACTCCTACATTGGTAAACAGGAACAAATCTGGCAGACTCCTTTCGACAAGCATGTTGACCCTTTACTGTTCTCCAACTTTCCCTTGCTGTGGCAGCAGACCGCACCGTTAAAGGTTAAAGAATCTTCTGCCTTGTTCAGAAGAAACACTGATCTTTTTAATCATTGCTTACTTCCCATGAAGTCTTCTGCTTATAATCCTCACGAGACCCTGTCAACAGATTTCAACTTGTTTCCAATGTGTTACCACTGAGTGACATCTTCAGCCTGATGATGATCCCACAGTTATCCAGTCTGGATTTAACAGAAAGTGGTGGTTTTCCATAATGTCTATCTTTGTGTTTACTGTGTCCTGCAGACGTCCAGCAGCTGTCAGTGATTAAAGAAGAGGTTCCCCCTGAGCAGCAGCAGGAGTGGAGACCCAGTCTGGACCAGGAGGACCCAGAGCCCCCACACATTAAAGAGGAACAGGAGGAAGTCAGGACCAGTCAGGAGGAAGTCAGGACCAGTCGGAAGGAAGTCAGGACCAGTCGGAAGGAAGTCAGGACCAGTCAGGAGGGAGAGCAACTTCAAGAGTTTACATTCACTTATGTCCCTGTGAAGAGTGAAGATGATGATGATGAAGAGAAACCTCAGTCCTCACAGCTTACTCAAAGGCTAACTGAACAGATGGAAACAGATGATGGAGAGGACTGTGGAGGACCAGAACCAGCCAGAAACTCAGATCCAGATGAACATTCACAACCTGATACGGATGGTAAGACTGAAGAGTCTTCTGAATCTGAGACTGATCATCGCAACAATGATTTTAAAGACACCAGGGAACCTCAGTCAGGTGATGTTACCAATATAAAGCCTTTCAGCTGTTCAGTTTGTAAGAAATGTTTTTCATGGAGCAGATATTTACGTATACACATGAAAATTCACACAGGTGAGAAACCGTTTAGCTGCTTAGTGTGTCATAAACGCTATGGACGAAAGAGTAGTCTGCAGTTGCACATGAGAACTCACACAGGAGTTAAACCATTCAGCTGCTCGGTGTGTGATAAAAGCTTCAGTCAAAAGTGTCATCTGCAGGGTCACATGAGTACTCATACAGGAGTGAAACCTTTCAGCTGCTCAGTGTGTGATAAAAGCTTTGGATATAAGCATTGTCTGCAGGATCACATGAAAACTCACACAGGTGAGAAACCATTCAGCTGCACAGTGTGTGCTAAAAGCTTTGGACATAAGTCTAATCTGCAGTTGCACATGAGAACTCACACAGGTGAGAAACCGTTCAGCTGCTCAGTGTGTGATAAAAGCTTCAGTCTAAAGAGTCATCTGCAGGGTCACATGAAGACTCATACAGGTGAGAAACCGTTCAGCTGCTCAGTGTGTGATAAAAGCTTCAGTCGAAAGAGTCGTCTGCAGGGTCACATGAAGACTCATACAGGTGAGAAACCGTTCAGCTGCTCAGTGTGTGATAAAAGCTTCAGTCTAAAGAGTCATGTGCAGGGTCACATGAAGACTCATACAGGTATAAAACCTTTCAGCTGCCCTTTGTGTGATAAAAGCTTTGGATATAAGCATGCTCTGCAGTTACACATGAGAACTCACACGGGTGAGAAACCATTCAGCTGCTCAGTGTGTGATAAAAGGTTCATTCAAAAGGGTCATCTGCATATACATATGAAAAGTCATACTGGTGAGAAACCATTCAGCTGCTCACTGTGCGATAAAAGCTTTGGATATAAGCATAGTCTGCAGTTACACATGATAACTCACACAGGTGAGAAACCATTCAGCTGCTCAGTGTGTGATAAAAGCTTTGGATATAAGAGTAATCTGCATTTGCACATGAGAAGTCATACAGATAAGAAACCTTTCAGCTGCTCAGTATGCCAACAAAACTTCATTAAAAAGAGTACTCTAGCGGACCACATGACAACTCACACATCCAGCTCAGTCTGCAGTTAAAGCTTCTGAATTAAAAGTACTATGCAGAGACACATGAGAACTGACTGAGATGATGAGAGCTGTGGCTCAAGCAGAGCGGGTAGTCCCCAAATCGGAAGGTTGTCGGTTCGATCCCCGGCTGCTCCTGCCATGTGTCAAAGTATCCTTGAGCAAGATACTGAACCCCAAATTGCTCCTGATGCACAGCATCTCTGTGTAAATGTGTTTGAATGAGTTACTTTCTGTTTGATAGACTTTGCCATCACGGTGCATGTAGTGTAAAGGCGCTTTGAGTGGTCGGAAGACTAGAAAGGCGCTATACAAGTATCGGTCCATTTCCCATTTGCAAAGGGAACAGGCCCGCTAGATAACAGACCTGTGATACAGATAACTCTGTTGGGGGGGGTCCCGGAATGCGGCCAGGGTGTGTCATAAAGGCAATAAACGGCCAAACAACAGCCTTTCATTGGTCAAGATCCCTCTGAAACCAGACCTGTCATCACAGCTATTTAAGCCAGAGAGATGATCTCTCTCTCTCTCTCTCTCTCTCTCTCTCTCTCTTCGCCTTTTTTCCTCATCTACCTTCGCTCCTGCTCACACACCGACCCTGGGTGATAAATTTTGACCTTGGTGCGGCCTGATGCACGACGACGCACAACAAAAAATTATAGCACGGCACAAAAGCCTGTTTTTCCTGCGATACCTGCACCAGTGGACATCGCACTGCAGAGACAGTTTTGGACTTCAGAACCACAATTCTGATCAGCATGGCTCACAGGACTGTCAACCGCAACTCTTTTTCATCTCCATTGGACTGTTGGTAACGTACTCGGCATAGACAGATAACTTAACAGAGTTCATGGCTAAACAAGGACTGTTTAATCATTGTTAATGTTGCTGATGTGTTTAATTCAGGTTACTGTGGTATTGTGATGTTGATTTGATTAACTGAGGTCACTGTAGTAACCGTAGTCTTTGAGACAGTGCTAAGGTGATGTTAGTTTAATGCTTCACACAGATATCGTCTTTGCATACACTAACTAGATTTTTACGGCACCATTAATCTAAAAATCACCCACACACATATTCGGTCTAAGTACATACATGTAGAGAGGGATTCAAAACCTCCCACTTCTTCATTCTCTGTGTCTCTCACCAGCACGTGTTTCACACCCTGAAACATCTGGTCAGAGGACATTTCATGACCCCCTGCACACGCACGCACACACACTCACTCACTCACTCACTCACTCACTCTCTCTCTCTCTTCTTTTCCCCTTTAAGTTAGATTGTATATTGTGTATTTTTCCTCAGTTGGTTTTATTATATCTGGTTAATAAATGTTTGTGTTTACATATGCTGGCCTATTTAATTTCATACGAGTGATACCAACCTCTTCTATGTAGTACTCCAAAGCTCCCACTCTAGCTATTATTAATGATTTTGGTTGCAATTATTAATTTAATTATTAATCTGATTTCTGAATTAATAGTTTAGAGTAATTTTTATGAAACTGATCAATCGATTATTGGTTATCATTCCCTTATTTAAGGGTGGTGCCCCGAGGAACATTAATATTAAAGTCATTTTCTATTATCTTTTGATAATTATAATTTTTGATAACCATTAATTGATTAAACCAATACAGTTAGACCACTCTAACACCCTACGTCGTAGAGCCCGACAACAATGTGACAATGGAAAACAACTTTCCCCTGCCTGGCTTACGGGATCACTGGCCAACAACTCAGCAAGAGTTTAGCCATTTCTCCAGGAACCACTACACCACTGAACATAGTGGGCATACATAGCTGTGCACAATTTAACTGTGTTCATTAAGTACTGGACTGCTTAACTTTTGTAAATGTAATGTATTGATCTGGTTTTATTGTTGTGATTTTGTTCTGGTTTATGTTAGGTTACTGTGTTACTCATGTTCTACACTGCTATGGTGATCTTAGTTAAATCTTGTGTTCCACACAGAAACAGTCTTTGTATAACTAACTCTTTTTAACTTGCCACTGTTCATATAAGATCACTGCGGCCTTTAACACAACCACACACAGCAGAGAGAACCTTTAAAACTGCTTTTTTAAAGAAGGGTTTGTGATTCATCTGACGTCTGAAAATACACCCAAAGTCTGTGGTTATTGAATACTGTGTGCAATCTGTTGGGGTTTTATTGAAGACCCCACGGTGGAGATATTGTAGGTAGAATTTTATGAAATGTTACACATACGTGCGATGTGGTTGTATGTACAGAATTCCCAAATTTGTTTGCCTGTGAAGTACAACTGGCTACACCTTCTAAAGTAACAATTACAGGCAACCAATAACTGTATTTTATATTAATCAAATAAATAGTATGCAGCACTTGCGTCTGTGCTTTATTTGTCCTGTCCGCTGAAACTCAGAATTATTGTGGAACTATTGTTAGTGGAATTGTATGAAGTTCAGTTTGGGTTTATGGACAACATTCTCAAATTTGGTTGCAGTTCAATTCAGCATTAAAATATGATTGTTATATGTTAAGTGCATCATGACACACCTTCAAAAGGAAGATAGCCAATTACAGACAAGCAATAAGTGACCTACAAGTCTTGTTCTCCTTAATCTAAATATGTTATGTATGGATTTTGGTGAAGATTAGATGAAATATCCAAACTGGTGTAATGTTTTTAGGGCATGAATGGGTGTGGCCCATATTGGTTAAATTGGCATCATCGAAAGAACCCACTGTACAAAAATGTTTCTTCTACTCCAAACAGTTATTAGATAAAAAATATAGTTTTATTGTGAAAGAATAACATAAATCAGGTTAAAGTCGAACTGGAATGATCTTCTGTATAACAGATGTTAAGGCTGTAGGTTCAGTGTCCTCAACCTGGGTACTGTGAGCTTCTCCGCAGAGGAGGAGGACGTGGGGAGACATCATGCTGCAATATTCTGAATTTAGATTGCAGTTCTCTTTTTAAACACTAGCTGTCAGTGTTACACATTTAATACACCTCTAACCCTGCAAAGAGCTCAGTGACCAAAGACCAGCCTCATTGGACTGATGATAAATGACCCCCCAGTTAAGATTCTGTTTGTCATTATAAGGAGAAACTGGTTAAAAAAAGCTGAGACCCCCCTCCGCAGAGGTCAGAGCCCCCTGTTGGCTGTTTCTGTGCAAAACTAACTGAAACTTCAGAAAGGTTCAAGTCTCCCTTGCTTGTCTGTTTAATCGTGTTATTATTAAACACCACGAAGAAGAAGCACCGGAAATGATTGTCCGAGTTCAGAGTGGAACAAGATGGCGTCCTGTAACAACGTGTCCCGTTGGAAACAGACCAATTTTTTTTTTGACGGAGTTTGTGTGATTGTGTGAAAATGTGTAAAGTCCAAATGCTGAGAGCGTTGGTGAAGCAGCGACTAACTGCGGCTGCTGAAGAGATATTTGGGCTGTTTGAAAGAACGATAGCAGAGTACGAGGAGGAACTTTGTCGTTCAAAAGAGGAGAACGAGCGACAACGGAAACTACTGGACGCTGTTTTCAACCCTCAACTTCGGTTACACAGAGCAGGTTGGTTCACTGTACTGCTTCTTCTCTCACTGTTCACACTCTGAGCTGGAAGTAGTATTCACAGCCTTTACTGCAGTAACAGGATGATCAGCACAATGGACTCAAAGGAAAAGTAGTGATAGTGCAGGAACAGGTTGGACTATTATATCTGATGGATCAATATTACTGCTGCATTCATGTGGATGTAGATGTTGAACTACTTTATTTAATCTACAGCAACGTGTCAGATTCTATAAGATCATCATATGTTTGTCCTGTGAGAACCACCGAGCTCTAAAAGTCAGAAATAAACAACAAATACATTTCATCATCAAACTGAGCATTTGACTGTAAGCTACAATCAAATTTCATATTATCATTCTTCACATAGATGAAGTGTGAACTGCTCCTGATGCTGTGCGTCACTGTGTGAGTGTGGAGGCAGTACGGCTGTCAGAGTTGGACAAAAGTGATTGATTATGCTTTCCAATAAACCCACATATAATTGATCTATTCGACTATCTATTGCACATATGGACGTTATATAATAATGTGCATTATGTCCAGATAAGACAAGTCAATACGAGAGACGTGATTTCTTATAGGTATGATTATTTTAAAACTAACTAATATTTATGACATGAAACAATGATGCACATTCACGATCCGAGCTGTGTGCTGTGATTAATAATAGTTATAATGGATAATAACTATTTTATCTTTTGATTCACTTTAAACTAAATAATAATCTGGAACCTGTGTGCCAGAAGCTTCAGTCTCTAGCCTATTTAATTGTTCCATATTTATTCAGTCAGTACAGTAACCTGTACTTTTGGAATATTCTTGTTTCAATGTCACTAAAAATAAAATGTACCCTGAGGGGAGGTTAATGTAGTAATAGAAATGGAAAAATTGGTTACTTACATTTTAGTTTAGAACGCACTGAGAATCCAGGGATGGAAAGATATTTCTTTGCCATCTGAGCGAGGTAATGGTATCTCCCAGAGCCGAAGGTGGAGAGGATTCTGTTGAGCATCAGAGACTCTTGTTCATACATGGACAGCTCTTTTTGAACCAGCAGAGTGTCGTTCTGGTCTGGCCTGTCTGTGCAATACGTGTCTCTGAAGAGATTCCCCATAGCCGAGTGTTTTTCCCGAGGGGTTGCTGATCACAGGGTTGTTCGGCACCGGCAGCCTCTGTCTCACTGCCTGTACCACATTCGCTGCTCCGATTCCCTGCAGATCATATCATACTTACTGTTCCATCGTGTCAGGCAGTCGTTAACCAGCTTCTCCCTGTTAAATTTCAAAACTCTTTTCCCCTGAAGGAGGTAGTTGTTGCTGGTTTTGGTCAATTTATTGAAATGGGATGCTGCCACGTTCAGGTTTCAATGTCTCTGATCCTGAGCCCTTAAGGCACAGTCAAGTTGATGTTGTGTGCCACAAATGGTATGTTCACTGTTTCAAGATGTCTCTCCACTGCATTGACGTAATTGGCAGCATTGTCTGTTCCTTTTTTATGCTGTAGATGTCCAAGATTACCTGAATGCATTTTACAGTCTGCGTTCTCTGTAGTGTGTCTTTATTGATAAGGATGTCCACCTATATCTGGGAAGAACCACATCTTGGTTTTGTAATTTCTTTATTTTGTCTGATGTGTGTTTCTACAATTCTTTTAGTGATTGTTCCGCGGCTCGGGATATGCATCAGATTCTACAAACCATGGTAGACCAACAGCTCTCTATAGCTGAGCGGTCTTTGCCCAAGTTGAGCCCCTTAGTTGCCTCAATACTCTTCTGGTATTCAGCAATTGTACGTCGATACCAAGTCCTGGTCTGCTAGTTGTATTTTCCTAGATACTCTCATGAACAGCTCTGTAGAACAGACAGTGGAGAAAGTTGACAACGGCTGCACTCGTACTGTATTGTGGCATCTGTAAACTAAAACTAAAATATATCCAGTTTCACCTGAATCAGTAACATAGTGTCTGACTTAGTGCTATCAAGCATTTTGACCAGTTTGTTGAAAAATTCAAGTCTCCATAACTGCAGATGTAGCACTGACACCTCTGTTTACCCAACATTATGACCAGAGATATTTAATGTTTGACTTACAAATAGCAAATAATAGTACTTTAGATTTAATCTATGATCTTGGCTTTAAAGTAAATTAATAACTCTGAAATTCCATTGACTGTATCTACTAACAAGTATTATTGTGACTACCCATTCAATTCAAATGTTCCAACATAGTGAAAAAAGAAAAATAGTTTTTCATGCGTAGTGAACCAATGAAGAATATTTGGGTGATGTTCCCATTTATTTGTCCGAAGTAGTCAACTCCTACATCGGTAAACGGGAACAAATCTGGCAGAATCCTTTCGACCGGCATGTTGACTCTTTACTGTTCTGCAACTTTCCCTTGCTGTGGCAGCGGACCGCACCGTTAAAGACTCTTCTGCCTTGTTCAGAAGAAACTCTGATCTTTTTAATCATTGCTTACTTCCCATGAAGTCTTCTGCTTATAATCCTCATGAGACCCTGTCAACAGATTTCAACTTGGTTCCAATGTATTTCCACTGAGTGACATCTTCAGCCTGATGATGATCCCACAGTTATCCGGTCTGGATTTAACCGAAAGTGGTGGTTTTCCATAATGTCTATCTTTGTGTTTACTGTGTCCTGCAGATGTCCAGCAGCTGTCGGTGATTAAAGAAGAGGTTCCCCCTGAGCAGCAGCAGGAGTGGAGACCCAGTCTGGACCAGGAGGACCCAGAGCCCCCACACATTAAAGAGGAACAGGAGGAAGTCAGGACCAGTCAGGAGGGAGATCAGCTTCAAGGGTTCACATTCACTCCTGTCCCTGTGAAGAGTGAAGATGATGATGATGAAGAGAAACCTCCGTCCTCACAGCTTCCTCAAAGACAAACTGAACAGATGGAAACAGATGATGGAGAGGACTGTGGAGGACTAGAACCAGCCAGAAACTCAGATCCAGAACACATTAAATTTTACACAGGTGAGAAACTGTTTAGCTGCTCGGTGTGTAGTAAAAGCTTCAGTCCAAAAAATCATCTGCAGAGACATATGAGAAGTCATACTAGTGAGAAACCATTCAGCTGCTCAGTGTGTGATAAAAGCTGTCAAATCAATTCTGATTGAGTTCCATTCCATTACAGAAGTGTTGATATTACACATTACTCTGTTGATAATTTACTCTCTTGCAGTGAAAAACAAGCTGATATAGAGTAAAATTCTAACACTGTATAGTGTGAATGAAATTTGACACCATTTCTGAAAGTAAATCTTAGCAGTGTTAATTTTACACTTAATTTACTCTTTTTTAGTTTCAACCTACACGCAAATGCACCATTAAGTGAGTAAAAATGAAAGTTTCATCAAACTAATGCATTTAAGAACTTTATTAGCAGCTCTCAACTATGTCAAAATATCACCTCATCAAAACATCTCATGTAGAATACAAACCTACATTCAAAACACTGACCTTAAGCCCGCATAAAATGACAATATGGAACAACATACAAAGAGGAAAGTGTCGTTCCATACTTCTATTCTTCTACTGCTCAAATGAACATCAGTGTCAACCTCCTGGTCAATATACTCGGTGTGTTTGGTGTTTAAATGTTTCCTAAAACCAGAAAATGTACCAAACACACATCCACATCCAGTCTGGGCACATTTAAGCCTGAGATTTTTTCCAGGTAAGTTACCTAATCGTAAATGGCTAACAAGCGCATTTGAACTAGTTAACTGAGCCTGACAAACAAAACACTGCATGATAGAGGAGAAACTTCAAGCACTAATGAAGCAACCTCGTTCTAACTTCAGAGACACAAGGACTTTCCTCGACCTTGCCAACATCAATGTTGTACACTGTGGTTTGGATGAACGTGTACATGTTGTGAAGCATGCTGTTGTAGGATTTGCCAAACACAAAATGAGCCTTAAACAGTTCATCAAAGGCACCAAGAGAAGAGGTTGACCTGCAAGGTATGGCATTCTTGAACTGGTGGATTACATTCTTCTTAACTCCAACAGCCAGGAGATAGGGTTGAGCTCAGGAGGTGTTAGCATCGAGATGCTCTTGAATGTTTGTTCCAGTTTGGGAAGACAAACACATGAAGATATTACAATTGGACAGTTGTAATACATAAAACCAAAACCAAAACAGAAAAACTAAATAACACTTTAGACAACAAGTTAAACATATTGACAACCAACTAGTTGCTTATTAGAATACATGTTAGCAGCATATTGGCTGTCAGTAATCATTATAAAGCACTTTATTAATGCCTTATTGTGCATGACCGTATTCTACAACTATTAGGCGATTATATAAGATTTGTCCCTCGATAACCTCCAATAATACAAACCTTCTTGAAGACCACAAGATGCTTCTCTGCTTGGGATGCCGAAACCTTTGCTGGTCTCTTCCGATCCTGAGCAGAGGGTGGAATCGGGTGTAGCAGCAATAAAACCGACGAAAGGTCACTGTCCCAACCTGTAACAACTATCGTGTGTTCAATCTTAACACACTTCAGTTATGCGGGCTGTCAAGAAAATTCATTGGCTCTGCAATGGCTGCAGCATTTAAACAATCAGCTTACCAAAGTCAACATCAACTTCAGTGCCATCCTCAGGAGGATCAGCTGCCAGCAAGAGTTCTTCAAGCTCACTTGTGGATAGAAGCTTTCTGCATTGTTGGATGATCTTTTTTTTTAACATGACCGACCACCTCTCCAGAAGCGTGCTTGAGGTATCCTCCCCAAACATCAGAATGAAATCCTGTTCAACTTGGGGTGGGGTGGTGTTGGGTGACAATTTCAATTATCTGACTGGCAAGTTAACGGGTGATAGTTAATGGAGTATTACTACAACGCCTGTCTACCGTTTTATAAAAACTGTCATAATATTTTCAAAATAATGATAGATAATTACCAAGCCTTTGATGTCTTTAAAACGTGGAAAGTCTGACGGTATGTTGCTCGACTGCCGGGGGTCAAGGACCATGTTGTGGCGATACACAAACGTCAGTTCCATTTTCTTCTTGACGGTGTCCTCATCAGCTGAATGTTTCATCCGTGAGATTGCTTCGTTGGACTCATCTTCAGTCAGGGCAGTCTCGGGAACGAACTCGGACTCTTGTCTGACAGTTGGTCCTCCAGACATGTCTTCACCAGATGATCCTTTGGTTGATTCTACATAACATGGGAAAATACAGTATTATAAATACTGATATCAAAAACGGTTTTAGAAACCTGGCCAACTTTTAAAGAGGTACTCTACCCAAAAGTATAAACTTAATTACTGACTGTACTGTGATGAAACATATCAGTGCTGCTGTTAATATTGACATTTTTTCTTCACAATTTATGATTAATACTATTATTTTGTGCGTTGAAAATGGCTCAAAATGTCTACTGTTTTGAACCACCCTAAAATTTGTCATGCCAGCCTGTAGACAAAGTCAGAGGAATTGAAGGGTGTAGTTAGACTTCAAAAAAAATATTGTATAATTTTACTGAGAAACATGTGCAACAAATGCAATAACTGATCTTGTGACTGTTTTGTTCCACACATTTTTCCAGTATTACCTCTAAACGACGATCGCTTGTCTTTAGCGGTGCCTCTCTGAATACTTTGAATCCTCCAGGCCATGTACCCAGTTCCACTCTCACTATGATAGTAGTGCTGTAACTGTGGATGAAAGGATAACAAAAAAAAAGACATTTATTAATAACATTTAAAAGTGAAAACAGGCTGAGATAGGATTTAAAAAATGTCAATACAGCATTTAACATTACTACAATTACTGTATGCTACTCACATAGCCAGTCTTAGAGAATGGGTCACTGAGGTAGGGGAATAAGGTCACTATTCCTCTGGCGTACATTTCTTTTACTTGTCTGGTGGGGATGTACTGCAAGGAGAAAGGAGTTTACAGTTATATTCACTGGATTTAATTTCGATTACAAATTCATCTCTAAGCTAGATTCAGAACACAAGGACTGTTAACAAATTACCCATTCTTTTCTGTCATGTCAGCTGCTAGTATGTTCACCATTTTTCGTCTGGTTTCATCCATCAAGGATTTGGTTCGGTTGTATTCATTTATTACACGTTCCCCACCAGGTTTGTTGGTAAGAACAGATTCCACCAACAATAAACAAAACAATTCAGCACATTAGGAATATATCCACTGCAAATCAGAGTTATTAGTTAAATTAATATCATGGTTAAGGATGTCCCGATTCGATCTCAAAGATATCGGCGCAGAACAATCAGCAGACTACAGACAGTTTATTAATTCAGGTAAAGGCTGCACCAAAGTAACAAACACTGAAGAGAGAAACTCCCTCTAGAGAGTGACAAGGTTATAAGGATTACAGAGAGGATTTGTTAATTTATACTTTATTGTGAAAGATAATAATAATAACAAAAACAAGCATATGAATTTAATTGATTTGAATAACTTTGATGTACTTGAAGTGCACTTTATTATAATTAAATAAAACATTTTCAGGGGCTCAAAAAACAAAACTTTAAGACATAATCATGAGATCAACAATGTCTTCAAACCACGTAAATGTTAGAAGAACTTATTTATAATTCAATTCAGTTTTATTTGTATAGCGCCAATTCATAACAGAAGTTATCTCAGGACACTTTTCAAATAGAGCAGGTCTAGACCAAACTCCTTATAACGTTATTTACAGAGATCCAACAGTACCACCATGAGCAAGACCTTGGCGACGAGGGCAAGGAAAAACTGCCTGTTAAGAGGCAGAAAGGAACAGGCTCTAGGTGAGTGGTCATCGACCAGTTGGGGAGAGGGAGAGAGAGAGGGAGAGAGAGAGAGAGGGAGAGAGAGAGGCACAGTAGCAACAACTACACTAATAGTAGATGATGACGACGCCAACAACAGCGATGGGGGACAATGAGCAGTGACAATAGTAATAATAGTAGCTGTAGTAATAATAATAATAATAATAAGAATAATATCAGTGATATTAGCGATGGTAGTCAAGCAGGACCATGGCAGGAGGCTCCACCAGGATCCATGAGAACTTGCGAGACGAGAAAGCACAAGAACTCCGGGGAAGAAGTGAAGTTAGTAACATGCATTAATGGAACATGAATGAGTGCAGAAAGAGAGAGGAAGAGAGGAGCTCAGTGCACCATGGGAAGTCCCTCGATAGTCTAGGCCCATAGCAGCATAACTAAGGGATGGTTCAGGACTCACCTGATCCAGCCCTAACTATAAGCTTTATCAAAGACGAATGTCTTAAGCCTACTCTTGAATGTGGTGAGGGTGTCTGCCTCCCGAACCACAACTGGAAGCTGGTTCCACAGGAGAGGAGCTTGGTAACTGAAGGCTCTGGCTCCGATTCTACTTTTAGAGACTATAATACGGATGTTTTGCCTGCGAGAGCGGGACTCCAGGTCATCTAATTTAGCTTGCTGTAGTGTGCACTGGGAAGCTAGGCTCTTGTGTTGCCTCTCCAGTTCGTCCAGACGTTTTTCATGCGATTCAACGGCGTCCTCTGTTGTGGACACACATTCACTAACAGCTGTTAAAGCTGATTTAAGGCTGGAAAGGGACCCATTAAGCTTGTCGAATCTGTTGTCCATGGCGCTTTTCATCTTATGTATTTCTGCTAAAATGTATTTGAGCTCTTCTCTAGTGAAAGAGCTCTGGGTATCACAGCCAAAAAACTGAGTTAACAAACAAAACAAGAAAAAACAAAGCGCAACAACAAACCGAAGCGACTGCACGTGGCGCCATCTTAGATGACTCATCTTGGATATCTTCATAACATGAAACGATAAAGCACATTCACGATCCTAGCTGTGTGCTGTGATTAATAATAGTTATTATTAATAATAACTATTTTTTATCTTTTGATTCACTTGAAACTAAATAATAATCCATGGAACTTGCATGCACAAAGCTTCAGTCTCTAGCCTATTTAATTGCTCAATATTTATTCAGTCACTATAGTCCAGTACAGTAGCAAAGACCTTTGGAATATTCTTGTTTAAATGTCACTAAAAATACCCTGAGGGGAGGTTAAAGTAGTAGTACAAATGGAAAAATAATGTACCACAGTCACTGCTCCAATTCCCTGCAGATCATATCGTTTGTACTGTTCGACCGGAGATATTAAAATATGTTTGACTAAAAATAGTACTTTAAATTTAATTCATGATCTTGGCTTTAAAGTAAATTATTAACTCTTAAATTCCATTGACTGTATCTACTAACAAGTATTATTGTGACTACCCATTCAATTAAAATGTTCCAACAATAATAAAAAAGGAAAAATATTGTTTTTTATGCGTAGTGAACCAATGAAGAAACCTTAGGTGATGTTCCCATTTATTTGTCCGCAGTAGTCCACTCCAACATCGTGAACGGGAACAAATCTGGCAGAATCCTTTCAACTGGCATGTTGACCCTTTATTGTTCTCCAATTATTCCTTGCTGTGGCAGCAGACCGCACTGTTAAAAGTTAAAGAATCTTCTGCCTTGTTTGGAAGAAACTCTGATCCTTTTAATCATTGCTCACTTTCCAAGAAGTCTTCTGCTGATAATCCTTGTGAGACCTTGTCAACAGATTTCAACTTGGTTCCAATGTGTTTCCACTGAGTGACATCTTCAGCCTGATGATGATCCCACAGTTATCCAGTCTGGATTCAACAGAAAGTGGTGGTTTTCCATAATGTCTATCTTTGTGTTTACTGTGTCCTGCAGACGTCCAGCAGCTGTCGGTGATTAAAGAAGAGGTTCCTCCTGAGCAGCAGCAGGAGTGGAGACCCAGTCTGGACCAGGAGGACCCAGAGCCCCCACATATTAAAGAGGAACAGGAGGAAGTCAGGACCAGTCAGGAGGAAGAGCAGGTTCAAGGGTTTACATTCACTTCTGTCCCTGTGAAGAGTGAAGATGATGATGATGAAGAGAAACCTCCATCCTCACAGCTTCCTCAAAGACAAACTGACCACATGGAAACAGATGATGGAGAGGACTGTGGAGGACCAGAACCAGCGAGAAACTCAGATCCAGATGAACATTCACAACCTGATACGTATGGTAAGACTGAAGACTCTTCTGAATCTGAGACTGATGATAGTGACAATGATTTTAAAGAGACGAGGGAACCTCAGTCAGGTGATGTTATCAATATAAAGCCTTTGAGCTGTTCAGTTTGTAAAAATATGTTTTCATGGAGACGAAGTTTACGTAGACACATGAAAAATCACACAGGTGAGAAACCATTCAGCTGCTCAGTGTGTGATAAAAGCTTCAGTCATAAGAACCATGTGCAGAGACATATGAGAAGTCACACTGGTGAGAAACCTTTCAGCTGCTCAGTTTGTGATAAAAGCTTCAGTCAAAAGAGTACTCTGCAGGATCACATGAAAACTCATACAGGTGAGAAACCATTCAGCTGCTCAGTGTGCGACAAAAGCTTTGGACAAAAGAGTAATCTGCAGACACACATGAGAACTCACACAGGTGAGAAACCATTTAGCTGCTCAGTGTGTGATAAAAGCTTCAGTCATAAGAATCATGTGCAGAGACATGTGAGAAGTCATACTGGTGAGAAACCTTTCAGCTGCTCAGTGTGCAGTAAAAGCTTCAATATAAAGAGTACTCTGAAAGATCACATGAGAACTCACACAGGTGAGAAACCGTTCAGCTGCTCAGTGTGTAGTAAAAGCTTCAGTGTAAAGACAACTCTGCAGTTACACATGAGAACTCATACAGGTGAGAAACCTTTTAGCTGCTCAGGGTGTCATAAAAGCTTCAGTCGTAAGAGTCATCTGAAGGATCACATGAAGACTCATACAGGTAAGAAACCTTTCAGCTGCTCAGTATGCCAACAAAACTTCCTTAAAAAGAGTACTCTAGAGCACCACATGACAACTCACACATCCAGCTCCGTCTGCAGTTAAAGCTTCTGTATTAAAAGTACTATGCAGAGACACATGAGAACTCACACAAGAGAGCAGCAGGAAATTAAGAATCCTGTTCAGCTATTACAGACTAGAAACTAGACATCAGAGATGCACCATGACATCAGAACAACGGTGTCTGGCGGCTAGGTCTGTAACTATTCTGAATCAGAGTGAGTGATAACAATGGAAAACAAATTTCCCCTGCCTGGCTTATGGGATCACTGGCTAACAACTTAGCAAGAGTTTACCCATTTCTCCAGGAACCACTACACCACTGAACATAGTGGGCATAAATAGCTGTGCACAGTTTAACTGTGTTCATGACTAAGCATGGGACTGCTTAACTTTTGTAAATGTAATGTATTGATCTGGTTTTATTGTTGTGATTTTGTTATGGTTTATGTTAGGTTACTGTGTTACTCATGTTCTACACTGCTATGGTGATCTTAGTTAAATGTTATGTTCCACACAGAAACAGTCTTTGTACAACTAACTCTTTTTAACTTGCCACTGTTCGTATAAGATCACCTCGGCCTTTAACACAACCACACACAGCAGAGAGGACCTTTAAAACTCTGCTTTGTCTCTGCTGAACAAGCTCAACATACAGTGCAACACACACTCTGTTTTTTTTATTTAGTTTAGTGCATTGTAGTTTGATCATATTGTGTTTATACTTTATATTTTTAATAAATGCTATCAAATATACATGCTGGTTTATTAAATATTCCACAAATGTGAAGGATACCAACCTCTATGTTGAGCTACAAATCCTTCAGCTGACTTAATGTGAACATGATGAACTTATAGTTTTTGAATAAATAAATTAGTGCTTCAGATTAATTGTTTTGTATATTCTATGAGACTGAGTATCATTCAGTTAATAGTTTTCCTTTTAAGGGTGGTGTCCTGAGGACCTTCTGATATAATACGTTAACGGATATTGATTACTGTTATTTTTTATTTTCTTTGATCATTTTGATAGCCAGAATTAATTGATTGCTCCTCAAAAGTTTGATGACCCTTTAAATAGTTTTAATTACCACAATGTGCAGAATTTCTTTTTTTGTTTTTGGTGAATATTTTTAATTCTTTGTCTGTTTAATCAGTAGAATGATCATTGCTGTATTTATTGTACTTTATTTTGTCTTTGTTTTATCGATCACCCTGTGTGGTGTTTGAATGTGTTGAATCTACATTGTGACTAACAGGAAACATTATAAAACATAATCATTAATGTCAGTTTATGGGTCCATGTATCTTAAAGTTTCAGGTTGCAATCAATAAACTTTATTTTCATAAAAGGACCTTTGTTTTGTTTCTACATTGTTGCTTCAAACGGCATTAAACATTCTGCGTTTCTACATAAAGTGTGATCTATCATAGATCTTTGTATATGTTTATAACACTGAGATCTTTCCTCACAGTAAGTCAACACAGACTGTAGTTGCTGGTTTCTGACACTAGAGGGCAGAACATCAACATCAACACACAGTATTTGCATTTCCTGAAGAAAATGTTTGCTATTGCTGCATCTGCTGTTGCCACTGTTACAGCTGTTCACCGGCCCAGTTTCTGAAAGAGTCCCAGCACAAAGTGTTTGTGATTCACATCTAAAGATAAAACCCAAAACCGGTGGTAATTGAATACTGTGTTCAAGAGATATGGTGAGGTTTCAAATTTCCCCTGCCTGGCTTACGGGATCACTGGCTAACAACTCAGCAAGAGTTTACCCATTTCTCCAGGAACCACTACACCACTGAACATAGTGGGCATAAATGGCTGCACACAGTTTAACTGTGTTCATGACTAAGCATGGGACTGCTTAAATTTTTTAACTGTAATGTATTGATCTGGTTTTATTGTTGTGATTTTGTTATGGTTTATGTTAGGCTACTGTGTTACTCATGTTCTACACTGCTATGGTGATCTTAGTTAAATGTTATGTTCCACACAGAAAGTCTTTGTACGACTAACTCTTTTTAACTTGCCACTGTTCATATAAGATCACCTCAGCCTTTAACACAACCACACACAAATGTACAAAAATCCCAAATTTGTTTGCCTGTGAAGTACAACTGGCTACACCTTCTAAAGTAACAATTACAGGCAACCAATAACTGTATTTTATATTAATCAAATAAATAGTATGCAGCACTTGCGTCTGTGCTTTATTTGTCCTGTCCGCTGAAACTCAGAATTATTGTGGAACTATTGTTAGTGGAATTGTATGAAGTTCAGTTTGGGTTTATGGACAACATTCTCAAATTTGGTTGCAGTTCAATTCAGCATTAAAATATGATTGTTATATGTTAAGTGCATCATGACACACCTTCAAAAGGAAGATAGCCAATTACAGACAAGCAATAAGTGACCTACAAGTCTTGTTCTCCTTAATCTAAATATGTTATGTATGGATTTTGGTGAAGATTAGATGAAATATCCAAACTGGTGTAATGTTTTTAGGGCATGAATGGGTGTGGCCCATATTGGTAAAATTGGCATCATCGAAAGAACCCACTGTACAAAAATGTTTCTTCTACTCCTAACAGTTATTAGATAAAATATATAGTATTATTGTAAATGAATTACACAAATCAGGTTAAAGTCGAACTGGAATGATCTTCTGTAGGTTCAGTGTCCTCAACCTGGCTACTGTGAGCTTCTCCGCAGAGGAGGAGGACGTGGGGAGACATCATGCTGCAATATTCTGAATTTAGATTGCAGTTCTCTTTTTAAACACTAGCTGTCAGTGTTACACATTTAATCCACCTCTAACCCTGCAAAGAGCTCAGTGACCAAAGACCAGCCTCATGGGACTAATGATAAATGACCCCCCAGTTAAGATTCTGTTTGTCATTATAAGGAGAAACTGGTTAAAAAAGCTGAGACCCCCCCGCAGAGGTCAGAGCCCCCTGTTGGCTGTTTCTGTGCAAAACTAACTGGAACTTCAGAAAGGTTTGAGTCTCCCTTGCTTGTCTGTTTAAACGTGTTATGCCCGTAATGGCTGATATGCGTTGGTCTTGATGTTGGGAAGACATTTCAGTACCTCATTATAAAGCTGTTTGTCACAAATTTTAATTTCACATTTAATTTTAACTTCATCAAAAACATTGCAGCTTCTGTCATTTGCATAGTGCAATTAGACATATTTCCATCAATTATGCAGCCCTAAAAACGCTGCAACATGAATCAATATTTCTGTTAGAAAAGCTGCTGTTAACTATTATATACTATATTATTATATACTATATTATTATTATTACTACTACAACAGCACAGCTCATCAAACCTTCATTTCATCAAAGGTAATCTTTATCTTACAATTCAAACTTCTCCATTACAACAATCCACAGATAGAAAGACAGGAGAAAACAGGGCAAGGGCTTTATTAACTTTGTCCTTTAAAAGATAAAATCAGCATTAATTTATTGGCACATGGATTTACAGTGAAATATTTATGATTCAACTCATTCAAACTTTTTAGACAGAAGCTAAAAATATCAGATATTCTTCAGTTCAGTCTTACAATCCGCATTATCACAAACAATCTTTACACACATTTATTAGACAAACTGATATTTGATAGAAATATTTCACTGTTTTATAACCTGGAGTGCACTTTTAGATCGACAGAGAGAAACAGCCGGAGAACAATACTTCCATGTGTCAACAATATAAAAGCTCAAAGTATGAAGGTTGAAGGCACATAAAGCATAAAGAATGGTTACTGGTCACCACGATATTCCCCAAATGTTTAAAGTAACTCATTGCTTCTCTAAACAGCATCAACTTAAACTTGAAAAATTTCAAATGTATTTGTTATTATTTAATAGCATCAGGACAGATTTTTACCATAAACTTAATGTAAAACTTCCAATAAAAGCAGGGTCCCTAATAGACGCAGGTCTCGTTTAAAAACCTGGTGTGGCTACACAACATATAAACTTAATAGTAATAAAAAATGTACACACATCAGAGAATTAAATGATCAATAAATCACTCACTCAGAATTCACTTGTTTTTAATCCAGGCAGGTCTGGTGATCAATAATGGCCCATTTACTACAACTCACATATACTAACTAATTAATAAAAGCTTCTTTTAATTGACCCTTCCTAAGCTCCGCCCACGTACTCCTTTCCTGGACTCAGATATGCTACATGCTAGGCTAATCTATGCTGATAAGACAACCACTGTTTGAAGATGGTTAAAAGATAAAATAGAGGAGCAACATGCTATCTAACTAGCTAGCCAATCCACATGAATCTTTAGCATTTTGCTAACATTATCTGCTTGTCTATGAGCCTAGCACATAGCATATCTGAGTGCAGGAAAGGAGGAAGTTGACTGACCTTCTCACTGAGGTGAGCTCAACTGTTATTGGAGGACAGGTCAAAAAGGGGCGGGACTTAGAAAAGGTCAAATGTTTCCAACTGCAGTCCTACAGACTTAGAAAATTAATTATTTTACAGCCTTTCTTTCTCTTTATCCATTGTTTCATAATCTTTTGAGTATTTTTCATTGAATGTATTGAAGTCTTTTGTAGACTCTTTCCAATCACTTTCCTAAATCTCCACCTGACCTCTGACCTCTGGTCAAAACAAGCTCACCTAACTCTTTAGTATTTCGACCCCTTGTAGTGCCCAGTTTAGGCTCACTACTCAAACGTGACTTGAATTCATCCCATTTTTAAATGTCTTATTGAGTTGTTGGGCAGTGCCCTCAACCCCTGAAGAGACGTTATTGAGCTTATGTAAGTTCTTTGTTCTTATTGTGTCTTTTTACAATTCCCCTTTTTAGTTTCTATTAAGGCTGCACGATACGGGACGACCATCATAAAGACATTATTTTCACAGATACTGCGACTGTGATGTGATGTCACACATTTTACCTTCATAACTTGGATTACTGCATTTTACCATATTGAGATTTTGATAATCATTTGATTAACTGTGCAGCTTGTTTCTATCCAATAGTGAATTTGGTTCTACGATGAGTCTTGATGTACTCTGATGGAAAATCTGTTATCTGCAGACACTTCAGTCTGTTTCCGCTGCATCAGTCTGCACTTCAGTTCTCTCCAGGAGACTGGCGGTCTCAGGGGTGGGGTTTTTGTTGCTCCCCTCATTGGCTGCAGGGATGAACAGAAGTGTTATTTTATACATACAGACACATACAGACACTAAAAACACAGAAGCCTACCTGCTCCTGCTTTCTCAGGTATTTTCTATGGTACATGCAATTACTGTGATGCAAAGCAGAAAGCAGTGAGGTTTGCATCCACATATTATATATTATATATATATATAGTAGGGCTGGGCAAGTTAACACGTTATTATCGTGTTAACGCATTAATGAATTAACGCCGACAATTATTTTATTTCCCATTAAGGCTTTTTTTTTTACTATTATTATTTTGAAAGTCCATTGCACACTGTAATATAATATATGTTGCTCACTGGCTCTGAATACACAGACCAACCCTGGGTCACAGGAGGGGGAGGGAGGCTTCAGCAGACTACGTTGGATGCAGTGTGTGGGAGAAGTATACATAAACAAAAGCAAGACCAGCTAACACATACTATATTGAAGTGGATATCTTCAAACTGCAGGCCGATTAGTATCGTGGAAGATAGGATCGCAATGAACACGTTTTATGAAAGAGAGGACTACAAAAGTGACGGTGTTACAATGTGCACCAACTGTTGCTCACACTGGAGACTACTGGACATTGCTGGGTAACCATAGTTACCTCGGAGTTACAGTGCATTATATTGATGGACAGTGGGAAACTATAATGAAAACAGACATTTTGCTGCACAGCAGTGGAACCTTTCAAATAAAGTCAGCACACTGAGCACAGATAGTGCAAGAAATGTATTAGCTGCTACTGTGTAAAGGAAATACTGCTGTTAAAAATGTAAAGTTGTGTATAAGTGCAAACCAAATGTTATTGTACTTTTATTCATATAGCAGTACTTTTAAAATACAAGTGCGAAATACACTACTTTAGAATTCATTATTGAATTTTCATTGCCCAGCACTAATATATAGCCAATACAAAAACTGGAACATCACAATAGCTGAATGAATACAGAACATGCTACATAGGCTGATTCCACACCGCTCTCTCTCCTTGTATTAGCTACATTTCATCAGGCAACAGAGATACTTACAGGAGACGCCAGAGTCAGCAGAGTGTTTGCCAAGCGACTCATCTGACCCTGCAAAGAAAATAAAATGAGTTAATGTATGCAGTATGAAACGTATCCATATTCTATCTGTGCTTTCTGGGCTGCTTTGGATCTATCTCTCTATCTCTCTCTCACTGGAAATAAAGATAAAATGTGCTGTCAGAGTCAGTGTCTTAATCAATGTGACATCTAAACACTCGTACACATGAACTGTTAGCGATCTTCCTACGACAGCAGAAGTACAGCACCTCCTAACTTCAGTGTCAGCTGTAATGATGTTTATGATGTTTAACACTTACCTTTGCGATTGGTGAGAGCTGTCTGTTCATTGACTGTGACACAAACAAACACAATATTAATTTTAATATCAGCTTTAAAAAAAAAAAAAAAAAAGGGCGTGACATTGGTGACTGCAACTTGCTCGAACACAAATGATTTTAATTTATATTTTTCACATGCGCATTGTGTTTTCCGCACTTTTTTTTCATAAAAAAAATTCTTCTGATAACAGTTAGTATGTTTGATTTAGTCTTTGTAGTGTGAAGTTCACTGTACAGTACACTGTACAGCCACTGCAGAACCAACTGTGAGGAGAAGGTTGCGGTTATTCACTATTTTACTTCTTGTCAATAAATCAAATGAAAAGATCAAAACCAACAATGATCCAGTTTTTGGTCCTGATCCCAATCCTTAAATATTGATTATCTGCTGATACCAATGCCAATCTGGTTCTTACACATCACAGCTGCCCAGTAATCCTCAAGCTGCTCAGTGAAAGCTGTCAATCAGTCTACAAAGATACTTACTGGAGCCGCCAGAGGAGCCACCGCCTGCTTTTGACAGATATTGCGATTCTTGATTATGTGGGAATTTTCCTTTTTGCATCACAAATTAATTGTTTTACCAAAAACTATTAAAATCCTGATGATGTGAAATTTGTTTAATTAAATCTGAAAAATAAGATCATAGTGCCCCCTACTGGCTCCAGCTGAAATCTGGTCAGAAGACCTCGATGAGGACATGTTGATGAATTAAATATTATTGGCACAAAAACACTCAAAACTTTAGTATTCAAATTTCTAACTTATATAGAATAAAATGTAATAAAGCACTTACTGTGGCTAATGGATACTTCTTTAAGTGGTGCCCCTGTTAATAAAGACAAAGGTAAAAAACAATCAGAAAATGAACCAACTATTTTTATCCATTTAGATAGGTTTGAAATAGTCGATGTGAAGTTCACTGTACAGTTGAGCTAAGTAAAAGGACCAGGTTGCTGTTGGTATTTTACTTGTTAAAAATCACATGAAATGATCAAAACCAACAATGATCCAGTTTTTGGTCCTGATCCCAATCTTTAAATATTGATTATCTGCTGATACCAATGCCAATCTGGTTCTTACACATCCCAGCTGCCCAGTAATCCTCAAGGTGTAAACCTGATCAGTGAAAGCTGTCAATCAGTCTACAAAGATACTTACCAGAGCCAGCAGTGGAGTCGCTGTTGAGAGAGTCTTTTGACCCTGCAAAGAAAAGTAAAAACAATTTTGTTAATTTACTAAAACTCGATTATGTGGGAATTTCCCTTTTTGCATCACAAATTAAATTTTCACTAAAAAGTATTAAAATCATGATGATGTGAAATTTGTTTTATTAAATCTGAAAAGTAAGATTTGAGACCAGAGCACCTCTGCAGCTCTATAGTACTTCATTATAATGCTGTCTGTCACACATTGCCTTTATCAAAACATTACTGCTCTAGTGATTTGCATATTGCACTTATATATTATATCATATTGCTATTACGATTTTTTTATTAATTTTGCACATTTACGTCACAAAGCACGAACCAGAAACTCCTTTAAATGAACAACTGTAATTATTATATTATAAATGAAAGGTGCTGCTCTGGGGCTATCTGAATGTTTTGTACACTGTTCTGTGATAATAAGAGACAGGAGAGATTACATTCTGTAACTCAGGGAATTTAACCAACCCAGGTGTCAGAGCTCAAGTACTCCAGTATCTGACCACAAAAGAGTACAGAGTACAGTGATGACAGACTCAGCACTGGATTGGTTTTATTATAGTGATGGTTTGAATTATAAGAAAAATACTCAGCCATATGCCATATATATCTTAAGACTTTAAGAGAAATAGAAAATATATAGATAAATAGAAAGTTACCTTTGTTCTGGGCTCCACCTGAAAAACCAAAACAAACAGACAATGTTAAAATGTGTCACTGATGCTAGATGCAGTCAATGTGAGGCACATAACTGTGTGTGGAACTGTGTCATTTAGAGTTTTGAGACTGTAAGCTCAACTTTCAGTTCACTGAATTAAAGATAAGAAACACTTAATGATTGACAGGACTGATATTCAATGTGACCTTTGAACACCTCATGATGTCAGTCATAAAATAATAACAGATGTTGCACCTGATAAGCAACAAGGGCTTATGGGAATAAATACTACTATATATTATTATTGGAAGAGGACCATTTTTGTGGAATTAAATGGTCTCTGTATTTACTTTTACAGAATATAAAACCAAACATCTTCCACTCCACTGGTATCTTTTTGTTGAGAGAAGACAACATTAAAATGTTAGACCTACCAATAATGCCTCTCTTGAACAAGACGAGCAGCACAGCCACGATCCCGATCCCGACCCCGAGCAAGAGCACTACCACACCACCAATGATAGGTCCAGGTCCTCCAGACTCCTCCGGAAGTGTATGATCTAAAACACAGAAAAACTCACTTTAGATTGATGTTCTTTTCACTTTCAACATCATTTCTTAGGTTGAATTTACTATGGTGTTGAAGTTATGAAAATGTAGATGTGAAGTGACAGTAATGCTGCAGTTTGATTGCATTAAAGTAACATTGGTGCTTGTGAGAAATTTCTGACCCTAAAAAACTTAAACAACTGATGATCTGCTGTTTCTCCTCTCAAAATATTTTAACATCCTTTTGTTCAAGAACTTCAATATGCAGAGAGGAACTGGGGATCAAACTGCCAGCCTTCTGATTAGTGGTCAGCCCGCTCTAACTCCTGAGCCACCAAGAACCCAAAGAAAGGATTATAAAAATTCTGTCTTCTCACTTGTGAGCTCTGTATGCTCTCAGTGCTCTGAACAGGAAATGATGGATACAAAAAAAAGTTAAAATAAAGGTGCAAACTAGTCTTGGGGCTTCCTTGGGGCTTCAGCATAAACTTTATAAATAAAAATGTCCAATACAAAAGTGACCAACACAATGAATAAACTTTTCTTACCCCAAACGTCCTCAACACGTAACCCAGATGCCGGGTGGTGCACTTCACAAGTGTATTTTGCCTGGTCGCTCTTCAAAATCTCCACTTTGTCAACTCTCTGGTAGGTCTCGTCTCCGTTTGGTCGAACGCCTGAGGTCATCAGTCCGTCCATGGCGTCCAGAACACGGCCGTCTCTCTTGATGTTCAGGATGATGTCTTTTGGGTAGAATCCTGTGGCCCAGCACACCATAAAGACGTTTGTCTCAACACGGCTGCTCTTTGTATACATGTGAACTTTAGGTGGAGCTGGAAAGAGAAACCGTGAAGTGACTTAATATTTGATTAATGTTACCATCAATTATTTTCTAACAATGAATATAAAACTACAGAAACGACCATCAGTCGTACGTACAGGCCTCTTTCAGCTCCTTATTCCCGTACCCCACGAACTTGCCCAACCAATCTATACACTCGTTCTCCAGGTAGCCTCTGGTGTATTCTTTTAGGACCTGGACTTCATCCCACTTTCTCTTGGTCTCCTGTGCCTCTTGAACTGGGGCAACCCAGACTTCATGGGTGTCGTCAAAGGCCAGGAAGTCATGTCCATCATAGCTGTACATGTCCTTCCCACGTCTGAACTTCATCGTGCCGTCGGGCTGGGTTTCGCCCTCACAGCCGTGCATCCACTGAAGAACATGGATATCTGAAAACCAGAGGTAAGAGCAGGACAGTGAAAGAAGTGAGAGACAGCAAGGAAATTGATAAATACAGGCTGAGTTGGATCACATTTTAATATTTGTGGTTTTAAAGAGTAACACCAGCTGCTGCTTAGGACCACTTTGCTTGCTAGTGATTTAATCAGATTAGCAGTAATATTAATAATTAATAATTATTAATAATTATTAATTAATATTAATAATTAATAATTATTAATATACATTTTGTGCTGGAGCATTTACTGATAATTATGTTTGTTTATTTCAATGTCAAGATCATCAGAAAATAGTCCTGGTCCTTCACATTTCATGGATCTTACCCGAGTCGTTCTGTCTCATTCGTTTCTTCAGAATGTCGATGTTGACGTTGAACCACTGCTGCTTGCTCTGGCGGGACTGTGTGCCTTTCTCCCAGTAATCTGCAGCCAGTCGCTTATCCATCCAGTCCTGTTTGGGAACTTTCTTCTGCAAGTCACTGTCAAAGTAATCAATCATCTTGTTGTCCAGCTGACCCATGGCTGTGAACTGATGGAGGCCCGGGAGACCGGGAGGTTTGGAGAAGGCCGTGTAGATGTAAGTGAGGGAATGGATCTCTGAGAGTCACACAGGTAGAAAGATAGACAGGTATTTATTAAACCAGGAAGATCAGATAATCCCTCAACATTGGCTTCATTATTGGCAAAGTAAGGAATGTTCTGAACCAGAGACCTAATGATGTTTAGGGAACTTATATAAAAGCTTGCACTAACAGGCTCAACAAATGTTTCTTTTCACTTCATTTTAAACCTCGCAAAACTTTAGTTATTGTTGTTTATATTTGTTTTTTTGTTAGTGGTGCATTTCTCGTTAGTTGTGAATGAACAGACCAAGAACTTCGGATTTGAGTGACAATATGGCTGCTGGACTCAGTCTAGATTTTCATAATACAAAAGCATTTTTATTACATTACTATTTTAATACAAACATTTACTTGCCAATTAACTTAAGCAATGAATTAATTAGCACAAATAAATGTTTATTAAATCTATTAACTGTCTCAGCTCTAACCAGCAGTGCAACAACAGCTTCCGTTCTCCAGCAGTGACACACGAGTTCTGTTCAGCCACAGTCGACGTGCTCACACACACACACACACACACTCTGGCAGCCCTCAGAGACCGAAACACACTGACTGCATGAAGGCTGGAAACCTTAAAATGTCTACTCGAATGAAGTGACACACGAGTTGGTGCACAACCTCTGTACACAGTGTACGGATCAAAACGGAAGTGTCTTTTCCTGTGTGACTTCCTGTAAAGCCTTGTGGTTTCAACGATACGGTAAAGAAAAAAAAGAAAAATCATATTGCGATTATTGTTCATGGATATTGCGATATGATTTTTTAAATTTTATTTTCACGGACAAAAACTATTAAAATCAGTATGATGTGACATTCGTTGGGTTCTGTACCAAACAATGAAAGAAGAATGAATGTACATTATTATTAGCGTCTTGTAGTCCAGGTGGACCACGTTTCCTCCTACGTAACATCCAATAATACATCGGCACTGAGCTCCAGTTTTGTTATGACTGTGCTCATCGTGACAGAGATATCTGAACAATGCTGTCAGACCGGCTCAGTCAAAGGTTGGAGCTCAGGAGCAATAAACACTCAAACATGTCTACCAACCTGTTTTTAGTCTCAGCTTTCCCACAACGTTCAGTTCCACTGATATGTTTTGGACTGCTAGTTCGACGATTTAGACATTGCATTGAGCTTTAAGAGCAGTGTTCCCAAACTGTTTAACGTCCAGGCCCCCCACAATGCACATTAGACCACAGACCAGCAGTTTGAGGTGATTTTGTCTTAAGGAATCCCCTCTGAGCATTTTAGTTTAGTGAAATTAAATCCAAACTAGACTATAAAAACCCCAAAACTGAAACCTTTAGTGGACACAAGAATGAGAATGAGCATTGGTTCCTGTTTATTGTGACTCTGCGTGGTTGTACTGTAATACAGATACTGAACTTTGAACTTTAAGCAACAAACTGTGCCCAAGACAAATTTCCCCTCGGGGACAATAAAGTTTTATCTTTAGTCTATACTTGTTAAATAAATAAAAAAACTAAAACTAACAAAAGCTTAACATTTTTAAACAATAAAAACTAAACTGAAACACATTCTGTAAACTAACTCAACTCAAAATAATAAAAAATAAATAATAACAATAAAAATAAATAAAATTTTAAAGGCATTTAAAAACGATTAATTAATTCTGAGAATAACCGTAACTTTTAGCATTAATATAATATTGTTTTTAGCTTTTAAGTATTTTAAACACAAAAGCACACACAGATAAATATCTGTATAAATAAACTGTTTACTGACACCTTGTACACACAGAGACTAAATTAATTATTCTTTGTTGTTTTGAAGTCCTGGACCTTCACATTACCAAAATAAAAGCATTTTAAAGTGAAAAACAAGTGCGAATTTAAACGACGTCACAACTTCTCTTTTTACTTTCGCTTTTAACCGGACTCACATTAACGGGTCACAGACTCGAACTTACCGCCGTGGACCGTCAGTCCGACCCCCAGGAGGACCAACACCGACACCGAATACATTTTCCCTTCGACCAGGACTCGTTTAGTCTCTAAAAGACTCGAGTTTTGTCGAATAGTTGGACCGTGTTGTTTCACTGTGTCCTCCCGCGATAAACATCCGCCTGCTCCTGTCTCTGACTCTGTGCTGCGTTCAGGGGCTGCTCCGTAAATTACATACGCTGTGACGAATTCCGTTCACGTTCACGTGGCTGACAAACGAAACTAAGCATACAAACTTTATAAATACATGAAATAGTTTGTACTTCACCTTCCCTTCGTTCAAATCAGGGTTTCTCACGTTTTACAGCAGAAACACCAAAAAATCTTAATTAAAAATAAACATTTTATTGTAGTTTATTGTTACAGGACCTATTATATATATATATATATATATATATATCTATATTGTGTAAATATCACATTATGTATGTATGCACACCTTGCACAGGTGGAATATATGACACATATCTACATTATATCAATATTAATTATTATATCTTTGTGTATACATGTATATCTGTTCAGTCATCATATATATACATATAATTATTATTATTATTATCATATACTGTTATTAACAATAACACTACCTTCATATCATCAGTGCTATTACCACCATCTTGCAACTACAACTTCTTTGCACCTTACCTATTTATCTTTTCTACTTCAGTATTTTATTCTATTGTTGTATTTTATTGTATTTAAATGTACCTGGCTGCTATGACAACCCAATTTCCCTTCTGTGATTAATAAAGTCTATCTATCTATCTATCTATCTATCTATCTATCTATCTATCTATCTATCTATCTACAGCTCTCTATAAGCTATACTGATCTATGTACACATTATGTACATTTGATCAGACCCTCCAATAGACTGGGACACCTTTATAGATCAAAGCCGCTGTTATTAGTTGTTACAACAAATGTCTGCTATGAAAAAGGGCCAATGCACTGAACAACTCTGTGACTGCACATTGTGTACATTTAATTCCCCTTAAAATGCAGGTGTACACATATTTTTGTGAATGTGTCAATCTTAAATCAGTTGCTCTATAAAAAGGTCAGAAAAGGATCTAACCAAAATATATTAAATTATCAGAAACTAGCAGCAAATCCTCACACTTAAGAAGCTGGAACAATTAAATATTCTTCATTTTAGCTTTAAAAAAATCTTTAAAATAATTGTTTTACTATGTTTTCTTATTTTATATCTAATTGTACACGTACTTGGTGAATGAACAAACGTTAATGTCACTAATTAACACCGAATATTAGCTGTTTATAGCTTCTACAAAGTAAAGACTGCCCAGCTTTCCATCATTATTTTCATTATTCTTCATTTATTTTATATATTCTACAGATTTATTGTTACAGTAGTCACTAGATTTATCTTAATTAGCAAATATATATATATATCCTATATTTTCTGTATCCTTTGTCAAAAAAACTCTTCTGCAGCCATTTCCAGACTCTTTGAGCTCTCTCTGACCACAGCTACAGTTGCTCCACCTTAAAGTTTACACTGACAAGTACCGTGAACGCACCACGACTGCAGCGTCTCCTTATGTGGTTCAAGATAAAGTTCATCGTTGGGTCGCAGCTGTGGGACCAATGTAGGCCTCAATCTAAAGAAAGGAAGTCTGTAACACAACAGGCCAGGCTGACTTAAAGTGACCAAACCAATTATTTTTTATAAGGAATATAACATAATAAATAAGAAAATGAAGTTTGTTATATTGAATAGTTAGAATTATAAATGTTTTCATGCATCTTTTCAGTGCTGTGGAATGAAAATGCATTACCATCTACCATGATGCAATTTCAAAATAAAGTCTGTAATATTGATATAACGTTAGTTTAACTGTCTACAATGAAGTAATTTCAAAATAAAGTCTGTAATAAGGATTTAATTTGACTCTGTTGTGTTAACAGGAACTACTTTAAGGGCTTTTTAAATGACTTTTCATGTGTTTACTTTTAACATTATATAATAATACAGCGTTAGTTCCTGACATTAATATCACTGTGAAACAACATGAAGGAGTATTAAGTTAGCAATAGAAAATAAACAGTTTCTAACGGTTATATTTATGGATATAGTTTATGGACAGGCCCAAAACAGAACAGACAGAAGTCAGATGTTGACACGTGAGACAGGGAAGGATCGGTTCACGTCGCCTGTTTACTAAAAAATACTAAAAACACTAAAAATAAATCCATATGACTGAAATTAGATACGACATGGAGCCGTTAACGTCTTGACCGTTGGTTTTTTGACCGTTAGTTTTTTAACCGTTGGTGTTAACCGACGTTAACTGGCCGGTACAACGTTCGTCCTCCTCCCGCCTCACAGACACACAGACAGGGAACTTACCGCTTACAGCTGGATCCAGATTCAACCACAGTAGTGGCAGGAACAGAAATATCCAGGCTGTTGGTGGATTCATGGCGGTTACACGACAAAACTTCGGATAAAAGATTAAAAAATAACCGCTCCGGACGAGAGAAGTGCGGCCTGCTGCCGGAACACAGTGGGAGATAATGAGCCAATCAGATAATTCAGAACCGGGTCGCTGGCCTGGTTGCTAGGCAGATTACAACACAAGAGGTTTGGGTAAGAGGGCAGGAAACGAAAGTGTTATTACAGTGTACATTATCATCAGTGGTGGAGGAAGTATTCACATTCTTTATATTCAGTGGTTCCCAATATTTTACCTTAAAGCTGCAGTTTGTAACTTTTATATAAAACAATTATAACTTTTTGTCATATTTGCTGACACTTTAACGGTTTCCTCCTGATGTATTTGCAAGACTCCACCTTACCTGGAAGGAAACAACCAATCAGAGCACTCTGTTCCCAACCTTTTTCCTCAAGTGGCCCCATTTTCTATCATTTATTTATCATTTATACTGATTAAATGATATATTGTATGGATATTTCATATCAATCCCAAACGGTGAACTCGAAAACCAGAGATTTGGATGAATTTTGAGCAGATTATTTCCTTTTTATACAATTTTCTGTTTGTACTATGTAGTTTTTTTTATAATTTTGACAAACTATGCTTCTTTTTTGACAAATTTTGTGTTTTCTTGTCCCCGGCCATTGTTAGATTACACAATTTACTTAACTTTACATTTACATTTCTTCTTTCTAGACCTACTGTGTATATTTTTAAAGTAGATTTTTTTCACAGATTATCTGTCTCGTGTACTACTCTCAGGATATAGTGAAAGTTTCAGCAAATATAACAAGAAAAGCTACAAAATACGATACCATTTTGTTGGTAGAGGCCCATTGTCTGAGTATGTGGGCTGTGGGACAAGGGATAAAAATGGTGTGCAGTCCCACACAAAGTGGGACACCTGGTCACCATAATAACAATAACAGTACAGAACAACTCATACAATAACCCAAATAGTGAACAGGAAGTTTTTGTAAAACGAATTGGAGCAGATTATTCCTGTGAGCATCAAAGATGAGTTTTCCTGACACTTTTTCAAAAATTCTCTGTCTCATTGTTCTATTAGCTCTTTGGTTGTTTTAACTTTTTCGAATGTAGGCCGAGTTCATAATTATTTAAATATGTCGATGACGTCCAGGTTAGGAACTACAACTTGAAACAATGCTGACTACTTTCAAATCCAAGCTTAAGACCTGTTTATTTTAATGAATGTAATCTCTTTAATCAATTGCTAGTTTGTTTTATTGATTGTCTGTATGATTTTATTGTTTTTATCACTTGTTTTTTTGTTGTTTTTTTTGTGCTTTTGCTCGTGAACTCTGTAAAGCACTTAGAGTTGTCTCGACTTTGTCCACAGGGGGCGCCAGAATCAACACAAAATGAAAGTTCCTTGTTGCTGCTGTCTGTAAAAGTACATCAGCCTGTGTAAGTGTAATCAGGAAAATGTACCAGAGCCCAGAACTAGCAAATGTTTGATAATTGTTTGTCATTTTTCATGTAATAACACTTCCCAAATCTGAGGATTTGCTGCTTTTTGTTTAATAATGTCTTTCTGTAGTAACTTTGAGGATTGGACTGTTGGTTCGAGCATTTCAACGGTGTCACTTTGAGCTCTTGAACGTCCCTCTGTTCTCAGAATTTTTACAAACCAAACAATCAATCAGTGGATTAATAAATCTAATCAAACATCAGTTGCAGTCTGAAATAAGTTCCACCTCAAACAGTAAAATCCTGCTTTTACATTAATACACGAGTCAGAATAATCTAAGGACATCATATATAATACTATAACAGTCACAGGGGACATTTTTATACTTTTAATTTAAGCACTTTTTCCTGATTACATACTTTTACAGCGTGATATTAGTACGTTTACTGTAGTAAGGGATCTGAATGCTTCTTCCTTGTGTGTTATGTCTGACGACACTTAAAGGAATCAAACCATCGACCCCAAACTCTGTGTTGAGAGTTTAGTGTTACAGTCTGCGCCTCCCAACTCTTTATTCATTGCTTATATTCAAGCCAGACAAATTAACACATGTACAAACGCCTACTTCCGGTATATATCTATGTACATTTATTATTACACTTGTTACTTTAACATTTACATGATTGAACATTCATTTCTGTACATCCAGTCACTAAAAAATAAGTCTCTCGCTGCTTTCTTTGTGCTCAGAGGATTAAAACACGGGGAGAAAGTCTTTTTTAAATATTATCTCTTTATTTTCTTCCTCCTGTTCTATCAAGTCTTTCCTAAAACTAAAGTGCAACCTGCCCTAAACCTTGTGCTGCTTCTTGTTTTCAAAGCAGTGATCCACTGGGCAACTTTTCCAGCAACTTTTGGTTGCCGTGACTTATTTAAATACTGTGCATCGCTGTGTATTGCCTGTTGCTGGAAGCCATCTTTGCTGCCTAGAAAATTGCTGAGTGTATCACCACCCTCACATGGAAAGAAGCCTGTTTCAGTTTCACCCTCTTTATCTCCCATCATCTTCGCTCCCTGTTGAGACCCTCTCCTCATCACTTCCACTTATTCTCCTCTGTGCTCCCCCTCCCTTCATTCATCCATCCCCTGTCAGTCCATCTTTTCCTCCCGAAGCGGAAACCGAATCCTCCTTTCTCCCGGCTGACAGCTTGGAGTCCTCCAGCGAAGGAGGTCAGAGCTTCGTTCCTACTCCCTCCGTCCTCCCCCTCTCCTCCCTCCTGATAGTGTGCACCCTCAAGAGAGTGATCCCTGGGGAAGGGTGACAGCGGCTGGCCCACCAGGTCTCCTCTCTGGGCCCTCAGTAGTATTTCCTCCTCCCATGGCAGATCCTCCCCCTCCTCCTCCTGCTCCTCCTGCTCCTCCTCCTCCCCAGGCTCCAGCTGGGCCGGCCGGGGGTCTTGAGGCCACTCGGCCCAAGCGTCAGGCTGGACGAGCCAATCGTGTGTCTGGTCGTCCAGAGCAGCCTGGAGGTGCAGCAGAGCGGCCTCCAGGTCAGGTACGTCCACGGCGGGCAGGAGGGCGGTGGGAGAGTGGGGGTACGATGCGACAGTCCGTGGGGCGGGGCAGAGGAGGGCAAGGGAGAGGAAGGTGAGCTGTGAGGCACCGAGATGGAAAGAAAGTCTCATCTGAAAATAGAAAGAAGTAGTTTGTGACTGTATCAAAATACACAAAGTGAGCTGTGAATGATAAATATACATATATATGTATATTTATATATATATGTCTGCAGTCAGATTGTTGCAGCTTAATATGGCTGATTTCATAGGCGGTTTTCTAAAATCTTGTTTTTTAAAATATGTTGCAATGTTTTTCTTGTATTCCGTTAAACTTAAATTAAGCAGGGTCCCAATTAGAAGCAGGTCTCTTTTACTAGCCTGGTGTGGCTACACATTTTGAAACATTAATGGCATGTCTCAATTAGAGGCCTGGTCAGGATTATATAGAAGTTCTTTGGATGTTTAAAACCTCTTTTGTCGTTAGATTCTCCACAATTTAATAATTTGATTCCTTTTACAGAAACCATGAGCACCAACAAATGATTAATTTAAAGTTATATTCACACTGGTTTAAATAGACAATTTATTAGTAATTCCTGTCTTTGCTGAACAAGAGTTTTGTACAAAGAATCGAAGGCATGTCTCAAATTGAGGCCTGAGCTACAGAAAGACAGGTTGAGTTCAGTGATTTAAGCCAATGAAAGGCGGGGCGATTAATGTTGTGAAGTGATTAATAAAAAATCAACTTGTTCCCAAAAATCAATTCACGTAAGAATCGCAATTCTTTTATGATTTTTAATGGATTCACAAATTACAAAAATCCATTTTTTAAAATATTTAATTCAAATGTTTACTTGCCGTGGGACCTTTCCCGCCTTCATAAAACACAGTTACAGCAAGCAGCGTAGTAGCTACTGGTGAGTCGCTGCTAACCTAGTCGGTAGCCAAGCTAAAATGGACCCGCAAGATATTCAGCCATTTCCATCTCATTTGGGTGCACTTTTGATTCTACAATATCCTGGGGAGAACAAGGTTGACATGTCTCGTTCGATTTTCTGAGCACACGTGGATTGCAGGAGATCTTGAAATCAGCACCCCTAGGTACTGAATCATGACACCAAGAAACAAAATAAATCAGATTGTGAGATACCTAAAGACTCACACCTATAGTAATTTGGTGGCTTATGGCTCAACATTTTGCACAGAGGACTGCTATGATCTGCTATGATTGGTGAAACTTGCAGGAAACCACAATGATTGGTCAAAGTTGCGGAAAATATGCGGTCTTGGACAAAATTGCACGATTGCACAGAAATCACAGGGACTGGTTGAATTTGCTGTTGTGATCGCAACTTCCTGAAGAGACTGATGAAGGCAAATCTTTATGGAGGAATCATCTAAATGTAGTTACAATTGTGCAGGATTGGATAAAATCGGTTTAAAAAATATCTGTTTAGGTTTTTTCATCTTAAGGTTCAGGAACTATACCAACAATTTGCCCCATTTCCAAACTTTCCACCAAAGTTCATTCAAATCTGTTTTTTGAGATATTCTGCCAACGTTGCCAAAAGTCCAAAATCAATAAACATGAGTTGCCTGTTTACCTGCCAACGCAGCTACAATCACAATAAAGTCCGGAACATTTCGAGATAAAATAAAAAATAACCTTTTTCTCAAAACCAGCATTGGTTAGTAACACAATACAGTAATAACATTACTTTCCCCAGTAACAACAGTTATTCCCCAAAAAATAACTCATTACAACCTTACTTTTGTTGTCACCCCCCACAGATTTCTCTTGTTTGAAAAATTAAAGATTCAAGTTTTTCTAAAGAAGAGAAGTAAACTATCATTATCATTAGTTTATTTAAAAGTTTGACTTGAAAATGTAGTCAACAGTTGCCTTGAAATTATGAGTTTTCTCAACTTATTTTCTCTTCTGCAAAAATGCATCACTGAGAAACTTCTTCATATTTTTTGGATCCTGTCATTAACACTTTCTCAGAAGTGAAAAAATATACAAAATAACCCAAAAAGCTTTATTACAAAATTATTCACTTTATCTTTTAGCACCAACACAGAACAAAAGAAAGTCAAACAGAAGAAAATTCAGATTAGTTGCGTCCCAAATTCTCGCCTTACCTTGCGTTGTCCAACTTGCTGTATCTTCTATGACATTCGTTGCCTCTGACCTTTTTAAAACCTGCATGCCCTCCGTCCTCCCACCCCGCCACCCTCAGGTCACAGGCTGCTGTCACCCATTGGTCCCTCACCCCTCTGACGCACGCAAAGTCAGCCGTCATTACCTTCATTCTTTCAGCTGAGAAACCTTGCCATAATTATCGCCAATTCCTTGATTGGGGAGGCAATTCACAGAGGAAGCAGCCAATTCATTAAGATGCTTCTGAGGACAGAAGGTCTCCAGGAGAGGGGGGGGGGAGTGGATGACAGGGAGAGAAAGACAAGGGGCAGTTTGCGGTTTCTTTTGTCATTGTGGTCGTCATGAAGGTCGTCTTGCTGGGAAAACGCAGACATACCTGAAAGAATGTCTGTCAGGGATTTTAAGTATTGACAAACCATCAGTCACTCAAACAACGCTTTCCAACTTAATTTGCCACCAATTATATGACAAAGGATCTGCAGGCCTTGTCTGGGTGTTTTATTCTGTAATGACTTCCACCTTCAGGCTATTTTAGGATGCTCTTTGAATTTGTATCAGGACAGATAAAGGCTGGAGGAAGAGGCTGAGAATTCTGGTTTATTATAACTTATTTTGGTAGTTGTGTCCATTATCAACAGCTGGGAACTCGGGATCTCTAAAATTAGGTCAAGAAATGCAGTCAGACGAGCAGACAATCAAAATAACAGTTTGTTAGTTCTAGGAGATTAAATGATTACTGATGCACATGAACTGTTTCAGAGTAAACTTACTATTGAGTGTCATGTCTGGTGTCCTGATTTCTCTCTGCAGTCAGATTTTAAACACACAATAACAGCTGCAACTAATTAATATTTTCATTCTGGTTTAATCTGTTGATTACTTCATAGACTAAAGGAACCCTGAGTTTCTGACCAATAGTAGCACTATGGGGCAATATGTGGGAGTGGGTCGCTGTTTTGTTTGTTCTCATCAAGTGGCAACCTTCATGGCCAACAAGGAAGTATTAAAAACTGCAGTTCCTCTAACAGCCACTAGAGGCTGACTCCATGAGTAAGTTAATCTCCGTAAGGCCCCATTTTAAAATGGCCAATGTTTACAGCCTGGTACAAAGAACGGTTTTGGTGTTTCCCCGTTCATGAAAACTGCCCCGATGGTGACGTTTTGCACAACTCATCTGTTTGAATTATATTAAGAGTTAAAGTTATGCATAATTAAGGGCATGGCCCCTTTTTCTTTGACCATGTCTGGATTAGCCAGGAGCCGGCAGAATTCAAATTAAAAAAGTTTGTTAGACCTCAGCTATACACAATATGTGTCTGTGAGAGACACTGAATGTAAGACGACAACAAAGACAAAGAAAATTATAAAATCTTCACAGTAGAATAAAGGGATTATTTGATTAGCTGCCAGTTCATTTTCTGTTGATCAGTTAATTGATTAATCGGTTAATCATTTAAACTCTATGTGTAATGTGCGGGGAGGATGAGCCACTGAGTGTGCTGCACAAAGAGGAAACTTGTTGGAAGGAAACATTGAAAACAGTTGAAGATTTATTCACCATTCAAGTGTCACACAGAAAGCTCCAGTCATCAGGGATCATAGATGAATATCCGAGATAACTAGATAACTGATCTACATTAATCGTTACCTAGCTCGTTACATCATAGCTAATCTTAATGCAAAACGCTAGCTAATTTGCTAGCTAATGATTGATGTAGATTAGGTAGCTAGTTAGCTAGCACATAGCATATCTAAGTACAGGAAAGGAGAAAGTGTAAGGAGATTCAAAAAGGGGCGGGACTTGGGAAGAGTACGAGGCTCATGAAGTAACGTGATGTAGAGTCAGGACCAAACAGACAAATTATTTGTTTTTATTATTGATTAATCTATCAATACGTTTTAAATAATGTGTTTATTGTATGCTGCCAGAGTCCAAAGTAACATATTATAACCTGAGCAATAATTCTACATTTGCAATATCATCACGATCTTATAACGTTAATCATCCTTCGATACATTTCACTGGTTAAAATACAACATTAAGGTGTAATTATGCCACATAACATGGTGTACATCAGTTATTTTCTTTGTGATTTTGCATTAATTTGCCATATTGCCTCTCAGTCAGTTTCAATTTCAGTTTGTCTAAAAGTCCCAAAAGAAGTCTATTTTACAGTGATATGACCAGTCAGGTACTGGTTTCAGTGCTTAGCTTGATTCATAGTTAAATTTGAATCACACAACAACAGAGTTATAACCTTTGTTAAAGTTATAATCCTTAACATTTTAAGATTTATAGTCAGAATTTGTATGATTAATGTTGTGTAATGACCTCTCTATGTAATAGTTTTAATTGTCAGTGGTGGAGTCCGCCACATTGCCTTCTAACACACAAGAGGAGTCACAGGGAACTATGCAGCATGTGATCCAGAGTTACTGTTTATGATTTAATCTCACTGATATCAGCCTCACTGTTTACTGTTCTCTGTCCTACACACATATCAGGATTCATTTACTGCTGATGTTAACATTTCCTGCTACTGTTGCTTCAAATTAAAAGCTGAAATCATAAGGATCATAATTTTAACTATTCTCTCATTTTAAAAGTTGCTCACAGTGTGGAAGCAGAACCCTCGACTAACAGTAATGTGGTCTAAAAGAACTATCAGCTTCAACTTCTCCCTCTGCGCCTCCTCCTGCCTCTCCAAAGTCCTCGTAGGCCTCCAGAGAGGAGGTACAGCCTGGTGCACTCTGGGAATCGTAGTCCAGGAAGAAGGCAGGGTGCTGCAGCTGATGTGACTGGCTGAGGGCCGGACTCACCGGTGGGTCGCTGAGCGGGGCGGTGAGCAGGGAGAGCTGCAGCTGGTCAATGGTGCTGGTGGGGAAGGGCTGTGATTGGTCGGGGGGGGAGCAGGCCGAGGACGGGGAGCCAGTTGCCACGGTTACGCCTCTCGGCGGAGCGGAGGGCGAGTTGGCCTGGGATTCGTCTGTGGTGAGCGAACGTCTCAGTTTGGCCCGAGCATTTTGAAACCACACCTGTGTGTGAGTGAAAGAAGAACTTGAAGATATTTGTTAATTAAGATTAAATTAGGATTTTGTTTCTATATGTATGTAAACATGTGTATGTACATATATGTACGCATCTTTCTTGTAAAGAACTCAAATCCCTGAAACTTGATCTCTTCTTTGTTGGCACCTTTGACCTTTGCCATTATTTTGTGCCAAACAAAATACATTTTTAAAAATAGAATTGTGTTTTTATTTTAATTGTACACAAAGAGGGAGTTTTAATGTATATCAAACAACTAGAAATGTAATAAATAATAATATCTTGCAGGCCAGACTATAGAGGAGACTATGGGCCGGCGGTTTGGGATCCCTGGTTACGTACTTATATACTTTTTATAGGTTATAACTGCATTTCACTGTGTAATTCTGTATTATTTAACAACAATAAAGTTAAATCTTGATAATAATAATGTAAATACAATGTTTGGCTGTGTGGTTAGTGGCTGCATCTTATTAAGGAGCTCTAACTATAGTCAGCTCCATTATGATCATATCATAATGATTCAGAAGTGCTGAAATTGAAAGGCAACAGACCTTTTTCACAGCAGCCTTTCTGGCATGAATTAGTAGGATAAACAGGAGTTACCAATGACACTAATTAGGTTTCTGTTAAAACCATTACTATGACCAATCAAACCTAAAATCTGCATCATCACTCATGTTTCGTACCTGCAGGACTCTCTTGGGGAGGCCGGTCTTGTGAGCGAGGCAGGTCCAGTCTTTGCCGTCAGGGTTGTGCTTCTGGGCGAAATACGACTCCAGTGCTCTGAGCTGCTCGCTGCGGAAACATGTCCTGATTCTCTTTGTCCGTCTGCGGGTCCGCCCACCCGTCCCTCTGTCGCCTAATCGCGGCTCAGGACTACTGACAGACTCCTCCCCTTCACCTGAGACCTGATTTTGAGCTGTTCCACACACATACACACAGACACACAGACACACAAAGAGAGTGTTTTGATAGCTGAAGGATTGGTTTTTAGCCTCTTTTAGCTCCTAGTTTTGGTTTCGAGGCACATTTCCTGTCTGGTTCAGTGCTGATCATGCATGATGCATTTTTCTATAAAAACAAATTAACAAAGACACACACAAACAGCTCTCACCTTCTTTCAGATTTGCTTCGGGCAGGACGTTGTGCGATAACGGGACACTCCCGTCGCCATGGTAATGGGACTGACAGTAGAGGTTCTGGCCCTGCATGCAGTACAGGTTCCCTGGTATTAATTTCACATCACACTCCTGCAAAACATTTTAATTATCATACAAATATCTGCATGTCAGATATGATAGTAGTTGCATATATATATATATATATATATATATATATTTATGTACAAGTACAGGTATTAGCTTGTTTGCACAGGATTTCTATGAGGTGTTAAATTCAGATGGAAGCCAGGAAGTGAAAAGCAAAATGGAGCAGACTGGAGGACAGTCTGTGCTCTGCTATTCAAACAATATGAGAGAGGAAGGTACAAACAAAAAAAATCACAGTGTGTTGGACCTTCAGAGGAGCAATTTTTCATCTGAATTTAAAGACTTTCCGACAGGGATTTGAAGTTGTTATTTCAAAGACACCAAACTACTTTGATAAAAACCTCACTGAACACAGGAGTTGTCGGTCTCCTGCTGTCTTTATTGGTTAGTTTGTTAAAACGCCAAAGTCAGTCTGGTGGTGTTGAGAGAGCATAAATGGATATAATGGCTTCATTTCCCCGTCAGAAAGGTTTGTCTGACTGCAAGGTAAAGTGGTGAAAATTTTATATAGGCTACATTTTGCAGATGCCCCGTCCACAGAGGTACAATCTGTTTCTTCAGGTGTTTTTCACAAACAAAGCAGACATTTTGAGAGTTCAATGGCCTGACGTCATGTGCAACTATTAAAAATGCTCAATGATTGTGTCGATGATATTGCGTCTTATGTCTCGATTGTAATCCATGGAGAGACAGTAATCCAACCCAATTTATTTGGTTTGTTTTGTGATGTGTCATAATGTTTCTGACCTGGCAGGAGAAGCAGTGAGGATGGAACGTCAGCTCACCAGACCTCATGACCAAATCAGAAGCTGGGATTGGCTGGAAGCAGCGAGCGCACTGACCTCCTCCAAACATCCTGACCATGAAAAGAAACCAAACGGAGTCAGATGTCAGGATATATCAGCAAAAAACACAAGTTTAATCCCAGAAAATGTAATTTGAACAAATCTGGGCCAGTGTGTAACATTTAGGAGGATCTGTTGGCAGAAACAGAATATAGTATATAGGTATGTTTTCATTAGTGTACAATAACCTGAATATAACAATTCTTGTGCTTTTGTTACCATACCAAAACACATAGAATGAGATGATTTTATCTATGGATGCCGCGGGTCCCCTTCCATGAAGTCCGCCATGTTGAACCTCCATGTTTCTACAGTAGCTCAGAAGAGACCAAACAAACACTGGTTGTAGATAGGGCTGAATATGGACTCAAGAAGTTTCTCTATTGTCTCGGACTTTGCCATTTGTCTCGTCAAATATTCTAGTTGGTCTTGACCAAGTTTTGATTATCGACTAGTCCTGATCTTGGACCTCTTGGACCCAACAAAGGTGGTCTTGGCTGAAGCACTATTTCACTGTTTCACGGCCACCATAGTTTCTCCTTCGCACTTGGAAGGGGAGGGTGAAGCAATTACACCGCTAGATGTCTCTAAATCCTACACACTGGACCTTTAGAGGGACGTTCTGACATTCTGGGAGACAAAGAGGAGGACGTTTCAGACCTGCAGTAGTCTTGTTGGCAGTAGATGTTTCCGTCTCTCCAATACAGTGAGAGGTGTGTCTGCAGCTCACACTGACATTGGCTGCACCGGAGGCAGACGCTGTGCCACACCCTGCCTGCAGCCAATAGGAAGAAGCGGTCACACACCTGCTCGCCACAGCCGGCGCACATCATTGGCTCCTGGACGGACACGGCTGTCGGAGTCTGAGACAGATTAACAAACAGATTTATTTCACAATACTGAAGAGGAGGATTTTAAACCAAATCCAAACAACTAAAGATCAATCTCTCTTTGTACCACCTGAAATGATTCAAAAATAGCTCAGTAGCTCAGTCTGTAGGGAACCGGAGGGTTGCCGGTAGCTGGAGAGGCACCAGTTGAGATGAGACGTCTTTTTTGCATAAGTATAGTATGGTGTGGCCTGTGTTGTATTCACTAAATTACTAGAAAGTTTGTAGTGAAACGTCCTAGTATTTAGCTGATGTTGTAGGACAGGCAGAGGATGAAATAAGAGTCTATTTTGTGTTAACAATAATAAAAATAATGACTCTTATGGTCCGAAAAATGTTTAAAAGATTGAGATGTTTTTGTAATGTTTTATTGTCTTCATGCTCACATTGTCTGCAGCAGCACTTTCTTCCAGCCCTGCCAGGCCGCCGCCCAGCTCCACCTCCTCCGCCTCGTCACCAAGGTCACTGCAGTACAACAGGTCCTCCAGGGCTCGGTCGTCTGGCGACATCATGATTGTCCTGAGAAGGTGCAGGCGGTAATTATCAGTCCACTCTGTAATCACAGCCCTCATTAGAGAGCTAAAAACAGACGCATTTAACGTCTATATTAATAAACAACAACACAGACCCAAACTGTAACACAAATGTGACACAGTAAATGAGAGGACTTTTCAATGACTTTCAAGGTTTTGGTGAAATTTACAGACACACAAACATACACATCGCACCCATTTTAACATCATCACATTGTCTCTTTTAATTTTAAAATGTATCGCTTTATTAAAAGGCTGTGAATAATCCCTTCCAGCCGTTGCCTCAGGTCATTGAACACAACAGCAATAAACAGTTAAGACAAATAAGTCTGGCTGCATTTTCTTATTACAAACTGTGGAGGAAGAATCTCAAGACATTTTTAGCTTATTGTACTGAAATATTTGATTAATTTTTTTTAATTTTATTTATTTTTACATGCAGTATAATATATGGAGGACCAAAACTGCCTAAAAAAATATAAATAAATAAACTACTCAATAAATAAATTGATATGCCATTAAATGCAATCTATAATAATCTCCAGGCTTTGGACGAGGTTATATAATGAGTCTGCAGCAAATCTCGCATACTACATGTAAGACTGCATGCTGAAATATGACAACAGCTTGGAAAATAGTGATATGTGGCTTTGAATTTTATGAGAAAACAAATGAGTCAAGAATTAGGTTTGGGGAAACAATAGATGAGTTTTCTGGTGACAGAGAGTTTTACTTGTTGCTAAAGTAGCTGCTAACTGCTATACAAGGTCCCTCGTTAAATGAAGCAGAAAAGCATAAAGAAATACAAAAAGAAAATACAGAAATAAATAAATGGGGAAATGCAACAGGAAATAATACAGAAGGAATACATAAACAAATACATAAATTAAATTATTGTAAAGATGAATAATAATGAAAAAAAGGTCTAGTGTGTAACATTTAGGAGGATCTATTGGCTGAAATTGACAATAATTGTGTTTTTACCTTAGAATGAAATGTTTTTATCAAAAGACGCTGCAGGTTGCCTTTCATGGAGGCCGCCATGTTGAACCACCATGTTTCTACAGTAGCCCAGAATAGACAAACTGGCCCTAGATAGGGCCGTTCAGAGAGAATTGCAATCTGCAACTAAACCACTAGATGCTACAAAATCCTACTGGAACTTTAATAAAAAAAGTAAATAAATACAGAAGCAAGCTAAAACCGAATTATCAATTTATGTCAAATTCTGTAAATTAATTAATTATTTTGATTTTGGCAGTTTCAGTCCTCCATAATTGCAAATGACAACAAATAACAATTAGAATAAGAATAAAGGTTGATGAAGGATACAAATTCAGAGATAACAAGTATTAAAAAGTGTATATTTTTGTACATAAAAATGTAATCATGACACAGTTATAAAGTAAATGATATTAGAGCTGCAACTCTGTTTTTAAAATATTATTATTTTCTATTTTTCTGTTTTTTATTTTATTGTAAATTGAATATCTTTGGGTTTTGGACTGTTGGTTAAACAAGATGTTTAAAGATGGACTTCTGGGAAATGGTGATGGACATTTTTCACCATTTTGTGACATTTAAGACATCAAACAATTGATCAATTAATTTAAATAACTGTTGCAGCCCGAAACTATACTTTATAATACCGTATATAATTTTGATCACGCTTGAGTTCAAGTATGCAGTAAGTAAGACTCATATCTTTGACCTTTTTATTCCGATGAGGAGGTGAGATGAAGGCGACCTTACCTGTCTTTAAGAGACTCCTGGTTGGTTTCCACTGAGCGTGCTCTGTATGAACCCTTCAAACAACACGGCCCTTTAAAAAACAGATCTTTCCTCTGCGTTGTGTCTGTCCTGAAGGTCTCCCTGTTTAACCCTCTCACTGCTACAGGTGTCCCTGCAGCCTCCTGTCTTGTGGTTTTAGGATCAGTTTCCCTCTGTGAGAGCACTGACCTAGGATCTGCTTCCACCTCATCCTCCACCAATCACAGTCCCAGCATCTGGACTGATGATCAGCACCTGTCCCTCCCACCTTGCCGTCCGGTCCCCGGTGACGCACAGACACACACCTGTAAACAAGAGGCCCAGGTGGCTCAGTGAGCAGGTAAGGAGTGATGTGTTTGGCCGCCTGGTGAGCAGATGGGTGGGGGGACTGCACCCCAGGGACCAATTAAAAAAAACAAAGGGTGTTTAAAAAGACATCTGGGATCTGCAGTTGAGGATGAAAAGACAACGGCTTGATTCCTCGGCTGCGTTTGGATCAAACTGTTTCCTGCTGTTTACCTGAGAAAAGAGACAAAATGAGATTAAATCTTTGCTTGTTTACAGAATTAGACATCAGGTGCATAAGAAAAAGAAATATTCCTGTTTATTCACCAAATAATTTGACTTTAAACCCATAAAAAAAATTGATGACAACAACAAATGGGGACAAATGTGTTGCAGTTGTAGCTCTGAATCAAAAAAGTTTTAAAATGTTCACTATAATGACATAGACTGTTGTCTCTCTATTTAAATATATGATAAAAGGAACTTTAATATCTTGAAGTTCCACCAGAAGTTGGATAAATGTCCTCCTGGCCAGCTGAATGTTTCAAGGCCTCTGTGGCTGAAAAAATTATGCAAAGTGCCAGAAACTGCAGTTCCACTAACGGCCACTAGAGGCTGGCTCCAGCAGTGAATCAATCTCCATAAGGCCTGAATTTGGTTTTATTATTACATAAAAATCAGATCAAAAAGTCCAGAAAAAGTAATAAAAAGTGATAAAATGTCCAAATTATGAGATAGAGAAAATTGAAATTATTGGATAAAAGTATGACTTTTTATCTCATAATTATAACTTACTATAGGGATATTTTTATTATTTAAGGCAAGTTTTCATATTTCTCATCTTAATTATTTCACTGGCAGAAATGGGCTTCCATACTTTACATACTGACAGCAATCAATATATCAAATCCTCAGTCAAACTGCCCGTCTACCTTCCTACCTGCCGCACACTCTGCCCCTGCACTCACTGCTCATGATTCTGCAGTGAGTATTTCATCAGCTGATACCAACAAAAGCAACGTTGCAGCTTTCATTTTCAATCATTTTATTGTTGTATTCTTTTAGGGGGGAATCATAAAAAGGAAAATAAAACATAGAGAGATTTACAAAAACACAGAGGGACAAACACTGAGATGACGGTCTGCAGCTGAACCACAACAAGTACAAACAAAAGTCTCCATCACTCACCTGCTCGTCCTCAGGGCTGTACCCATAGACTGTCTACTGAAGGGCCACAGTGCATCTGATATATCTTACAGTGAACAGCAGGGGGCACTGCCGAGCTTTAAAGCAGGTCTGAATGAACAGTTGGGCTTCTAAAGGCTTCAAATGACAACCAGATCCTCTGTTTGGTTTCATTTCAGGTTAACATTTTTGGTTTTTAACTTGTTGTCATGTATAAGACAAATTAAAGCCCACAGTATGAAGTTTAATTACGTCAATACAAGGCTGGTCAAGGCTGAATTTCTACCACATGCAACTATTTACATCAAATACAATGAAAAGCCAAACAGAAAGTCACCTCTGAGTTGCAGTTGTGGAGAGTTACCAACCTGAAGACCTGAAGAAGTGATTAAAGTGCTGCCAACATCAGCTACATTTACGCCTGTGAAAGTGGTCCTGTGCCGGGGCGGATTCAGAGGGGTGGCTGCTGCCCCAGTTTGGTGTCAAATTTAAAACAATAATTTAGATTAACTTTAAAAATAATGTTTTAAAAAACAGAAATTGATTAATTGATCTATTATTGCCACATTTAGACTCAGTGACGGTCTCAAGTTCAAAGAACGTTTTGTAAAAATGTCTTAAGATTCAAGATGTAGTGATTTCTAATGTCACCTTTAGATATTTCAGTTCAATTCTTTAATGTGCCACAATAATGTTTTCGAGTTAAAAAAATCCCAATATGAGATAGTCAAATGTGCAGAAATTTTGTTGTGACTGGACAAAATTACAAGGTTGGGATTGGTTGACTGCCGATCTGGAGCCAGTGTCCTGTTTGTTTGTTCTGGGCTGCTGTTGAAACATGGTGGTTCAACATGGCGGACTCCTGACTTCTAAGGTAACAAAAACACAACAATTCTTATTTTCCGGTGATTATACATTAATGAAAACATACCTATGAATATTATATTCCATTCCTGCCAATAGATCATTTTAAATGTTACATAATGGACCTTTAAATCTGCATATATTTCTGCCACCCCATGAATATTTCTCCAAATCCGCCGTCTGGTGGTGGTGGTGAAGTTTCAGATATCTCAGAATATCGGCGCATGAAACCAAAAAAAAGGAAATGTGTGTTTTTGTAATGTGGGTGAACTGACCCTTTAAATACAGAGACAGTGGGAGGAACCCTGCTTTAAAGAAGAAAAGATCAAACTGTACAATCTACAGTAACTGATACTGATAACTGACCTCTATACAAGTGAAAAAATACGTCTTCATCTCTTCTGAAGTGAGAGCGAGGCTCCCTGTTAAAATGAGTGTGTGTGTGTGTTTGTGTGTGTGTGTGTGTGTGTGTGTGTTTGCACATGTATTGACACACTGCTGTCCACGCGTGTGTTTAACAGTTCATTATCTTCTGTCTCTCCTTCATCCTCTGGTTGGAGGACTGAAGGCTGCTGGTCTCATCTTCATCTCAGTGAATGGGATGGAAAACAATTTTCCTTTCCAGCTGGTCCAGATCACACCCTGACACACACACACACACACACACACACACACACACACACACACACACACACACACACACACACACACACACACACACACACACACACACACACACACACACACACACACAGAGACAGGCAGTTCATTAATTCCTGAATCAGGGAAATATGGTCAATTGTAATCTAAAAAGTAGTAACTCAAGCTGTTGTTTGCTAATGTCAGCAAAAGGTTACCCAGCTAACGAGTGATGTAGTTTAGCCAGCGAGTTAGCTAGCTTTTTGCTAACATTAGCTAACTTAAGATGTGACTATATACTGTATATGTCACTTTTATCTTTTAAACATCTTCAAAATTTGGTTTTGTTTCAACATAGATAACCCTAACATAGCAGGAAGAAAGTTGGCCGAGGTCCCAAAACTGGGCGGGACTTAGGAAGGGTCCTTTGTCATATGAAAAGTAACTAGTAACTAAAGCTGTCAGACAAATGTAGTGGAGTAAAAAGAACAATATTTGCCTCTGAGATGTAAAAGAAAGCACGAGAGAAAGATTTAGTTTCCTTACAGGGCTTCCATAATAAACATATTCATTATAAAAAAAGGAAAGTTTGTTACCTGGTGTTTGACGTCGATGCCGTAGAGGCCGTTGAGGTTCGCCTCATGGCAGTTCTTGTACCACCAGCCTCCTCGGTACGACATGGCGCAGCGGGTGATGAACGGCGTCGGGTCCCGGTCTCTGGTGGAGAAGACCCGGTTGTTGTGATAACTGAGAGAATCACCTGAAACCATGAACAGGGAGGAAACAAGAGGAACAGTCCTTAAGTTCAAAATGGAGAAATCACCAGAAAGTCGCTGGTTTTCTTCAGGAGGTATTACAGGAACTCATTTTATATTTTCTGTCACCTGCAGTGCCGCTGTATCCGCCTACAGTCAGTTTGTAGTTCCTCTTGGCCACCTCGAACGTCGAGTATTTAGCGAACACCGACTGGTCTCTGTCTCGCAGGTCGACACGCAGAATCATCCTGGTCATCGTAGTCAGGTTGTGGAGGCTATCGAGACCTGAAGCAGCAACGGACAGATTGGTTTCACACAAACACGACTTTCTTGCTTCGGATTTATGTTGTGTGGTTTAAGATGAACTTTTCAAAGGTGTTTGGAATATGAATAAGTTAAAAACAACAAAACGCGGAACCAACATTTACTCAAGTAACATACTTAAGTATAAAATTTGAAGTACATGTATTTTACTTGAGTATTTACATTTTATGTTACTTCTACTCCACTATACAGGCAAATATTGTAGTTTTTACTCCACTTACTCCTTTATAATCTGAAAAGTAACTAGTAACTAAAGCTGTCAGACAAATGTAGTGCAGTAAAAAGTACTATATTTGCCTTTGAGATATAGTTGAGTAAAAGTTGCATGAAATGGAAAATACTCTAATACTTTGTACTTCAGTAGAGTATATTGAGTGTCAGTGGTGTATTCAGACTGTCAGTATGATGAACAGTGTCTCACCCAGCCAAAACTCTCCACTCAGATCCCCAAATCCTTTAATGTACTCCTTCCACCCTCTGAAGAAATCCACCGAGCCGTCCTTCCTCCTCTGGAAGACCTGCAGACAGTAAAGACACAGACCAGGTTCCACACAGGAGAACCTTCATATAACCTGAGACTACAGGCTGAGGAACGTCTCACTGATAAATCGATGTCCCCGTACCGTCCAGCCTCCTCCATCTGTCTCCATGTCGCAGTAGACCATCATCGGCGTCCCGTGTTTCCCCTGAGGGAAGATCTCCACCTCGCCTGATGTCCTGATGCCGTTCAGCAGCTCCTGAGAGCAGTCTGTGGGGAACGGGAACCTCAGGGTGCCTGAGGAAGACGACGGAGGAGGACTTTAGCTCTCTATCAGTTAATCGCTACGACAACGATGTAACATGTAAGCAGCGGTTACCGGTGGTGAACTCCGTGGAGATGGCAGTAGTGTATCGTCCTCCTCCTTCTGCCTGTAGCTGCACCGTGTACTTGGACCCGGGGTGGAGTCTGGTCAGGTTGTACTCAGTTACTGAAGCGTCCACAATCACTTCCTTTGAAGGAAACAAGAAGACAAGAGACGGTTCTCCACTAAGTGATTTTGAGTTTTACAGTTTTTTCAATTGTTTAAACGCAATTTTGCAAACCGGGTTCTTTTTTTCAAAATATGATCACAATTATCCAAACACCACACTCAATTTGCATAATTCCTAGATTGTTTGCAAAATGACACACTTCAAAACATATACACATATTTGTGAAAATGCTATTAGTTTTCATTTAACCAACACAGTCCTCAATGATCAGACACTATTGCAGCCAGTTTCACACTGCTGTGATAAATAAAAAGCACATTTGTAAAAAAAATGAATTTTAGGAAATAGCATGTGCTAGATTTTTGGCCAGACTTTGTTATGTAAGGGATAATTTAGATGTCCAAAAAAGTAGTGACAAACCCACAACATTCTTCATGATTAGTTTGAGATATAGGGAGAATGTACACAAATAGGCCTAGTATAAACTTACCAAGCACTGCACAACACTGATGCTGCAGACTGAATATTTCAAGTGTTTATTTCAATACTTACAGTATTTCTTACCATAATCAGTTACAGTAATCAACCAACAATGAAATCAATGAAACAAATAAAATCTGTAGACAATAAAAAATTACTGCATAAAGTACATACACTTTGACTTAAAAGCAACAAGAATACTGTAACTATTCATCATCTCTCCGTCTGGCTGAGTGCTGCGTTTTCAAATTAGCACATGTGTGCTTCCACACCTGGTGGATGTGATTATCCAGTTTGTTCATTAGTGTGGTCATTGGCAATCCGGGGCTTTGTAATGACAAGGAAGTAACCTCACAATCCTTATCTGTGTCTAAGGTCTAAGGTGTGAAAATGTGTGTAGAGTTTTACAAATCACTGTGTGTAATGTTTTGCAAAAAGGGTGAAGCAGACATTGTGTGTAAAGCTGTGCAAATCTGTGGAGGTGTTTTGCTCCTTGGAGTAGAATTTCGCAAATTATGTGGAAATTTGTATTTTAGTGTGTAAACAATCGTAAGAAACTGTAATGACCATTAATCCATTAAACACCATTTAAGACGTATTAAAAACATAAAAACATGCATTTATTCAGCAAATTTAAAAGTAAAGAAATGATCAGCATAAACTTCTATTATAATTTTGGTGATTAATCATTTCTCATTAAATAAATGTATATATATATATATATATATATATATATATATATATATATATATCATTTATTGGTCACTTTGAGTGACAGGTGGGTGTTTTCATTAACCGTCTTTCATTTAACCCTCCTCAGCTCAACCCACACTCTCTGCCCATTTTTGGACTCCCGGCGGAGTCAGGACCACCAGATTATTTGATTAAATAGTTGTTTGAGGACTAGAGAGGGAAAAGTATCTAAAGTTTTAAAAAAACTACAGAAAAGTAAACTAAAATCTGTTAAATTATGCCGATTTGTGTATCAGAACTTTGTTGTTTCTTCTTTCCTCTGCCATCCAACCATCTCACTTCTATTTGTAATGGAGTATTTATACATTTTACTTGAAGGATAAGAGTAGTAATGAGTGAAAAAACACTCTTCTCACCTTCATTTCTTGACCTTCAGTCTGATAGGTCAGTCTGTAGCTGCCTGCAGGATTTGAGGGTGGTTTCCATGACAACTGGGCAGTGCGAGGGGTCACATTGCTGGCCTGGAGATCTCGTGGCCCGTCCCCATCCCTCCCAGAGCCTGGAGAGGAAGAGTAGAGTCATTCTAGTTATCCTCAGCATACGATAGATCTTATCTTCTTCCTGTAGTTCACCTACTTAGTCTTTTTAATGTATGTCAGATCACAGTTACCAAGAGCCCAAAGTGACACCTTAATAAAGCCAGTTATCTGAATGGGGTTCAATTAAAAGCAGCAAATCTGCTTTTAATTTTGACATTAAAAATAACTTATTATCAAAATAGTTACCAATTAATTTTCTGTCAATTGATTAATCGAAAAATCGTTTTTGCTGTATAAAATGTATAAATATATATTATAAACTTAATCTTAATTTGTAAAGTAACTTAAGCTGTCAGACAAATGTAGTGGAGTGGAAGTAGAAAGGGGCATGAAAAGAAAAAACTAAGTAAATGTACTTAATTACAATATAAACTTTAATTAATGTCCATAAAAATGATGATTCCACTGACAGCTGTTAAAGATGACTGACAGGCAACATGCAGTCCTACAGTTTGAACTAATCTGTGTGTGTGTGTGTGTGTGTGTGTGTGTGTGTGTGTGTGTGTGTGTTCACTGACCTCCAGTGGTGGTAAACGTGGTGGTGGTCGGTGAGCTCTTCAGGCTGCCCAGCTGGCTGGTTATGGTGACGGTGTAGGTGGTGGATCCCTCCAGACCACTAAGCTGCTGCTCTGCTGCGTTTCCAGACACAGTGACCCTCAACTCTGGTCCTAAACCAACACAAACCCATCAGCTAATAGGTATCTTTATTCCGTAGTTTAACATGATAATGTCATGCCAATGATTGAACGGTTTGGAACATCACCTAAGAAATTAGACCTTCCCCGACTTTCTCTGTTGCTGTGAGCTGATTTATGTGTTTCTATGGAGCGTTTTCACTGAAATGTTCATGCGCCTCCAGAGTGCCTTCTCTCTCTGCTTCACTACAGTGTCAACAGTGTGCAACACTAGCTCCAGTCCAAGACAAACGGATGTGAGGTAGAGGCATCGAACTAGCTAAATGTAGCTAAGCTAAGCTGGGGTTGTCCGGCTGGCTATGTTTTGGCTGCGTGGTGCGGGTCTGGCATTGGTTGCTTTGGCTGATGGTGTGATTTGTAAATGGCGAGCTAGCATGGATTCAATGTTCCAAATAAAATATAGCAACATACATTGCAGATAGTAGTGTTACTCTAAATATGACTGTAATTTATTTTCCAGTGTTCTAGGAGTCTAGCGATGTCACTTTCGGCCAATGCCCAGGATGGTGTTTTTTTTTTTAATATTAGTACTTTTAATCTGGTAAAGGATCTGAATACTTCTTTCACCACTGCAGTAGACACAGAATCATTAAGTTTGGATTCTGCTGCAGACAAGTGTTTTATGAGGATGTACAGCACCGTGGTAACACTATAAACCCAGCAACATCATCACCACTTACCCGTCTCAGATCCATAAACGATGGCGTATTTATCAATGGCTGCCAACGCAGGACGCCACAATAACAAGGCCTTAGTGTCGGTGACGTTTACAGCCCGGAGGTCTGTAGGCGGGTCAGGGACTGAGAGAGAAATAAAGATAATGATATTTATATTAATGGCCCACAATGCCCTGTATCTACAGCACTGACCTCAAATCTTTTTAACTGTCTCTGAAAGACAATTAGTGTGAAATGATTGAAGTTCACTAAAACCTATGAAATAAAGATATTAATAATATTGACACATTAAGGATGTGATATCTAGTATCCGAATAATTTCTGTGTGGTAACATTTGAATGAAGACTTGTTGAGATGTGTATATTATTTGGTTTTGCATATTTTTTTTAAATATAGAGTGACAGACTTTGAAATAGACCATATGTTGCGGTGAGGCAAGCTTTTGTCACAATTCAGTGGATGTGCTGAAAAAATTCACTCTAATAAAGACTGAAGATAACAATAACAAGAACTTAAAAAAGACAATATGAATGAAGAAAGAATTATGTTGAAATCTGTAAAGGCCAAAGAATATCCATAACTAAAATCAGCGATGGGAATCATCTGGAAAAAAAACACTGTTTTGAAATAAGACAGAACACTGAACAGATCCAAGATCAGACTCCTCTGAGAAAACTTAAAAAAATACACAGATTGTTTCCAGATCCAGCACCTGCTACAGACATTATGGAAGATGTGATTTCTGAATTACATATAGAGACAAACTCAAGAAAACATGCAGATTTTTTACTCTAAATCACTCTTTATCTTTTTTTAGGTTAGTTTTATATATATATAAATAAGTTAAAAGTGAAAACTTTTACTGCAACATAAATGTTTGAAACACCTCATTATCTTTTCCAACTACACTTTTTCTAACCACATTTACAGGATTCCTAATATTTGTACGTTCATTATATTCTCATGGCGTTCAGGAGCAGCTCAACTCAGCTATGATATGAAAAAGGGAAACCTGTAGTACTTACGTGTCATGACCAAGTCTTTGATTGGATCGCTCTCATCCAGGCCGAGGATGGAGATGACGTTGACCTCGTAAGAAGAACCAGGTGAGAGCCTTGATAGGCCGACGGTTGAGTCTTCTGAGTCCACGGACACTGACACCGGCTCACCTGTAGACACACAGAAGATCCCAAATTAATTATATACTGACTTTTCTCAAGATGAAAGACATCTCCTATTAAATGCCTCAACTATTTTTCAGAGAAGACAAAAACTACCTCCACTAGAATTGAAAACACAGTAATATGACAAAGGATCAGATTTTGATTGGCTTTATTTAAGCCCATACCAATCTTTTAAAATATATCTGGATTGCCCTGAGAATGATCAGATCCAACTAACTGGCTTGCAGGTGTTTGTTAAAACTGTAAAAGCAAATCAAATCAGACAGTAAAGCCACAGACCACAATAACAAATCTTTCCTGAAAGCTATATTACACTCATGATCCTGATATAGAAAATGACTATTATTCAGCGGAAGAAATACAATTACTTGAAGTGGAGTGCGGTCTTCACCTCTGTCTCACTCATTATTTTGTGTATCAAGACACTTGTTATATGTTAATATTCACTTGGATGCCTTTTAATAAAACATGGAAGTCAGTTCTCACCCTCCTCTGTGTGGGTGTAGGTGACCTTAAAACCATTGATTTTACTCTTGGGTTTGGTCCAGGACACCGTCAGAGAGTTTTCCGTCACCTTACTGAAGACTATGTTGGTGGGAGGCTCCGGGCCTGAACGGTACGAAGAATACCATGAGAGAGGTGAATGAAAGCAACAGAGGAGAAGAAGGAGAAAAAAAGAGTAGTGAGAGAAGTAGTAAAGGCAAAAAGAATGATTTTGTACAGATAGTATAGCAAGAAAAGAAAGACAAAAATGGCCACTAAAAGAGTGAAAACAGTGTGTACATTATTATTTATTCATCCACACATTTGCTATTAGTGCTCCGATGAGTTTTTGTGTATATATGTACAGTGCAAACATATATACAGTATAAAAATCATATACAGACATATAGTAATGAATTACAACAATCAGATGATGGATCCTGGACAGCAGTGAAGGAAAGAATGATGGAGTTTAATAGTTAGCTGGTCGCTCAAACCTGAAAAATAAAAGCGTGGCAGGAATGAACAAAACAAAGGAAGAAAAGTAGACAATTTTATAGGACGAATGATAACAAATACATTCAGATATTAATTCAGAAGATCTGAAAGTGAAGATTTACATTTAAAGCGTTGGAAAATTACTTTGTGGACAGATTTTTAACCTCATTAGTATGTCTGGGTATCACTACACAAATTCATAACACTTTTTCATGCGTCCTGACATTTCTTTATCCATTCTGTTGTTAAAATATTAATATATTTACACATTTGTATTACAAAAGGAAACTCTTCTTTGTAATACAATCAATGTAAAGTTAAATATGTAGCATACTGAAGCAATACAGTATTGACATATTGTTTTTTGACACCCAGATTTGTTAAATTATAAAATATCCAACATTTTCTTTTTTTTTGTGAACTCTAAAGGATTAAAATGTGCACATTTTGCATTTGGATGTGAAAGGTGAAGACAGACCAAACGTACATAGACCAGCCGTGGTCTTACCCTGGTTTGGGTGAGAGGTGAAGGGGTGTCAGTGAAGCTGGCTGTTAGCTTACCCTGAATGAATGAGAGAAGACCAGAGCAGCAGTGAATGAATTGTGTTGTTATGCTGTTACTGATGCTTTTATGAACTCTCATTTGATGTCAACTCAGTTCAAAAATTGTCTGACTAAAGAGACTCTTAAAGTCTGCAGTCTTGGAAGTCATTTATGGATGTTGCCTGTAGTTGTGTTTGTGTGTTTGCTGTGATAAAATGTAATTTCTTTAAAATATTTAATTATTTATTTGCTTCTTTTGACCTTTTGATGGTGAATGATTACTTTGAGAGAACAGTAAAAAACTCCAAATATGGCAGTGTGTTATGTCATTGTAACTTGTCCATATCCATTTATCTAACTAAGGCTCCCTTCTTTGCTGCATATTGGCATAAAACCTCTTCGAGAGGATGGATTTGGATTGAAATTTACTGGAGGCTTAATTTCCTTTAAGCAGAACTAAAGACCATCTCCAGGTTGGGAATTAAGCCTCCAGTAAGTAGCTAGCTTTTGTTTGCAAGCTAGCTAAGTTAGCCAACTTGCTGAAGGCAAACGGTGCTAATAACATGCAACTACAAGCCATTACGATCTAGATACATTAGTGCACAATTTAGCTAGCTAACGATGTGACAAACTTTGAGATTTGACATCAAATAACTGAGTGTGTCTTCATGGTTGAGTGTTGATTATCATAATGTATGACTGCTACCTCATATGAGTATTTCATATGAAAGCTGACAAATGAGTGCACAAATATAGCAACACAAAACACAACAGCTCAATGAACATCAAGACCCACTGAAAACAAACAGAACAGGTTATGTCATTACAGAACCAATTATTGACTGAGAAATACATGAGGTGAAACTGTAAATCGCAAGCTTACAGTTTTCAAGAGCACCACAGCACTTAAGCTCTTGAAATGAACATGGAGGAAGCATTTAGTGGGTGAGAAAACATTTCCAGTCATACTCAAGACAAGTGACAATTAGTTAACAAATACATTTTTGTTCATCAGCATATGAAACGTGGTGCAGTAAAGACATTAGGTGTGTACAGTTTTCTGTTCTAAGGTCACAACATTTCACACTTCACAACATTGACAGTAATGTTGTATCATTGTACAGTAGTAATTAATGTTCTACTGTCACAATGGCTTGTACCTGTACTGATGACAAGCTTGTGCAGTCTGGACAGAAGGCCAGGACCCTTTCCAAGTAAAGTCACGGTGTACTCGTTCTGAGGAGGCAGATTCTCAAACTGGAAGGAGCGAGCTGAACCAGGAAGAACTTTTTTGAAGGTTTCGTCACTTCCTGTTGACGGTTTGGCTGTTGTGCTGCTTTGGACCCTTGGAACTTGTGTAAAGACACTTTCAGGTACTCTATTTTCATCTTCACTGCCTCCATTTTCTGAATGAATTTCTGTTGTTGGTTGACGATTTGCTTCCTCTTCTTCACTGCGACGCTCTTTCTCAGAGTCTTCATTCTTGCTTTCCTTCTGCTTTGGCTCCTTATGTTTTACAACTTCTTTCCTTGTCACAACAAAGTTCTTGTACTTCCCTTCTGGTGAGTCCCACGTGAGCGTAAATCCATCTGTGGTCCGGTTCGTCACTCCCACATAGTCCAGAGGTTCCCTTGGGACTCCGGAAGAAGAAATGTCTGATCCTTTCAGAGGTTTGGTATTAGCACCGCTTGTCTTTTCAGTTTTACTATCAAACAACCTTTTTGCAGTAGTATTTGTTTTTGTATCCACTCTACCTTGGCTCCCACTGATGTAGTGCCTCATCTGGGTACTTCTTGTTGGTGATTGTCTATTTTGAAGTGTGACTGGTCTTGTGGCTCCATGTCTTGAATCTGAGGAAGTTTGTTTCATAGTTGGTCTGCCTCGACTTGGAGCACTAGCATTCTTGCCAGCATTGTCACTCTCTTTATGAATGTCAGAGTTAGAATCTGGGGTTCTAGTTTCTTCTTCTGCAAATTTGGTAGTTTGGACTGGAACACTGTCCCCCCCTTCTAATTTGTTAGTTTGTGGTCTGATGGCAGTGTCATGGATATCCATCTGGGTACTTGGAATTACCTCTGCAGTGTCTTGTTCTCCTGATTGTTTAATTTGGACTCCTTGGCTAGGCATAGGGGCATCCTGCTCTCTTGATTGGTTATCCAGGATTTCAGGGGTACCAACCTTTAATAATTGACTTCCAACAGTAATGCCGCTACCTCCATTTAGCTTTTTGGTTGGGAAAGGCTTGCGCATGGGACCTCTATGTGGATACTGAGGCGGTCTCAGGTTTGTATGGGTTTTGTTTTGGAAACGTCCACCATACAGTTGCGGCCGACGGAAGTAACCAACTTTGGTGGTTGGCCGATGAGGGGAATGCACTCCACTTCCTCTGAGGGTCTCGTTGAACTCAACTGATGTGCTTGTCCCAACTCTGTCTTCATTCTCTTCTCCTGTTAGCTCTGTACGTTCAGCTGGATAGGATTCTTTTGAAACAGGAGGAGAAAAAGTGGCAGACAATTCAGTGGAAGATAGCTGATCTCCCCTCGTTTCTGATGCAGGATTTAATGGTTGAGTGGGGGGAGTCAGCAGCCTTGAATGTGGACGAGTTCGGTTCAGAAGGGGTCCAAAGTTTGGAACTGGGCGGCGCAGGTAACCCCCCTTTAGAGGAAGACGACGAACTGGGATTCGTCCTCTTTCTGTTGGGGATGCAGGTGTAGTTGCCCCATCTTTGTATCCATTCGTATCCCTTGCTGGTACATTTTCCTCAACTAAGGATAATTCCTCTGAAGCAGATGAAGATGGTGAAGACAATAATTCACTCTGGGATGTATGTCTTGTTTCTGTCTCTCTTCCAGGGATAAGGTTCAAATGAGGAGGGGAACGGTGAGGACCTTTCAAATTTAAGTTTGGGCGTGGTCGACGTACATATCCCGATTTTCCAGGTGTGCGGCGGAAAAAAGGAATGCCACCTTTTCCTGAGGGTGATAGCTTTCTGTCTTCCTCTTCAGGTGGTGCATCAGTTGTACTTTTGCTATTATCAACATCTGGTTCATTGCTTCCAACTGAACCTGATTCATCTGAGCTGGAAAGGGATGACGATGGAGGTGATGGTGATAATGATGGTAGTGATGATGGTGGTGATGGTGATGATGATAAAGGTGATGACAGAACTAAATATGTTAGTAATGATGATGGCGCTTCTTGTGATGAAGATGAGACTTGTGAATGTGATGGGGATGAAGATGATGGCGCAGTTTCTTTTTGTGACGATGATGATGAATGTGACAATGATTGTGGGGTTGATGAGGACGATGACGAGAATGACGACAATGGCTTCAGTCCACTTAAAATCTGCTTACTCACTCTTTCTGCATCAGTAGAGATGTGTGATGGTTTGGACAATTTAACAGAAAAGGTTGTGATATTCAAACTGTCAAAAGTGTCTGTCAGGAGTTTATGTAAAGGATCTGGTGAATAGTCAAGGTCTGACTGTGCAGATGAGGGTTTTACATTAGAAATATCATCTGTTTCAGAGGAACCTCGATGTGAGCCCGGTGTCTTTCCTGCCGGCACTGTTCCATCCCCTCTACACCCGCTGCCTCTGTCCTTATGGGGTAATCTGATGTGTGTCACTTTAACTTTATTCATACATTTCTTCTCTTGGCTTTGAACAGTCCCAGTTGGCTCTGAAGACACTGGAGCAGTGTCGTTTCCATGGCCTACCATGCCAACATCTGGTTGCTCTTTGGAGCCAACAGCAATAGTTGGTTCCTCCAAGCTACTTTGTCTGTTTGTATCTGAATCAGTCCCAGAAATTATAGCTGGATTTTTGGCATCCCTCCGCTCAGTGCTTGATTCCCCCACACTTGGGTCTCTCACAGTCAAAGTTATTGTCCTGTTTCCGATGATGGGTACACCTGGTTTAGGTTTTTTGGGTACCATTATTACCTTCTTCTTATTCTCGCCCACTGGCGGCTTTTTCAAAGGGCCTGGGCTAACCTTTTTCCTCCTGGCACAACTCTGGTTGTGTTGAAACGGAAAGGGCCTGCGATATTTGGCTTCCTGGACAATGTGGGTCTTTGAGCAAGTTTGGGCCTGGTGCCATTTATTGCCATCTTTTTGTTGTTCAGAGGTTTAGTTCTTGCAATCACAGAGGCTCTGGTGTCTTTGTTAGGTCCATCAATACCTCTGGCTTTTAGAGAGTCAGGCTCGCTTCCATCCTCCCTCCTTCCATGTTGGTCTTCAGGCGATGGGTCAAACTCTTTGTCTCTGTCGCCGACATCTTGTCCAGGTGCTAATGTGACCTGCATGGTCAAAGCTGCCATGGTAACCCTTGGTAATGTCCCTAAAGATGTGAAGGGAGTGAGCATTTGGATTCAATGTTAAGGTCACAATATGTGGCTGTTGCTAATAATCCAGAAGAGATCATGTCTAATAAAGGAAGAAAAGCAGTTTTAATATTGATCATGATACTTTTCAGGAAACCTGATTTACAAAAGTTTATCAGTTATTATTCAAGTGCAAACAAATAACTTAAGGCAGTGGAATCCATGTGAAACCTGCAAGGAGAAAATTGAAATATAGTTATTGTTAAGCTTGGACAGAGAAATTCAACATGCTTGCGGTCTCACTGTTGAGAGGGAAACATCAAGGCTGAGTTCAGGAAAATGGAGTTTAAGGAATATTCTCTTCTGAAACTCATTATTTTTGCTCCTGGAAGGTTGAGGCTGCATCTCGCTTCATTAACTTTTACAGTAACGTTTCTCTGCACTGTAATGTGTTTTATATGATGTGTTCCGTTGAATAATGAGGCGTCTGGACACATCAAGTTCCACTTGCTTTCACTTAGGTGTAGCAAGTCTGTTCTCACCTGAATACAGTCTGGACAAGAAGCATTTGACTTGCTCATTTTTAACAAGTACAGTTGAATGAATGGAGAGCCGGGTCGCAGCAGCTTTAATGGAAGTATTTTGCGTTTCACTTTTATGAGAGAGAAAAGGTTTCATCAAGACTATCTAATCCTTGGACTAATAGGGTCTGTCTGAAAAGGGGAGTTCATATTATAACCACAGCTGTCTTAAATTCGGGCCAAAATCCGAGCTAAAATATAGTTCATTTACCTCAGTAGTTCAGAAAAGGGCGTCTTTAATCTTACTCACCGGGAGTAACTTGGGTGGTTGCGGGCTCACTCCGGCTCGAGCCCTTCTCTGCCACGAGTATGATGTCATACAAATGCCCCGCCTCCAGCTGCAGGATGTGGGCAGAGTTTTGGCCAACCGGGACGGTCATTTCTTGACTCCTTCCTGCTCCGTCGCTGGGTGTGACGGTCAAACGGTACCTATCAATCTCACCCTGTGAGTGCTCCCATTGGACCACTGCAGACGTCGAGGTTGTCTTGACGACTTGGAGGTTGGTGGGACCAGAGATGACTAAAGAAGAATAGGAAGAAGAAAAAGGAGGACACAATGTACAGTGTTTACAGTCTCTGTTCTACCTGGTAACATGGAGCTCTGGGAGTGATTCCAACGGGGGGAAAGTGGATACACAAACATCCACTCATTCTTTTTCAGTTTTAAATTGACCGTGGCTCAGCACATTTCCCTCTGCTCTTCACTTTCTTAAACTCACAGTCACACTCCTGCAGCCTCAGCCGTCCTGTTCGCTGATGGCTGCTGGGCAGCCTCCCTGCAGCTGCCACAGATGACATCTTTTAGAGGAAGGGCAGCGAGAGGGAAATGTTTAAACTCTCTCTGCCAGTTTGGCGATATGAGCTGCTCACAGTGGCCAACATGTTGGTCAGAAGCTCCGTTTTCTAACTTGTGTACTTGAAACTGCACTTTTATAGGGACATTTTATATACTTAACCATTACTGTCAACTGCAATATATTCAGAATTTCAGTATCTGCCATATTTGATGAATGTGGCTTTCTCAAAATAGATACCAAGATTTTTTTTGTTGAGGCTGTAGCATTTATGTTGTTATTATCTTTAAAGTCTCCTTTCCACTCAAAAAACGAAGATTTTTAAAATTACTTTACTGCTTTACTGCTTCCCTGTCCACAGAAATACTTGCAGGCCATCTCGAATTTTCATAGTGGTTTCTCAGTTTGATTGATTTGAGCAACCGTAAACTCCACAAAAACAACATTTTGAGAATTTTGATATTGCTTCCAGTGTAGAACATCACTTCCTGTCCTCCATCTGCAGTTCGTGCCACAGAAAAAGTGACGAGACGTCATGTGCAAACAAGTTATTCTAATCCTTGTTATTTTGAGTTTTTTCTGTTGTTCAAATGACCCTAGAAGAGACGTACAGAATTATATATGTCAATAAATGAACATAGAGAGCTCACGGGTCATGAATTCAGCAGAACTCTCGGCTCCCCTCCTGCCGTTGATCTCTCCAGTGATGCTGACGGTGTACTCCTGACCCGCCGCCAGGCCCGTCTGCGTGAATGTGGTCAGGCTGCCCTCCACCTGCACAGTCATCTGCTGGTCACTCTCCTTCTGTTTGGAACAGACAAAACAAATGTTGGTTCTCTGCACATCTGCCAGCTGAATCAGATGCTTCTCAGCTCGAGGACGACAAACCTCAGAGGGAGAAAAGCGCCATCTACATGCTTGTAAATCTTGTTATGCTGCAAGTCAATCTTTCAATTTACACTATATCCAACAATAAACAATCGGTTACTCTAGACCAATCATATTTGTGAATTTACTTTAAATAGTTAAAATAAGTTGGCATTGAAAATCAATAATTGAATCAAATTAAAAAAGCTCAATTTAATCAATTATTTTTTAGTTATTGGTTTTAGTGCTTTCCACCACCACCACCAAAGAGGCCACAGAGACCATTAAATAGCCAGGAACTAAAATGATAAATTATTATCTTTTTACTGATATAACGACATCCTCTTGATGGAAGAAGACAGTTTGGGAAATGTGTAACCAGTTATTTAATCTCCTCTCAGGGTTTTCTGAGAGTTTGTCTTTCAGTGCCACATCTGATCCATCAGAGGGTGAGTTTTCTCCTCCCACAATGACGGCTGATAATTAAACCTTTTAAATGTGCTCCAAACTCTGTGTTTGTTGATTTAAGCTGACTTAAGTTCAGCCAGTACAGCCAACATTCCCCGTAATAATAATGATTAAAAAAAATCACGATGTACTCATCATGTGCATGAAGAGCCTGATGGAAACACTGTGCTGTCTCCAGGGCATCGACGTGTGTGTTTGTGTGTGTGTGTGTGTGGGCAAAGACAGACACTCGTTCTCTTGTATTTTTACTTTCTGGAGTTTCCAAAGTCTAAATTTACTGAAGCAGAACAGAAACAATCCTGAGGGAAATCAGTGACGTCACTGAAACCCTTTTTTGTTTCTGTTTTGTTTGTTTCATTTCTTGTGCAGCACAAAGTTTTTTTTTATGTGACTGAATGTTGACATTATATATTCAGTGATTGCTGGGACCATGAAAGCACAATAAAGCCAATTAAAGCAACGTTACGTAACTTCTCTACCTTAAAATAACAGCTTCACTATCGTTTTAACTGAGCTCTCATAGTGTGAATGGTGCCTCTGTACGCCTGTTCTTGCACAGTGATTTTGGTGAAACTGGATCAAACTGGATAATTTATGATTATTGATTGACTATGAAGACTTTATTATCTTCAAACCTAAAGAGAAAAACATTACTCTGAGGGGATTCCTGAAGACAAAATCCTCTCTAAGTGGTGCTCTTGTTAGCTGCTACTTGTCTGGCCCACTTCAGCTCTCCCCAGACCCTCATGGGTCCAGTCGATGCCTGACGACCTCCAGTTCCTTAACGATCACAAATTATTCTTCTATATCCGATTATTGGAATGTCATTACAGACTCTGTGGTGCGTTTAGGGTTTGGTCTTCACTTTATTCATTCCCATAACTTAAGTCAGGATCATTTCACGCTGCACAAAGTTCTCATTATTCAATTTATCTATTGGAAAGCCTGAAACTTCCCATGAATTAAAAGCTGAGGCTTACTCAACAATTAATCAACTGGGAGTGCTGGACTCTGACTTCCTAATGAATGGATACCGTGTTGTAAAGTAAATGCACCACAGCTGGTTGCCATGCTGGTTACTATGTTGGCTGCCTGGCGATGGTGCTCCAGAGGTCGTCCTGGATCAGCGTTGTGTGTCCAAATGCTTTCATCCATTTCCATATGAACAAGGGTGACATCATTAAAAACTGAGGCTCCAATAAATTCACAATACACTTTAAAACAAGTCGAGGCTCTGTGGCGTCTCTGTGGGGCGTTCAGGGACGATGATGTTTGGTTCTTTCTGAACACGAGGAGGTCTAACTGGCCTGCTGCGTGACTCTCAGTCTGCACGTTTATGAGGAAAATAAATCTAACGTCACTACAGAAAGTTCTCCTCAAGGACCATTGCTCTGTTGGGCTCCATTTAGTGTCTTCAGCAGGATTGCCAGGACTTGCAAAATAAAGCTGGCAGAGAAACATTTAATATTTTATGTAGTTTAAACGGTCACAGTTTGGTTAGGTTTAGGAAAAGATTGTGGTTTTGGTTAAAATAAGTAGGCAATGCAACTCACCTAACGTAACGTAACATAACAAAACAAAGTAAAGTAATATAATGTAAAGAAGCATAACATAATGCAACGAATGTAACATAAACTTGTGTAAGGTAACTTAAGTTTTATATACACGTAACTTACTTCACAACCTAAGTTAAAGAGAAGTCTACGTTTTGGTAGTTTTGGTTTCACACAAACACACGGAGGTGAAAGTCTTTTCTGTTTGTTTGAGCCATCCATCACTCCGACCTCCTCCATATTCAGATTTTCTTGACGTTCTTCGAGAAAAATGCTGACATGCTAATCAAGTCTGTACAAAATATCTGTAAAAAATGTTATGTATCTGTGTGTGTATCTGTGTGTGTGAAGTAGAAAAACTACTGAATGAATGACCTGCTTGAACTCCATTGACCACTGATTTATTCTGAGGAATTTGGTTCAGATGATTCATCCACTGCAATTTAGTTCTAAATTAACTGCACTTTATTCAGATAACCACCACTGGTTGCACTAAGGGTTGATTCATGGTTCCCGCTGACAGAATGTCTCCACTTCCTGGTGTTCTTTTTATCCGTTTGAATGAATAAGACAGACGTCATGAACTAAAAAAGTGCAGATTCTGTGCAGCTCTGCAGCTCATTCAGGCAGTTACATACTGAAGAACTGTAGCTGTGTCTGCATTAGAACTAAAAGGATGAAAGTAGAATCAGTAAAATGTACTTAAAGTATTTACTGTGACAGTTGTACTATTATATATGATACCATTAGATTATTCTGACGCATGCATTAATCTAAAAGCAGGATTTTATTGTTGTAGTTGGTTGAGATGGAGATTATTTTTAACTATTTTGTATCGTGCTGCAACAAACGATTATTTTCAATGTGGATTCTGCTGAATTTTCTTTAATTACTTTTTTAAAACTCTGTTTGTAAAAGACTTGTTACTGGAGGACCTCCTGGTATTTCTAATGATCAGAGGTGTTGGTTTAACATACCTACAGACTTCTGCTGTTAATGCCAGTTATTTAAACAAGTTCTCACTCTCAACTTGTCGAATACTGCAGCTCGGTCAGTGGCCCTCTGCTCTGTAGGTATCCCCGCTACTGTCATATCTGGTTAGAGTTTCAAAATAAAGCTTGTGTGGTTGTTGTGAAACATGGTGAAATGGTCAGAGTTTGGTTAAGTTTTATGTTATGTAACTTGAAAGAAGTCAACTTTGACTTTTGCCATTTTGACCTCAGACAGGACACAAACAGCGGTCTCCTGGGTTAAAGTCCTGTGTTTGTTTGAGCCATCCATCCACCCCATCACCTCATCATATGTGGCTCTTTAAACTATGTCTGGCGGGTGCATCCATAAATAAAGCTTAACCCACAATGTCCACAAATGATGCTGAGGAATACCTACAGCAACATATTATGAAGCAGAGGGAACAGACGGTGTTAGACGAGCTGAGAGTGAAACCGTTGTTTTCAGACGTAAAATGTTAAAAAGGAAAATTGAAGATCGGTTTTAAGAGGGAAGATTGACGATGTCACCTGGAAACAATAAATATTTGTAGGAAGTAAACGTGTTTCCTGAAACTACTTGAACATAATTTCTATTAGCCGGATGTTCCGTAAAGACTCTTTTCTTTCTCCGTTCCTCTCAGACAAATCCTCGCTGACGGTCTGTTGTTGTTGTTTGTCTGTTGGTCTGGTAAACATCTCTCTCTCTCTATCTCTCTCTCTGTCTGCCTCTCTCTCTCCCTGTGTGTCACAGCTGTGGGCCGGCAGTGATGTCATCCCTCTGGCAGTCACCATGTTTTTGACAGTGTTTACATGTTTCCGTGGCAACAAGCATCCCACATCTGCATCTTTTCCTCTCCACCTCCCAGCGTTCTGTGTTTGTGTGTGAATTTCATGTATTGTCTTCCATCCTGTCCTTCTGAACACGTTGTGTGATTTTGATCCGTACGTAAGACTAAAGCTGACGACAATCAGAGCAAGTTGTGAGACATGACAACTGACGTTCTCCAGAGACCAGAGACAGTCCAGAGTCGGAAATATGGGACCAAATACTCACAATGTGACTGCTGCAATCTTAACAGCAAAATACATAGTTTGAAACTGCGCCCCAAAATAATTCCTGAACCTGCAGGAAGAGCATAGTGGCCAAAGCGTGTAATTACAGCATCTGTCACATGATGCATTCTGGTCCAAAAATACTGTTTTTCATAAAGTTACATTGTGAAAAAAGCTGGAAATCAGTGGATGCATTTTTGTTTTTGCATTATAATCCCCAAGAAAATAATTATCCATATCCGATAGCCTTTTGAAAGTCTCGAAGAGCCACAGGTTTAAACATTTTATCCCCATTCAAGTTAACGGAGGGATTCATTGGCCAAAGTCTCTGTGCAAAATTCATCCAGGTAATTTCTTTACAGCAGGAAGTGGCTTTTTGGGCTTTTGTGCGCCACTGAGCAACTTTTATGGGAATGAACAACGCTGTATTCAGCCCAAAAGCTGTTATCTAAATCAATAAATGTTGCAGTGGTGACAATAGGTCCACTGAACTACTTGTAGATTGTGTACAGTTGTAATGAACGGGGAAATTAGCTGTAGAGACCAAAAGCAAAGTGTAAAGTTGGACATTTTAACATGGGGCCTTATGGAGGTTGACTCACTGCTGGAGCCAGCCTCTAGTGGCCGTTAGAGGAACTGCAGTTTTTGTTACTTCTGTGTTCATTTGCAGCCACAGAGGTTGAAACTAATTCTTTAATCTGTAGTTTGCGCTTCTGTTTCTCTTGCACAGTTGTCTCTTTCGTTCCACTTTTACGTCTCTCTGCTCTACACGGATGTCTCGTCTCTGTGGGTCCATAAAGTAAAAATCATGAGTCGTCTTGTCTTCATCACATCCTCTCATCAGTTCCAGCCTTATTCCCTCTGTAGGACT